TAAAACTAAATTAAATTTAAAAAAAAGAAAAAAAAAAAAAATGTTATGAAAGTAATTTTTTTCGTTAAAAAGTTGTATAATTGAGGTTCACTGAATGTGAAATGCTCGTTTGTTCTCGGCAATACTCGCGGTTTATCGTCAAACAGAGACATAGTCATTTTCTGATTTGTTTAGTTGCCGCGACCATCTGAGTCCAACGACAACGCATTGACAACGCATGTGAACTGATTATTTAAAATAATTTGTCAACTGTTCGTGATCAAAAAAATATGTCAGTGATTTAAAAAAAAAGAAAGAAAATAATAAAAATAGGGAGAAAAAAATTTTATTTTTCCAATTCATTTTTATTTTCTCTATTAAAAGTTTACACACAAAAGAAGTCGACGTAATTTTTTTTCTACACGTCAACTTTTATTTTATTTTTATTTCTTTGAAATGTTTTAAAATGTGTCTCGAATCACAAGGTCTTCTTACTTAGAAATGGTAAAAAAAAGTTTCTATATATATTTATTGACTATTTCTCCCCTAAAAATGAAGCTGAGACACTTTTTTGCGAAAATTTTTCTTTCACGAATGTTTTATATTTTTTTTCTTGTAAATTCGTTCTGCAATTACTTTTTTTTCAATTTTTTTTTATGTTTTAGCATTTTTTTCTTTTTATTTCTTTTTTAAATTTTTAAAAAATTTTATTTTCTTTTATTTATTTTTTTCGGTATTTTTATTTTGTCTGAAATTTTTTACTTTTTGCAATTTTATTCATTGTTTCATTTTACTCCCTTTTCTTATTCTATTTCTTTTTTATTTATTTATTTTAACTTTAGAAATTTTTTTTTTAAATTTGTAATTTACTTTTATATTTTCATTTATTTTCATTTATTGTATTATTAATTTCATTTAATTTCTATTTTTTATAATATTTATATATTTTGAATTAAAATATTTAAATATAAATTTTCTCCTATTCTTTTTTTTAATTTCTCTAATTTTTTTCTAATCTCTTTACTTATTTTTTATCATTATTTTTATTTTTTTATTTTATTATTATTTTTATTTATTTTATCATTATTTTTATTTATTTTTTTTAATTTCATTTTTTTTATTTATTTTTATTTACTTTTATCATTATCATTATCAAGTAAATAAATTAGTTATTATCGTTTTCATTATCAAATAAATAATTTTGTTTACGTTCGAAAAATAAAAAATAAAAAAAGGGAAAAAACATATTTACTGTTAATAAAGTTAAAAAAAATTTTTTTTTTAAACTAATAAATAAATTGAAAAATAATAAATAAATGAACTTAAAACTAATAAATTTACTTGAAAATAATAATTTTTTTGACTGAAACTGTTATTTTTTTCTTGTCGTCAATTATTCGCAATTAAAATCGATTATGATTCTGACGAGACGAATGACAATTAAAAAAATTTTTTCATTTTACAATCATAAGATGATTGGAAATTAAACAATGAACAAATTTGTATTAATAATTGTTTGAGAAGTTCGTTTGACGAATTTTGCATTGGAAAATATAATGTGAAGAAATTTTTAACGAGTGACAAAATTAAAACACACAGATATATAAATTTTTGCAATTATTTCTTGTCGTCGTGAAGTTTTTATTCTTTTTTGAAAGATTTATTTATTGAAGCCTCGACTTTGGCACGAATTCCCCCGAAAAATTAGTGCGCACGGCCAACTAAACTCAATTCTTGATCTTGAAAGTTCGTTTGTTATATAAAAATCATTTCAATTTTGCAAGGTAAAAATATATTTGCTTTATATATATTTTTCTTTTTTTTAATATTTTTTCAAATAAATGTTTATAAATATATATTTATTTTATATTTAAATAAATAAAAATTAAAAAAAAATTTTTTTTGACGGAATTTTTTTTTAATTAAAATGGTTTTTTAATTTACTGGTAAAAATATATTTGTTTTATATTCTTTTTTTGTTTCTCTTCAAATAAATATATTTATATATATTTAAATAAGTAAATAAAAATAAAAAAAAATTTTTTTTAGGAATTTTTTTTTAATTAAAATTGTTTTAATTTGCGGGGTAAAAATATCGTTGCTTTATATTCTTTTTCATTTTTTAATGTTTTTCAAATGAATATATATTTAAATAAATAAAAATAAAAAAAAATATTTATTTTTTGATGAATTTTTTTTTTTTTTTTTGAAGTTATTTTTGCAAGGCAAAGAATGTTAAGAAAATAAAAAGTAAAGGGGGAGTTTTGGAATAAAAAAAAATTGAGTGAGAAAATAGAAATTGCGATAAGTTTATAACTTCCACTAAGTGGGGGATATTTGGTGTGATTGAAAGTGTGATGGAAAGTTATTGCATAGAGTAATTGAGCTTCCTGTCTCGCAAATTAATTTGAGTCTCTTTGGGTAGCGAGAATTGTTGTGATTTAAATTTGTACACGAGCCACGAGAGACAATCCAATCAAACCACTTGATATTTTTAGTTATATGCACTGGCACTTTTAATTCAAGGGTCGAAAGCACCAATATATACTTTTTCTCTTTCTTTTTTTATTTTTCTGCTTTCTTGTTTCTTTTTTTGGTTTTTATTTCTTTTTTTAATTTTATTTTGTTTTAAAACGAATTTCAATTATTATTGCTTATGTAATGAAAATGATCAATTTTTCATGACACGGTCTATTTCTTTGATCTAATCGTAAACTTCTTTTTAAATTTTGCTAATTAAAAAAAAAAAAAAAAAAAAAAAAAAAATTGCCATCTGAATTATTATTTTAACTATTTATTTTTAACTACGCGATTTTAAATAAAATTCTTTTAAACAGTATAGAAAATTGCAGGTAGAAGTAGAGACAAGATAAAATAATTTTTTTTCCATTTGGTCATTATTAATTTAATTTATTTTTTAAAAGTCGTTAAATTATTCTTTTTGCCTCTGTCTATGTATGGAGAAACAATGAAGAACAAGATTTTATTACCTGCGAGAACAAATTGTAAACCGGAGAAGAACAAACGAATGTGTAATTACTAATCTCACGACAAACAGAAAAATATTGTCCCTGAGTCAATATTTAAAAGAAATTTTCACAGAGTGAATTATTAATTATTCGTTAGTTTATTCTTTGCCGCTGTTTACATAGATTACTATTTCTCCATGTGGTATTTAAATAATCGAAATTTGTCCCTTTTTGCATATTTTTTACATACCGAAATTTATATATTTTTTTTGAAAATTTAAATATATTTTGGAGGTTATGTATTACATTATATAATAATATATATTATATATTTGGAGGTTCAATTTTATTAAGAAATTAGCTCAGATTCTAAAAAAAATAACCTTTAAACCTGAAAATAAATAAAAATTCTAAATTAAATATGATAATAATTAATTAATAAATACTAATAATAATAATTTAAAATTAAATTTAATAAAAATGGTAAAATAGCATAACCTCAAAATTCGATGCGCGGCACTTGTATTGTTACGTTTACAGATTATGATATAATTGTTATATAATTTAGAAATATAACGAGTTGAACTCGTTTGACTAGTTTCGCATTAAATTATTAGTTCAGATTTTCAAAAAAACAACCTTTTTCCGAAATGTTGATATTAACGTGTTTTTAGTCCTATCCCGTTTGGTACAAAACTGACGTCATTTAAAGCTCCTAATTCTACGACTCGATCTGCGCATGCGCCATTCAGAGTTGCTGACTTGATCCTGGTTGTATATGCGCAAAAAAGTTGCGCACTAAAACAGATCGAGTTATAGAAATTTGAAGGTTCAATTTTATTAAGAAATTAGCTCAGATTCTAAAAAAAATAACCTTTAAACCTGAAAATAATTAAAATTAAAAATTAAAGTTATAGAAATTTGGAGATTCAATTCTATTAAGAAATTAGCTCAGATTCTAAAAAAATAACCTTTAAACCTGAAAATAAAAAAATTATAAATTAAAAATAATATTAATAATAATAATAATAATAATAATAATAATAATAATAATAATAATAATAATAATAATATAACTAAGACGACTGGAGGATAAATTCAAATATTTAATAAAAATAATAATTTTTATGCTTTACCTTTTCACTTATTGGCAACAAGTCATTTCCGTTCAGTAAATTAAAATCCTCAACGCTGATAAAATTATCAATTTTTTTCCAACATAAAAAAAATTTTTCCGATTATTTTTGTCGTTTCTTTTTTTATCAAGACGATAAACGATTTATGTATATATGAGAAAATTTACAATTATACGGGGAGATATAATGGTACTTCACATTGAGTTATACAATGAAATTACCTTTTAATTATCCCCAAGAATGTTTTGCTTTCATGGCAATAATGTAAATTTACATATAATATATACACACACGTCGATTATGCTGGTAAATTTCTAATTGTCGGTGTCATTTAACTCTCAGTTTCCTGCAATTAATTCAAGGAAACGGAAGCTCTTTAATCATTCGCACCTTCAAAATTATAGTCTCATTTTTTTTCTCCACCACCATCTCCTCTCAAGTGCGACAATATATAATTACTTTTTTAATAATTTAAACCTATAAAAATTGTAACTCTAAAAATAAAAAAACACTATAAACTATAAAAATTGTAATAATTAAAACTAAAATAAAAGTAATTAAACAATTATACGTCAATCTCTACATCTTACAATCGATACAACAATAAATCGCAAAATAAGTCGATTTATCGATATGTCAAAGTATAAATCGATATATCAATAGCTTGACGTATAAATCGATATATCGATAGGTTGATATATAAATTGATATATCGAAAGGTCGACGTATAAATCGATATATCTAAGTGTGAAGCGATAGGTCTAAGTATAAATTGATATATCGAAGTGAAAATCGATAAATCGGAGTACAAGTCGATAAGACGACGTATAAATCGATATAAAATCGATTCTTTTACAGAAAAAAGAATAATTTTTTGAAAAAAAAAATAAAATGTAATTTTTTTTTTATTTTGCAGTGTCGAAGAAGAAAATATAAAATTTTGGCCTAATGTCTGTATGGTCGACGAGCACTGGACGAAATTCAGTATTTGGTGCGGAGGGTGGACCGCCCCCCTCCACACACCTTTCAATTCATCCCCAACCACTCACTCACTTGCACAGCAGCACCGGTCACTGTTTCCACAAAAGATTTCACAACTGTCAGGTTTGTATAATGATACTGAAAATAATTTATAAATTATTTTTTTATAATTTCTTTAGGTTCAAGACATTTTATAATTTTTCTTTCAAAATTAATTTAATTTTTAAGTTAAATATTTCTTTTTGTTCCATTTTTGTTATTCCTGCGCTTTGTGACCTTTCTCTGCACAAAATATTTTTATTAAGATTATTTTCTAAATTAAAAAAACAAAATTTTTTTTCTCTCTGCACTTTTGGCCTTTATTAACATTCGTTTCAGCTTCTTCTTCTTTTTTTTTTGTTTAATTAATTGTTTTTTTTTTCACTATTTAGTGTAATTGTTATTTTTTGTTTGGTTCAGCACCTGTTGGTTTTTTTGTCCTACGTGGGACTTGCTAGAAGCTCCTCTGTTGGCAGCACAATTTGGTATGTTCTTCTAATTGCTCAACACACGAGCTTTTTATTTCTCGCTACTAACATTTTTCCAATTTTTTGTTTATTGGTAATTATATTTACATTTTTTTTTTGGCCTTTCTAAATCGGCATTCAATTTAGTTTTGGTAAAATTTTGTAGGGAAATTTTTAAAATTATTATTCAAAAACAAAAATTGTATTCTAATTACAATTAATACTTTAAAAAATTCGAAATTGGAAAACGTGTTCGATTGTTTTAAAAAAATTTTTTAATATTTTTATTTTTGATAAGAAATTAGTCTTTTATTTTTATTTTAAAAAAATTCATTTGTATTTTCTATTTTAAATTAACCGCTTTTTTAAAATAAATTGATTAAAAAATTAATCCTGATGGCACATTTTTCCGCAATTAACAATTTTTTTTCTAATATTATTATTTCAAAAGTTATTTATCGTATTAATTGTTCTTTCTGAAAGAAGAAGTTTAAAATTTTTTTTTTAATTATATTTAATTGAGGCTCCCAATTCAAGAACCGGTTGGACGCTCGAACGACACGCGCTAGTACCAGTCGGGTAGCAGTGAGTGGCCCAGAGGCGCTCACTGCTCACTGACTGGCAGTTGCGCGTGTCGTCCGAGCGTCCGACCGGTTCTTGAATTGGGAGCCTCAATTTATAATTTTTTCAATTTAGAATTATTTTTTCACCTCTTTTCTTTAGTCTAAAATGTCACAGTCTGGAGATGGCCTTCATACTCCGGGATATCTTGCTTGGAGGAAACTTCAGCTCAGTCGAGCGAAACTCAAGGCCTCGAGTAAAACTTCAGCACTTCTCTCTGGTTTTGCCATGGTAATTATTTTTCCGTTTTTTTTTTTAACAAAAAAAAATACAAAATTCTGAAAGTAGAACTATTTTCAACAAATTTTAACTAATATATATGCAAAAAACATTTTTTGAAGAATTTAAAAAATTTTAAAACTGTCGATTTTATTTCAATTTTTTTTCCACAAGAATTTTTTAAGCGATTTTAAAAATTATATACAAAAGTTTAGTTTTTGAACGATTTTAAAAAATTTTTCAAATATTGAAATTCGTCGATTTTTTTAATGTTTAAAACTTGTTATTACAATTCTATTATTTTATAGTTGTTATTGTATGTTACAATTTATCATTAACTTGTTATTACAATTCTATTATTTAATAGTTATTATTTGTTACAATTTATTATTAACTTGCTATCACAATTTTATTATATTATAATTGTTATATTATTAGTTACAATTTATTATTAACTTGTTATTACAATTTTATTATTTTATAGTTGTTTTTATTCGTTACAATTCATTAATAACTTGTTATTACAATTCTATTATTTTATAGTTGTTTTTATTTGTTACAATTTATTATTAACTTGTTATTACAATTCTATTATTTCATAGTTATTATTTGTTACAATTTATTATCAACTTGTTATTACAATTTTATTATTTCATAGTTGTTATTGTTTGTTACAATTTATTATTAACTTGTTATTACAATTCTATTACTTCATAGTTGTTATTCACATTTATTATTAGTTACGATGTCGTAACATTAGTTTTTATTGAAACCTACGTTTCAAAAAAATGATAGTGTTAATTTAATTTTCATAAATATTGTTTAATATTTTGTTAAATTTAATGAAAATTAATTATTGAATTTAATTTTTAAACATGAAACAAAAATATTCAGTCAAAAATATAGGTTAGAATAAGAATTTATATAACACAATGATGTTTCGTGAACAGGATTTTTAAAGAGTATTTTTCACTCTTCGAAATAATTGAACTCTTTAATTAATATACAACTATTTGCAATAATATATATTTGAGTCGTTTAGTAGAAGTTACAAAATGCGTCTTGCTTTCTTTGCCGTCGTACAAACACTGATTTTCTTATGAGCAGTTTGCGCGGTTCCTATTATTTTTCCTTAAATTGGTGGGGAAATAACCCTGTGTTCCTTTAAAACAAAACGTTTCTTTTCACAAACAATTTGTAATAATTTAAATTACTACAAATTATACAAAACCAATCATAAGCCAGGTGTTGTTAATATTAGTAGCAGACGAATTTTCATTTAGGTTAAAATCGTGTAACGACAGTTTCAGGGTTGGGTCACTTCTAGAAACTAAGTAAAGGCCCAAGCACAATTACTTCGCGAACGCAAAACATGAGTTGGAAAAGGACAGAGATATATTTCTGTTTGCGTTCGCGAAACAGTTGTGCTTTGGCCTCTTCAGGAAAAAATAAAAAACTAACTTAAAAAATTTTTTCTATAAAAAAAAGTGAATTAAAAAAATTACTTCCAGGTCGCCATGGTTGAGGTGCAGTTGAATTCAGACACAAAAGTACCAAAAGAAATGCTGATCGCCTTTGCAGTTTGCACAACACTTCTCGTTGCAGTTCACATGCTGGCGCTGATGATCTCCACCTGTATTCTCCCCAATATTGAGGCAGTTTGCAATCTTCACAGTATAAGTCTCGTTCATGAATCGCCACACGAACGTCTTCATTGGTACATTGAGGTCGCTTGGGCCTTTTCAACACTTCTCGGTCTATTATTATTTCTCCTCGAAATCGCCATTCTCTGTTGGGTGAAATTCTACGATTTTTCCGAGGTGGCCGCATGGTCCGCTTGCATTGTCCTCATTCCAGTTTTAATAATATTCCTCGCGTTCGCCGTTCATTTTTATCGAAGTCTCGTCACACATAAGTACGAGGTGACTGTTTCCGGTATCAGGGAACTCGAATTGCTCAAAGAACAAATCGAGTCGTCGGACGCTGAGGGCGGAAGAAACGGTGTTAATGCACTTCAAGGTAGTACCCACATTGTTTGATAATTGTTTATTATTATTTTTTTTTTTTTTGAAATTTTTAACACTATTTTTGAAGACTGTATTGATTCCAGTGAGAGGGGAAATACCCTCAAGTGAATATTTTTCCCTTTTTTCGAATTCAAATAAAGCGACTGCTCGTTTCGCTGAAAATTATTCGAGTCGAGAATCTCTGTATATAGAAAAGTTTCTACAACATTCCTTAAAGTGCATAGGGACTTAAATATTGTATCGAATCTCTATTTTATTATCGTTTTATTTCATTTTATTTCATTTTATCAGTTTTTTTGTCCTTTTTATCTCTTTGTCGAGGTTATATTCACAGTGTCAAGTTTTATCCAATTGTGAACGTAGCCTTAAATTCTCGGAAGCTTCTGAAAACTTAATGGTACTTTTACAAGCAAGTTCTACTTCTACCTCTTTGTAGTTGTTTTTTCAGTTGTGAACATAGCCTTAAATTTTCGGAAGTTTCTGAAAACTTAATGGTACTTCTACAATCAATTTCTTTTTTGGTCAAAATCGAATAGAAGCCAGCGGACATTCAAAAACGTAGAACGTAAATCGTAAAACGTAGTATTTACCCAAGAGAGAAAAGGATTCTTTTCTGTCTCGTGTAAATTTTACGATTTCAATCTTTGGGATTCATTCACCGTTGGCCCGATGGCAAAAACGAAAATATTGTCGAAGCACCTTAAAAGAATCTCAATAAAGGCTGATTATCTTCTCACTTTGTGGAAAATGAACTAGTCTTTATGTTTTTTTTTCTATCGAATTGAGTTTTATTTTTACCTATTTTTTCACACTCTATTTTGATGATAATAATTAATTAATACGAATTAATAATTTATATTAGTTATTAATTAATAGTTTTTATATTAATTATTATTAATTAGATATTATTATTCTCATTATTATTATTATTGGCTAGGAAAGAAAAATTGATAGTTATTAATTATTAATTGTAATAATAAAAAACATCAACTGCCAAAATTGACTGCTACCTGAAAATAATAGAAAAAAAATTGTTTATACTTTATTTTCGAAAAAGTGTATAATTGTAATTTATAAAATTCATATTAGGATAATATTAATTTTTGTAGCAGTATTATTATAGAGCATGACATTTATATTTAATAATTGTTTAAAAATTAATTTAATGAATAAAAAAACAGGAAACTGGAGAAAATGTGTTTTTATGTCCCTAAAGCTTCAATTTTTGTACATATAATTCCCTCATTATGCAAATGAAAAAAAGGAATTTAAGAAAAAAAAATATCAAGTCCTAAAAAAGGCAACAAGAATTGAAAGAGAAAAATTTTGGCATAAGTTAATAAACAAAAAATTAGTTTAGTTTATTTACGGTATAATACACCTTTTTTTACAAAATCATCGGAGATACAAAAGATATTCTCTTCATCCTGGGAAAAGTGATTTCTTATTTGAAGAGGATACAAAAAATCCAATTAGAATAAAGGAATTGAAAAAGACATCATTTTAAGTTAGGCATAGAAAGGTATTCAATTATAAATATTGATATTTATGGCAAATTCGATGCTCATGAAGTCAATTTTTTAAGAGTAAACTATGAAATAAATAAAAGTAATAATTAAAATTAAATAAAGTTTTAAGAAAAATTTTACATTATACGTGCGATTTACATGAAAATCACACAGCACCGAGAATTTGTTGAAACTTGACAGAAAATCGCTCAGTTTACATAAGTAGACGAAATTTTAATAATTAGTCAAATGTTGCATGCAATTTTGATACAATATTACCTAAACATGTCAAGTTATTATTTTCAGTAAACATTTTGCTCAAGTTTTGATGATGAAATAATTTTTAATACCTTTCTATTTAAACCTTTGATACCGTGGGTTCTCATAATGAGCATTTAGTTGATTCACAATGTTGATCATTTTTTCTTCTTTTGATATTGTTCCATTGGATTCAACCGTCATAAAAATTACTGTCTGATTCCCAATGGTTTCTTTAAATTTTTCAGTTCGTTTATATTTTTCATTAGAAACTACAAAATGTGACTTGACTTCATTCTTGAAAAATTGATAAACATCTGCTACTCCACAACGATTATTTATTTTTATTTTGAAAAAAAATAATATTCCTGTACCAGTAGAATCATTTAATGCGTTTGATAGTGTAAGATTACGATTTTCACTGCATGGTGCATTTAATTTTAAAGTTATAAACTGTCTTGTATATTTGTAAATGCTAGAAGGCTTATCGTTCATATAGAAAGCCAGATAGAGTAAAATTGATTCTTTATTCAATTCCTCATCACATTGTCTAAGAGCCACTCTCAAAAGTGAAACTTTCAAATTCTCTGACACATGATTAGCGCCATATCCAATTCTAAAAAAATCTTCAAATCGAAGTTTGTTTTGAAAATAATTTAAATCTGTGCTGTATTTATCATAATAGTAATAAAAATTGGACTTGTAGTGTGCACTCCTTTTTTCACTCAAAGTCCAGTAATATTTATCTTCGTTATATTGAAAATAAAACTTTGATTCATATAGAACATCATTTACGTATTTGTTATCAATTTTCCAGGGTGAATAAACGTCCAAAATCGTCGTGTCATTTGAATAATTTTCAGACAGTTGTTGATATGTTGGAAAATTGAGGTTGTAAGTATATACAGACAATAGGTAATTTTTCAACATATTCACAGCTTCAGCAAATGTTTTCATTGGAACATTTGACGAGATGAATTCTGCAGCTCTTTTAATAGCATTCATCCTTCTGGAATTTCTTGTATTAGAAAGTTCTCTGTTTTTTGTAGTTTTAATAATATTAAACCACGAAATAGTCGATAAATCTTGTCTTTCCAGATCAACAATTAAAAAAAATCTATTTTCAATTACCTCATACCTCGTGTCTGTGACTGTAAAATTAACGTGTGGAAACAGTATGTACAGATTGTGAATGTTGTACTGATTCAGATCAACAAAACCGTTAAGTGATTCACTTGTTATGTGATAAAGAATGTTTGTTTCATCCGAATGTGAATGTGGATTTCGTATACTTGGAGGCACTTTACCTGATGGATTCCTCGTTACCAGCTCGAAATTATAAAAGGAAAATGTTGCTCCTTTTAAACTAATTAAAAAATTGACACTACTTACATTAGTTGTAAAATCTAGAAGCCAGAGTTCAAGTGGATAATTAAAACCATCGCGTACTTGCTCAAGAGCAATAATGTTTACTATTGTATGGAATGAATCTCTCTCTTGATCTAAAATTGTTAAACCTTCAATTCTTAGTTTTGATAAAAATTCAAGACGAAATTTTCTTAATGGATCCTCTTCTTCAGATGAGTCTTCATCAATTACCAGAGCGTCACTATCGCTGTCTTCTGACGATGATTCTTGTCTTCTAAACCGTTTTACTATTTTCAAACCGTCTCGTTGCACATTTAAGTTTTTCTTTTCTTTCCACATTTCGGTAAAAACAGGTAAAACATATTCTTTAAAGATTCTTTTAATTGCAAGAGAATTCAGTTTTTCGGATTCCTTTCTCAGGGAGCAAATATTCTTAGTATTGAGATTGTTTGAGAAATCGTGATACAAAATTTCCTGTAGATTAGAAAAGCTGTTGTTGTTATCATTGAAAATATTTCTTACATAACCTGCAATGTTGCGAAAGTGGGCAAATAACCCCACATTAATAATGTACCGATAAAATTTGTTAACATTCGTAAAATTATTCAGCTCTTCAAAATCAGAAATGTTAATTTTACTTCGCATTTCTTTAAAAAGATGGTTTTTGCAGCTGACTCATTATTTGACTTGTTTAGATATTCAAAAAAGGCATTCAGAACGGGTACAGTATCATTTTCGACTGGAGATGAAAGCAGGTTATTGTTATTCAAAATAATTCCCAACGTTGTAATGTAATGACTCACTGAGAAAAACTGATTGTTTGTCAGTGGAGAAATAAATGTCGTAGCCTCCATTCAAAATCACTTCTTCCTTTTAGGTTATGTTTGTTTGCTGTTGCCTTTTACTAGAAATTGACGCTCTGTTATTAAGACTCCGGTACGTATCGTTTTTTACAGGTAACCTAAAAATAAGTGTCATGTCTTCTTTGTGGTTAATCTATTTTTAAGAAAAAATTAGTAAGCTTTGATTTAGTAAATTTTGCGGTAAATAATAAATGTTAGTACAAACGATAAATAAAATATCAACGAGGAGGAATAAATCCTGTGCGCTGTCATTCCGGTTTGCACACCTGTTTAAAAGTCATGTACTCATGTCTATTACAATCTTAATAGTTCGTGACTGACATGTAATAAAAAAACCTGCCACGAACTAAAAAGATAATAGTAGAAATGCCACGTCTACAAAAACGTGTACCAACCGAATGGACTGCATACAATCTGTTACCTGTCTTACGTCAAAATCTTACCTTTAGTACTTTTGGTTGTAAATACGTTGTCAATGTCACTTGTCAGTATCGAAATAAAGTATTTTTAAAATATAATATAACAAAATAATTATCTGTCAATATAGATGAGCATTTAACAAAACAAAATTGTTTCTCTAATATGAAATATTAATTTAAAAAGAAATTTTTTTCTTAAAACTTTGAAAAAGACGTGAAATAGTCTTGAATTTGTTTTCAAAATTTAGTAGCCATTTTAACTATAACGTCATAAAGTGAAACATTTCTTACCTTTAGATTCTTAATTCGAATTCTTCGAGATCAGATGACACATACTACACTGTACAATATGCGTCTCTTCATAAAGCTTTTATAGTAGTAATAACTAATAAAATTATTATCTAAAAATCGTGAATGAATAGCCTATTTATGAACTGAGCCTAATATTTACGCTTTTGTCGTTGTGAAGTGTATTCTCATTGTGAACGCAGCTTAAGGGCCAAGCATAAGTTTTTAATAGTCGTTCACGAATCTATGTAGTTTCTACTCTATGCTTAACTTCAACAAGAAAAGAGAATTTTGTTGACTATAGCTTCCTAACCCTGTTCAGTCGAAACAAAAAAAAATGTTTTCTGCTGTAAACAAAATTTTTGCCGGCAACAAAAACAAACAGTGATAAACAGTGAGATATATAGAAAATATTCTACAAGTGAATTTATTGTTTGATTATCAGTCGGGAGAAAATTGAGTATTAAAGAAAAAGCAACTGTAAGTATACAAGTTACATTTTTTTTAAAGATATTTGTTTTATAGTCTGTTGTAGATTCTTTTTAGAGACACGTTCACTTTATTCAATTATTGCATCACACATGAGATAAAGATAGGGAATCCCATAATTCTATCGAAAAGTATGAATCAGAACCATCAGAACACAAGGAACAAAACAATGTTTTCATTTGTAATAACATCATACTTTTGGCATTTTATCTAGAAATTTAAATTCTTTTTTGTCTAATAACATTTTCTCGGGTTACTTTTTACATTTAGGTATAGAAACAAATTTTATAATTTTTATTGAAATTAAAGTTTAGTGAACTGAGTGTTTATGAAACTAGTAATTATAGTAACAAAAATGTTATTGAGATATTTATACTAAAAATTAAAAACCGTTTTGTGAAAGTTTATTTAAGTAAAATATTGATTTATTTTAATAATAAATGAAGTTCAATTTAATTTTATACGAATAATTGGAGTGTGGTTTAAATAATGCGTGTATTTAGAGGTTATGTTGTCGAAAGAATTTAAAATATATTTAAAATAACAAATTCGATTGTTATACAATATTAATACTTTAAGAAAACGTTTATAATAATATAATTTTTCAATAACAAAGAAATTTAATATAATAATCATAAAAATAATTGAAAAATAATCTGTGAATATAAAATGAAAAGTGAATGTTAATAACTTTTGGAATTTCTATAGGATAATGGGTTCAATAAGTGACGAAAAAGAGGATTTGATTCCTCGACCGTATCAAATTGATCTCTTTGAAAAAGCAATTGCAGAAAATACGATAATTTATCTTCCCACGGGATCGGGAAAAACATATATTGCGGTTCAAGTTGTTAAAAAATTGAGTGCTGCAATTCAAGGGTAAGAATAAATAATTAAATTGCTTTTTAAAATTTTTAATAATTAAAATTCTTCAAAACAAAAATTCCATTAATTTAAATAAATAAATTAATAATAATTTATTTAATTTTTTATTAATTTAAATTTAATAAAATCCTTCACAAGAATTCAATTATTTTTACCAAAAATACAAAATTTTTTAGAAACTTAATTATTTGAAAAAAATATTTAATAAAATTCAATTATTTTTAGAACAAATAAAATTCTCTAATGCGATATTCAATTATTTTCAAAATTCTATTATTTAAATAAAATTTCTCAAAAGAATTCAATTAGGAATTAAAAAAATTTTCAATAAAATTCTTGACAAGAATTTAATTACCTATAAAAAGACTTTTAATTAAATTTTTCTGAATTTAATTATTTTCATAAATAATCAAATTCTTCACAAGAATTAAATTATTTTTACATAAAATTAAAAATTTTTTTTGCAGAAATTTAATAATTCCAATACAATTGTAATTAAAATCTTGGAAAGAATTAAACTGTTTTTAAAATTAAAAAAAGATTCTCAAAAAAAGGAATTCAATAAATTTAATTTTTGCAGGAATTCAATTATTTTTATAAATAATAAAATTCTTTGTAGGAATTCAATTATTTTCGATACAATATTTTTAATAAAATTTTACGAAAGATTCAATTTTTTAAAAATTTTTATTCAAATTTTTCGAAAGAATTCAATTATTTTTGTAAAATTTCAATAAATCCTTCAAGTTAATTCAATTATTTTCACAAAAAATAAAATTCTTCCCAGGATTTCAATTTTTTTAAAAATTCAATTCCTTTAAAAATGCAATTATTTTATGAATTTTATTTAAATTCTTCGAAAGAATTGAATTATTTTCAAAAAATTTGAAAGAAAATTTTCGAGAAAATTGAATTATTTTCAAAAAATTAAAAAAAAAAAAATTCTTCACAAGAATCCAATTATTTTCAATTGCAATAAAATTTCTTGCTAGAATTTAATTATTTTTGTAAACATTTTAATAAAATTCCTTGAAAGAATTCAATTATTTTCAAAATTTTATTATTTAAATAAAATTTCTCAAAAGAATTCAATTATTTATGCAAAAAATTTCAATTTTTCCGAGGAATTCAATTATTTCCATAAATAATAGAATTCTTTGCAGGATTTTAATTATTTTCACCAAAAAAAAAAAATTAAATCTTTTGTAGAAATTCAACTAATAAAAAAAAATTAAATAACATATTTTGCAAAAATTCAACTAATAAAAAAAAATTAAATAACATATTTTGCAAAAATTCAATTATTTTCAATTTTATTAAAATTTCTTGATAAAATTCAATTATTTTTCAAAATTTTAATAAAATTCGTTGAATGAATTAAATTATTTTCAAAAATTTAAATACTTGAAAAGTGAAATTTTTTTTAAAAATTGTTTTCGAACACATTTTTCGAAAGAATTTAATTATTTTTAATAATTTTGATCGAATTCTTTGGAATTCAATTTTTAGAAATAGTATTTTTAGTATAGTAAGTATATTTTTAGTATATTTTTAGTAATAGTATATTTTAGAAAATATTCAATAAATTATTTTGTTTTTGCATTTGAATTGAATGCAAAATTGAATTTCTCGTAGAAATTTGGAGTAAGAATTGATCTAGAAAAGAATATCAGTTACATTTTTAGAAAATAATTATGAATTGGTGTTTAAAGCTTCTTAATCAAAAATTTTTAGTAATTAATTTAAATAACATATTTGTCTTTTTTTTCATTCCTTTTCAGTAAATATAGCTCTGGAGCGAAACGAACAATTTTCATAGTGAATACAGTTCCACTTGTAACGCAACAATCAACTTATCTCGCCAGACACACTGGTTTAAATGCCAAAGGTTTCAGCGGCGACACCCGGGTCAAACATTGGGACAATAGAAAATGGCTCAGTGAAATCGAAGACACGCCGGTAGACTGTCATTATTTTTTTCACTTAACTCTATCTATTAATTTTACTGTCTTTTTTTCTACTATTATTTATATCATTATTTAGTATTTTTTTCTTTCTTTCTTTCTTTCTTTGTTCATTTATTTATGTATTTATTTATTTACTTAATTATTTACTTATTTATTAGTATATTTATTTATTTAATTCTTTATTTATTTATTTACTTCTTTATTTATTTTTTTCATAATTTACTTTTTTCTTTATTTACTTTTTTCTTCATTTAATTCTTTACTTATTTATTTATTTGTGTATTTATTTACTTTTTTCTGTATTTAATTCTTTACTTAATTATTTACTTATTTATTTGTGTATTTATTTATGTACTTACTTATTTATTTCCTTCTTTATTTATTTACTTTTTTCTTTATTTATTTTTTTCTTTATTTAATTCTTTACTTATTTATTTATTTGTGAATTTATTTATTTATTTGTGTATTTATTTATTTTTCCAGATTTTAGTAATGATAGCGCAGATATTTCTAGATATTGTAAATTGCGGCGCCCTGCCACTCGATCGAGTTAATTTAATTATATTCGACGAGTGCCACAGAGGCGTCAGCGATCATCCGATGAGGCAAATAATGCAGAGATTCGAGAAATGTCCCCAGAACCAACGACCAAGGGTCTTAGGTTTATCGGCTACTCTACTTAATTCCAATGTCGATTTGGATAAAGTTCCAGAGACAATCGAGGTACTTTTTTTTCTTTGCATCAAAATACATTTTCAAATTAAATACGCTCGTGCAAAATAATGCAAATTTATATATATTTTTATTGCCAAAAAAAACTGGAAAATTTGTTTAAAAAAAATTGTAGTCAAGAAATATAAATGATCAAAAATTTATTTATCTCTTATTTTTCAAAAGAAAATTTAAAAGTTTTTTCTGTTTTTTTTTTTCAGTCACTGGAAGTCACTTATAACTCGAAAATAGCGTCAACTGAATCGTTGGCTATTGTCGCTGGTTTCTCGACAAATCCAAGGGAAAATTGTATAAAATACAAGGAGCAAAAGGAATGTGCGAAAGAAGTGGAAGAAATTATAAGCGAAGTGACGAGAATGTTGAAAATAATACTAATACCACAACCCTCGGATATTAATCTTTCAACGTCCGTGTTCAAGCCAAAATCGAGAAGCGAGAAATTAATTAACATTTTAATTGATATTAAGGACAATATATTCAACACAGGTTAGTTATTATTTATTTATTTATTAATAAAAGGCGAAAATACGTGTTTTTATTATTATTACTTATTATTACAATACGTATTACGCCTTTTATTACGAAAAAATAAATAAAAAAAAGCGGTTTTAAGAAAAAGAAAATTTTATTACTTAGGCCTTTTTATTGTAAAATAATTAAAAACGGTTTTAAAAAAAATATATTATTTTATTATTTAAGGATCATTTGGAGGAAGTAAAGCTGTTTTATTACACATGATACAAATAGAGGGAATAAAAAAAGTTGTTTCCGAACCAGTAAGTAAAGAAAAATAGTCTGAATTTTCTTTCTCAAATTAAAAACAATCCTTAATTTTTTAGTTTTTTTTACAGTAGTTACAATTACAATTTTTAGAGATAATCAATTATTTACGCTACTTATAATATTATATTAGTAATTTTTTTTCTTCAGGAAACAATATTCGTCTTGGATTACATTTTCACAAAACTGATGACTCTACGAAAATTTTTTGACATGGAAATGAATGGCTTCTCACTGAGGGATCAAATTTATCAGTATGTCTCTAATATTACTTTTATTAGGATAAATTTATTTTTTATTTATATTTTAAAAAAAGACTATTCACCTAAAGAATCAGGAGAATTATAATGTAAATTTGTCAATTTATTTTAGTTTATTTTTTGTTAATTATCTATTTTCATTTTCAGGGTTGCCACAGATCAGGGAAATCAGGGAAAAGTCAGGGAAAGTAAAATTTTTCAGAAGAATTCAATTATTTAAAAAAAAATTTTGATAAAATTCTAAGCAAACTTCGCAATAATTCAATTATTTTCATAAATAATAACATTTTTTATAAAAATTCAATTATTTTTTTAATACAATTTTAATTGAATTCCTCGAAAAATTTAATTATTCTTGAAAATTTTATTAAAATTTCTCGAGAAAATTCAAATTTGTTGATAAAATTCTTTATGATAATTTAGTTTGGAAAAACATTTATTTATTCAATAAATTATTTATTTGCATTTTTACATTTAAATTTGTATTTAAATAATTGAATTCATGTAGAATTTTCCAATAAAAATTGATTTTCATTTCATTAAAATGAATAGCAGTTAAAATTTGAGATAATAATTGAATATTAAAAGCATTATAGCATGAATTTTTAAAAATACATAATTGATAAAATTCATAATTAAATTCTTTCGAAGAGTTTTAACAAAATTTTTGAAAATAGTGACATTTTTCGAGGAATTTACTTAAAATTGTATTAAAAATAATTGAAATCCCGTGAAGAATTTTATTAATTTATGAAAGTAATTGAATTCTTGCAGTGAATTTTTTCAAATTTTGTTTAAATAATTGAAATAATGTAAAGAATTTCATTATTTATGAAAATAATTGAATTCTTTTGAGAATTTTTATTAAAAAAGTAGATTGTGAAAATTTTTCTAGGAATTTACTTTAAATTGTATTATAAATAATTGAAATCCTCAGAAAAATTTTATAATTTATGAAAATAATGGAATTCTTACAATGAATTTTATCAATTTTTTTTTAAATAATTGAATTCATGTGAAAAATTTTATTACTTGTAAAAATAATTGAATTAATGCAACGAATTTTCTTATATTTTACTTAAATAATTAGTATTCTTTTGAAAACTTGTATTAAAAATATAAATTTTGACAATTTTTGAATTTCAGCGAAGAATTTCATTATTTGTAAAATGTACCTAATTTAATTCTTGCAAAAAATTTTTGAAGATAATTTCATTTTTCGAGAAATTTATTTAAATTTGTCTTAAAAATAATTGAAACCCTGTGAAGAATTTTATTATTTATGAAAATAATTGAATTCTTGCAACGAATTTTATTATAATTTTTTTGTAAATAATTTAATTTTTTTTGAAAAATTTTATGGAAATTAAAAGACTCGGAGTAATTGATATCTTCATGTTTTTTAATAATATTCTTATGAGTTGTTTAATTTTAAAAATGTTTGAATTTGAATGTTTTGAAGAATTTTAATTCCTATGGAAAAATAATAATTAAATATTTATTTAAAAATGTAGTTATTGATGTTTGAGAATAATTTTAAAATTTAAGAAATTCGTAAGTAAATGTAATAGAATGTTTTTTTTTAATTATCTAATAATTTTAAGAGTGAATCAGAATATTCTTTATGGTCAGGGAAAAAGTGAAAATCAGTCAGGAAAAAGTTTGGAAATCAGGGAGAAGTCAGGGAAAAATAAAATTAAATATTTGTGGCAACCCTGATTTTCAATTTTGAATCTTTTTTTTTCATGAAAAGAAAGTTGTGTAATAATTAAAAAATATTCTAATTTGACAGATTCTCATCGGACAAAGTGATAAAATTGATAGCAGTTCTAAAGCAATTTAACACTAAAAAAGATCCTGATCAAAATTTTTGCTGTATTATTTTCGTTCAGCGCCGCTTCACTGCACAAGTTTTGTATCATATCTTGAAGGTTAGTTTCGTTTTATGAGAAATTAAATTTAATTCAATTTAAAAAATTAGTTTTAATTTGAAATTAGTTTTGTAATTTAAAATTGACTTTAATTTGAAATTAGTTTTGTAACTTAAAATTGACTTTAATTTGAAATTAGTTTTGTAACTTAAAATTGACTTTAATTTGAAATTAGTTTCAACTTAAAATTAGTTTTTAAGTAAATTAAACTTAATTTTAATTTGAAATTAGTTTTAATTTGAAATTAGTTTCAATTTTAAACTACTTTTAATTTAAATTTCAAGAGTTTGAATTAAAAAACAAAGTCTAATTTTGAAAAAAAAATTTCTTTTACAGAGTCTTCAAGAATCAGACGAAGAATATAAATTTTTGATGCCGAAATACATGGTGGGAGACAGTAGCGATTCGTTCAAAAATACCAGAGAAAATATGTGTACTGCCAGATGGAATCAGGATGTATTGAAAAGGTAATTTAAAGACGATAAAAATTAAAGAGTGAGTGTAGAAAAAAAGTACCGCAAAATAATTCACTATTGTTAATTTGGTTGTTTGTTGTTGTAAAATTTGTTAATTTAAAAAAAATGTTAATTTTTAATTTTGTTGATTGTCCACAGTTTTCGTGAAGGCGAGACAAATTGCATCGTCGCCACCGACGTAGTGGACGAGGGCGTCGATATTCCCGAATGCACATTAATTGTTCGCTTCGATTTGGCGATGGACTTTCGATCCTACATTCAAAGTAAGGGACGAGCTCGTCATTCGAGAAGTCAATACACAATGCTCGTTCCGTACGGTGACGATACTTTTGAAGCCAGATATGTGCAATTTCAAAAAACCGAAAAATATCTACAGCAAGTGAGTTCAAATTTATCGAAATTAAAAATACCTTTAAATTTATGCTACATAATTGATTTTATAAAATATTTCGTTTTTTTTTCTTTTGACAGTTATTGATTGGACAAACCGATTATCGATCACTGCCGAATGTGAAAGACATTGAAAAAGAATTGTACGTTTATAAAATTGAACCATTCTTGCATAGAAATGCCGAAGGTAAGCCTTGCGCAATAACTGAACAGTCGGCAATTGCTTTGCTAAACAGATACTGCGCGAATTTGTATAAATCGAAATTTGTCAGTTTGACACCAATTTGGACTCTGGAGAAACAACCGAACAAAATATCAGATACCGAGCACTTGTTTCAGGTATTCGTGTTTCTTTTAATTTTATACGTTTTTTTCTTTAAAGAAAACGAAAATTATTATTTTTTCGAAGTTATTACATTATATTAAAATTGAAAATTATTTAATTTCACACTTTTTTAAAAGTTTTTTTTTTAAGGAGAAAATGATTTAATTTTCGTTTTATTAATTATTTAATTCGCTTTTCCTCAGGTGTCACTGACACTGCCGATTGTTTCGCCTCTGAAGGAAACGATTGTCGGCGACTGGATGGAATCGATAGACGATGCAAAGCGATCGGTTGCAATGAAGACGTGCATTAAATTGAAGGAAATTGGGGAATTAAATGACAATTTGAATCCCATTGGTCCAGACGATATTCAGGAGAATGTCAATCATCTTTTTCCAAATTGGATCGAAGAGGAAATTGTTGATAATTGTGTGCCGGGGACGTACGGCAAGAAGAGGAAACATAATTTAATTGTTTGTCTCGTATTTTTAATTTATTTTCATATTCATTATTTATTTATTTTCATTTTTTTTTATATTTATTAATTTTCATATTTATTATTTATTTATTTTCATATTCATTATTTATTTATTTTCATTTTTTTTTATATTTATTAATTTTCATATTTATTATTTATTTATTTTCATATTCATTATTTATTTATTTTCATATTCATTATTTATTTATTTTCATATTTATTATTTACATATTTACTAGAAATAATCAAATAATTTAAATAGATTTCGTATAATATTATTTAATTTAAAAATTTTTAATTAAATTGAATTTTAACAATTTGTTCTGGAAAAAAGTTCTTCTTCTTTTTCAGCACCCAAGGGAACTTTATGGAGCGTTTCCTTGTATAAATAAACCGCTATTTCTTCATGTGTTGAAAATGAGACCAACGTTCGCAGAAACTTTGGATAATCCTGAATTAGGATTTTATAATGTGCTGAAGGAAAGTGCAGGATATGGAATACTGACAACGACTGAGCTTCCAGAAGTAAGAAAACTATTTCATTATTCAAAATAATAAAATAATAATAAAAATAATTTATTATATAATATTAATAAACTATATTTCAGTTAAAATTTTTATTAAATTTTTATTAATCGAAATTTCAATTATTATTCTCACAAGAATTCAATCAATTTCACAAAAAAATTAAATTTTTCTAAAAAATTCTATTATTAAAAAAAAATTAAATTAAATTTTTCACAAAAATTCAATTATTTTTAAAAAATTTTACATTCCTTGATAGAATTGAATTATTTTCATCAAATATCCAAAAAATTTTGCAGAATTTCAATTATTTTGAAAAAATGTTATCAAATTCTTCTCAAGAATTCAATTGTTTTCAATTTCAATAAAATTTCTTGATATAATTCAATTATTTTTAAAAATTTTAATAAAATTTCTTGAGGAAAATAATTGAATTTTTGGCGAAGAATTCGACTAAAATTTTTGAGATAGTAATTCAATTTTTTCGACAAAATTTTCTTAGAATGTTTAAAAATAATTGAATTTCTTCTGAAAAATTTATTCAAATTCTACTGGAATTAATTGAATTTCTCGAAAGAATTTAATTAAAATTATATTGAAAATAATGGAATTATACTAATAAGAATTTTGTTCATTTATGTAAATAATTTAATTACTGCAAAGAATTTTTTCTTTTATTTTGAAAAATAATTTAATTCTTGTAGAATTTTGTCGAAATCCTTGAAAAAATAATTGAATTTTTACGTATAAAATTTTTATTAAAAGTTTTCTAGAAATTCTTTAAATTCTTGCGAAAATTATTATTAAAATTTTTAGAAAATAATTGAATTTTGGAGAAGAATTTTTTTTATTCAAAAAATAATTGAATTCTTCGGAAGAATTTTATCGAAATTTTTATGTAAAATAATTGATTTTTTATGTAAATTTTTATTAAAAGTTTTTTTTAGATAATTTTAGAATTCTTGCAAAGAATTTCAAAATAAATTAATAAAATTCTTCGCAAGAATTCAATATTGTTTTCGTGATTAATAAAATACTTCGAAAGATTTCAATTATTTTCATAAAATAATAAAATTCTTCGCAGAATTCAATTATTTTTAATAGAATTTTAATTGAATTTCTCGAAAAAATTTTTTTTTATATTTAAAAAATTGAATTCCCGTAGAATTTTCTAATGAGAATTGATTAAAAAAAATAAATTTCTAGTTAAAATTTTCGAAAATAATTGAATAGGTATTAAAAGCGTTTATAGTAGAAATTTTTAGAAATAATTCGATTTCAAAGTTTTTTAAATTGTTCTTAAATTAAATATTCCAGATGCCGAATTTTCCGATTTTCATTAAAAATGCAACAGTCGAGGTGCATGTAGAAGTGAATTTTACAAGAATTACTTTAGATAGCGAACAAATCGAGGCATTGAAATATTTTCATGGAATGCTATTTCAAAAAATTCTAAATCTCCTTCATGACTTTATGATTTTCGATGTGAATAATTTGGAAAACAGTTTTGCAATTGTTCCAGGTTTGTTTCTTTTGTTTTCCCTATAGTACATCGCTTTATTAATTGTATTTTTATTTTCTATTCTAAAATTTTCGGTAGATTAAAAAAGAATTAATTACAGTACATGGTTTTTTTTCATGATAGAGAATTAATTAGTTCGTGTTTTTTTTTTCATGATTGAGATTTAATTGTATTTGCTAATAATTTTCAGTGAATGAAAATTTAGAAATCGATTGGAAAATTATCGATTACGGTGTTTCTTTAAAAAATGCCAAACAACAAATTTTCAAAGTTAAATCCATTTCTACAAACATCAGTTTCAACGTGCCAAGGTATTTATCTTTTTTTATTTTTCAAGAACCTAATTTTTTTTTTTAAAGAATTTCTACATTAAATTATTCAAAAATTTAATAAATTTTACAGGGAAAGAATATAAATTTTTTAAATAAACATTTAAATATTATCATACTTTTACGACCATTAAAAAGATTTTAATTTAAAATTCTTTTGAAATTTAATTATTACTTAAAATTCCTGTTATAACATTCGATTATTTTATCCTATATTATAATATTGAATCATTTTTCAAAATTTTATTCTTTTTTAAAAATCAATTCTTATTAGAATTCAACGATAATAATTTAATTGTTTAAATAGAAAATTTGTTGTATAATTTAATTATTTTCCAAATTTTTGGTTACAATTCTTCGAAAAATAAAAAAATATTTTTAAAAATCATTTTTTTAAAGTGAGAAAATATAATTCTTTGAAGTAGGTATAGAATTTATTTTAATATGCAATTTGAGAAAAATTCCTATTTTTTCAATTTTTGAAATTTCAACTATTTTCAAAAAATTTTAATTACTATCTGTTATTTATTATTTTCCAGGGAAAGTAGCAAAAAATCGAAAGACAACATCGATGATGAAGATCATTATCTTTTACCTGAACTTTGTAATGTCACAGAATTCCCAGCATTGTACTGGTTGAAAGCAATAGTTTTACCATCAATTCTTTATCGTATAGGACAAATCTTAATAGCGAATGATCTGAAGATTGAAATGGAGAAAGAGGCAAAAATTGCTGTTCCATTTTTGAGGAAAAAGCCTTTGACTGTAACGGCAATGCAAGTGGATAAACGAAGAAGGGAAATTATAGAAACAGCTTCAGATTCTCCATCAAAAATGGAAGTCTCCGATCTGCAAGAGGAAATTGGATTCTCAAAAATGAACGGTATTAGAATTTTCATTTAATTGTCGATGATATATAAAAAATTTCTCCAAATACTGTTTTCCTTTTTTTTAGTATTTTAATAAAGAAAATACTAAAAAAAAATGAAATGGAAATTAACTATTTCAAGTTTGATTTTTCAATATATTTTTTCTATTTTTCTATTTTTAATTATTAATATTTTTGTTAGACAAACAAAAAAATTTTAATTTTGTACTTTATTATTTATATTTATATTTATTTAATATTTATTATATTATATTAATAATACATTATATTATTTTATAATTATTAACATAATTATATATAATATAATTAATTAATTAATCGAACAATAATATAATAATCGAAATTATAAATTTTGAAATTTTGAATAAAAAATAATAAATTTATAATTTTTTTTTTTAGTTTTCAATATGAATGTGGAATATCCGTGGATAATAGAGAATAATCTTCCAGATATAATTCGCCAGGCGGATGTGGTTCAAATGATACGCATCGAAACGTATTACAATTTTAAGCCAAAGGAGGAAAAAGAAAATATGACAAAAACTGTGGTGAGACAATTTTTTTCACTCTGCGTAAAATACGTCCATTCATAAAAAAGAAAGGAGTTTTGTACGTATTTCCCTTTTTTTAATATTTTCCCCCAGGTGAAACCGAAACAAAATGTGAATTCCACTTCAAGACTAAATATGACACAGCCAGTGATAAAATTGCTAACAAACTCTAAATTCGAGGGTCTGAATAGCGTTATTCTAATGAAGGTAAAATAGAAATTTTTTATTAATTTCGCTTTTCTTTCTTGCGAAGAAAAAATAATTTTATCAGAATATATAAGAATTTAAATATGTATTTTTAATTGAATTAAATTTTGAATTTGAATTTTGAATTTATAAATTTAATAAAAAGAAATTAATTTTTTCAGGCTCTAACGAACAGAACGAGCAACGATATTTTCGATCTTGAACGTATGGAAACACTGGGCGATTCGTATTTGAAATTTGCTGTCTCTTTATTCTTGTACGAAACCTACAAGAATTTCAATGAGGGAAAATTGACCGCTTTGAAGGGGAAATTAATTGGCAATCGAAATTTATACTATTGCGGTCTAAATAGAAGAATACCGGGACGAATAAATGTCGAGGAATTCATTCCAGAGAGTAAATTCGTTGTTCCTGCTTTTACTGTTGAAAGAGAAGTTCAGAAAGTGTTAATTAACAATGAGGTAATTCCAAAATTTAAATAAGAATACTGAATATTAAATTAAATAGGAATAGCAAATAATAATAACAATGGAAATAATTAAATTCTTTTAAGGAATTTTGTTAAAATGTTTAAAAATAATTCAATTCTATGGAGAAAATTCATTAAAATTCTACTGGGAAGTAATTGAATTGATAAGAAGAAGGTTTTTTGAAATTTTTAGAAAATAATTGAATTTCTGAGAAGAATTTTGTTCATTTATGAAAATAATTGAATTACCTCAAAGATTTTTTTTTATTTAGAAAAATAATTGAATTCTATTAAGAAAATTCATTAAAATTTTACTGAAAATAATTGAATTCTTACGAAAAATTTTATTACAATTTTATTGAAAGTAATTGAATTTCGGAGAAGAATTTTTTTTGTTTATGAGAAAGAATTGAATTCTTCCTAAGAATTTTATCGAAATTTTTGAAAAATAATTGATTTTTTACGTAAAATTTTATTGACATTTTTTTAGAAAATTTTTGAATTCTTGCGAAGAATATTAATGAAATTTTTAGAAAATAATTGAAAATTTTCTACGAAATTCAATTACTAAAAAAGAATTTAAAAAAATTCTTCGCAAGAATTCAATTATTTTCAATTTAAATAAAATTTCTTGATAAAATTCAATTATTAAAAAAAATTTTTTTTTAATTTCCTTGAAAGATTTTGATTATTTTCAAAAATAGTGAAATTCTTCGCAAGAATTCAATTATTTTCAATTTTAATAAGATTCCTTGATAAAATTCAATTATTTCAATAAATTTAAAAAAAGTTCCTCGAAAAAATTCAATTATTTTCAAAAATGCTGTTGAAATTCATTTGAAAAAAATCAATTATTTTCGCAATAAATAAAATTCTACGATTTTTCGCAAGAATTCAATTTGTTTTCATAAATAATAAAATTCTTTGAAAATATTCAATTATTTTATCAAATAATGGAATTTGTCGCAGAAATTAAATTATTTAAAAAAAGTTTTATAAAATTCTTCGCAGAATTTCAAGTATTTTCAATATAATTTTAATAGAATTTCTTGAAAAACTTTCAATTATTTTCCATTTCAATAAAATTTCTTGATAAAATTCAATTATTTTAATAAATTTTAATTAAGTCCCTCGAAAGAATTCAATTATTTTCAAAAATGCTGTTGAAATTCATTTGAAAAAAATCAATTATTTTCGCAATAAATAAAATTCTACGATTTTTCGCAAAAATTCAATTATTTTCATAAATAATAAAATTCTTCGAAAAATGCAATTATTTTGAAAAATAATGGAATTTCTCGCAGAAATTTAATTGTTTCAAAAAAGATTGATAAAATTTTTCGCAGAATTTCAATTATTTTCAATATATTTTTAATTGAATTCCTTGAAAAAAAAATTTTTTTTTGTTAAAATAATTGAATTTTCGTAGAACTTTCTAATAAAAATTGATTTAAAAATAAATTTTAGTTAAAATTTTCGAAAATAATTGAATAATTGAATATTAGAAGCGTTTATAGTAAAATAAAAAAATGTATTGAAAATAATTAAAATCCTGTGAAGAATTATAATATAATTTATGAAAATAATCGTTTCGAAGAAAATTAAAATTCTTTCAAAATTCTAATTAAAATTTTGTTGATAATAATTTGAAATCCGGCGTAAAATAATATAATTTGTGAATAGGGATTGAATTGTTTTAAGGAATTTTATTAATATTTTCGAAAATATAATTTTAAATAATAATTTAATAATTTTAAATAATAATAAGAATAATAAATAATAAATAATGAATTAACATTTATCTGAAATTTGTAGATTTCTTCGAATGTATTGCAAGAAGTACATATTCCTGACGAGGAGAAGATCAGCGGCTACATAACTGAATCGACTTTAGACGAGATCAACGAAAGAGTTTTAGAATTTAACGATTCATCAAATAACTGTCCAATGGAACACTTTTTAGGAAGACAAATTGTTGCCGACAAAGTGGTGGCAGACTCTGTGGAATCAATTATCGGCGCTAGTCTTTGCGTGAGTTTAATTAATTATTAATGAATTCTTATTTTTCCTTCTGTTGATAATTGGATTAATTTGAAATTGTCATTTTATTAATAATTGAAACAATTTAATTTAATATATAATTGAAATGTTCAAATTTAATTTAATATATAATTTAAACTAATTATAATGTTAATAAATAAAATTTGTCAGTCCCTAGGCGTGGAGGGCGCGTTAAATATCATCAAATGGTTTCAAATAATTCCAATGTGGTCGAAAATTGAAATGAAGAGCATTCCAATAGCCTCGAGTTCACTTAGTGAAATTGCGGCGGCAAAAGTCAACGAACACATACCCTGGGCATCAATGCTTGAAAAGAAAATTAACTATACATTCAATGATCGTTCATTGCTACTTCAGGTACATTTTTTTTTCGTTTTATCATTATTTATGAAACATAATTATTTAAATCAAAAATCTATAAATTTATTTCGTTTATTTTAATTATATTCTTCTTGTTTTATGAAAATAGGCATTTTCTCATCCTTCATACTCACCAAATGTAATAACTCCCTGTTATCAAAGACTGGAATTTCTTGGCGATGCAGTTTTAGGTAAGAGCAAAAAAATTAGATTTTTGGAAAAAAAATACAATATTATTTATTGAAAGAAGAATTTTTCTTTTAAATAATTTTCTTTTCGGAATATTTTAGATACTTTAATTTCATAATTATTTGAAATTTTGAAAAAAAAAATTGTTTGTTGATAACTTTATTGAAATAAGAATTTTGCTCTTTGAGAATAATTTTTTTCGATTTTAGAAAATTTTGAGATTTTCTATTTGGAATTTTGAAAAAAGAAAGATAACTTTTATAAAAAAAAAGTGTTTTGCATTGTGTTTAGTTGATAAAATTCTGTTTTAAATATTAAACGCCTTTTTTTTAAATTAAGAAAATAATTAATTGAGTTTTGATTTTTTTTCAAGATTTTCTCATTACTTTGTATATTTACGAATCTTGCGAGAAATTGACTCCTGGCGATATTACGGATTTGCGATCAGCTTTAGTGAACAATATAACTTTTGCCTGTATTTCGGTCAAGTACGGACTGCACACTTCGCTATTGGCCTATGTGCCCAGTTTACATGAGACGATAAATAGATTCGTCAATTTTCAAGAGGAAAAAAATCACGCCGTTGATGTTGAGGTGAAAATTATTATATTTACTGCAAATACAATTTAATCATTTATTAGAATTATTAAAACTTTTTTTTCTTAACAGACAATTTTAATGAGAATAATGATAATATTTTCTTCTTGTTATGACCGTTTTTTTAATTATTTCGTAATAAAAAGGTTTTTATTAGACTTCTTCTTATTCAGGCCTTTTTATTACAAAATAATAGTAATAATACCTAATGAAAATAATAATAATAATAAAAATTCATCAAAATTAATAATAAAATAAATAATGAAGGTAATGAATCTATAATTATTTTATAACTGCTTTTTTTCTATTTTTCAGTTACTTTGGATTCTAATGGAAGAAAACGAGTGCAATTTGGCTGAACATGTCGACGGGCCGAAAGTATTGGGAGACATTTTCGAGTCATTAATTGGCGCTATTTATATTGATTCCGGCAAAGATTTGAAGAAAGTCTGGCAAATAGTGTTTAAAATGATGCAACAGCATTTTGGTAAATTTTATTTTTTATTTACAAAAAAAAAAACAATTATTTTGTTATTTTTCAGAGTTTTGATAATTTTTTATAATTTCTATTTTTTACTTATTTCAAAATATTTTTTAATTTCTAAATTAATAATTGAATTTAATTAAATAAATCAAATTTAAATTTACAGTAAATTTAATTAAATTTTACTTTACATCAAATTAAATTAAATTTTAATTAAAATGTAATTAAATCCAATTTTTTTTTGTTTTTTCTGTTTACAGAAGTATTTTGTGCAGATGTGCCTAAACAACCGATAAGAGTTATTTTCGAGGTGGGGGTTAAACCAAAATTTTTGTAAGTATATATTACACGTTTTGATTCAGTATAATTTAAAGTTTAGAATTTAATTTAAAGTTGATTTGAGTTTTATTTTATATTTTATATGAAATAAAAGATTTAAAGTTAATTTCTTCTTGTAAATTAGAATTTTTATCGAAAAAAAGGAAAATAAAATTAATATAATTATTATATAAAATAATAAAAATAATATTTAAATTAATTAAATTTTAAAATAATATTTTTGTTTTGTTTTAAGGAAATCGTCAGTAATTGAATCAACTGGTCAAATAATGGTACCTTTGGAAATTATTGTCGAGGGGGAGACGAAATTATTTCACGGATTTGGCGCCAATAAGAAACAAGCCAAATCCGCGGCGGCGAAACAGGCGTTAAAATATTGTCACTCTAAAAAGTAAGTGTCATAAAATAGTCTCTATATTTATTTATTTTGTTTATTTATTGTCTGTTTATTTATTTACTAGCTGTCGTACCCGTCTTCGACGGGTTTTAGTTTCTGCCAATACATTTAACAGTGTTTCTATATCAATCTGATGGAAAATCAGGAAATAGCCGGGAATTTAATTTAACCGGAAAAAAAAATAATTAGTTACCATTAGCTGTTTCGGTAGGAAAATATTACTATTTGAATAGTCTCCACCTTTTAGCAAAAAATCAACAATTATTAAAAATTATCAAAAATTCGAAAAAACCGAATTTCTTAAAATTCAACATTGTATCTCCTCTTTTATGGCATTTAGCTTCAATATTTTTGTGCTATAGGAAAATACTTTGCTCATTTTATTTTCTACGCCCCTGGGTAAAGAATCTGAAATTTTCAAAAATATTCAAAAATTCGAAATACCGAATTTCTTAAAATTCAACATTTTTTCTTCTTTTTTGTGCCATTTAGCTTCAATATTTTTGTGCTTTTGGAAAATACTTTGCTCATTTGATTTTCTCCGCCCTTTGGTAAAGAATCTGAAATTTTCAAAAATATTCAAAAATTCGAAAAACCGAATTTCTTAAAATTCAACATTTTTTCTTCTCTTTTATGGCAATTAGCTTCAATATTTTTGTGCTTTCGGAAAATACTTTGCTCATTTTATTTTCTCAGCCCTTTGGTACAGAATCTGAAATTTTCAAAAATATTCAAAAATTCGAAAAACCGAATTTCTTAAAATTCAACATTTTTTCTTCTCTTTTATGGCAATTAGCTTCAATATTTTTGTGCTCTTGGAAAATACTTTGCTTAATTAAAAATCACCAAACCTTTGGTTAAAAATCTAAAATTTTTAAAAATATTCAAAAATTCGGAAAACCGAATTTCTTAAAATTCAACATTTTTTCTTCTTTTTTGTGCCATTTAGCTTCAATATTTTTGTGCTTTTGGAAAATACTTTGCTTAATTAACAATCTCCGCCCTTTGGTAAAGAATCTGAAATTTTTAAAAATATTCAAAAATTCGAAAATCCGAATTTTTTAAAATTCAACATTTTTTCTTCTCTTTTATGGCAATTAGCTTCAATATTTTTGTGCTCTTGGAAAATACTTTGCTTAATTAAAAATCTCCAACCTTTGGTAAAAAATCTAAAATTTTTAAAAATTATCAAAAATTCGAAAAACCGAATTTCTTAAAATTCAACATTTTTTCTTCTTTTTTGTGCCATTTAGCTTCAATATTTTTGTGCTTTTGGAAAATACTTTGCTCATTTGATTTTCTCCGCCCTTTGGTAAAGAATCTGAAATTTTCAAAAATATTCAAAAATTCGAAAAACCGAATTTCTTAAAATTCAACATTTTTTCTTCTCTTTTATGGCAATTAGCTTCAATATTTTTGTGCTTTCGGAAAATACTTTGCTCATTTTATTTTCTCCGCCCTTTGGTACAGAATCTGAAATTTTCAAAAATATTCAAAAATTCGAAAAACCGAATTTCTTAAAATTCAACATTTTTTCTTCTCTTTTATGGCAATTAGCTTCAATATTTTTGTGCTCTTGGAAAATACTTTGCTTAATTAAAAATCACCAAACCTTTGGTTAAAAATCTAAAATTTTTAAAAATATTCAAAAATTCGGAAAACCGAATTTCTTAAAATTCAACATTTTTTCTTCTTTTTTGTGCCATTTAGCTTCAATATTTTTGTGCTTTTGGAAAATACTTTGCTCATTTGATTTTCTCCGCCCTTTGGTAAAGAATCTGAAATTTTCAAAAATATTCAAAAATTCGAAAAACCGAATTTCTTAAAATTCAACATTTTTTCTTCTCTTTTATGGCAATTAGCTTCAATATTTTTGTGCTTTCGGAAAATACTTTGCTCATTTTATTTTCTCCGCCCTTTGGTACAGAATCTGAAATTTTCAAAAATATTCAAAAATTCGAAAAACCGAATTTCTTAAAATTCAACATTTTTTCTTCTCTTTTATGGCAATTAGCTTCAATATTTTTGTGCTCTTGGAAAATACTTTGCTTAATTAAAAATCACCAAACCTTTGGTTAAAAATCTAAAATTTTTAAAAATATTCAAAAATTCGAAAATCCGAATTTCTTAAAATTCAACATTTTTTCTTCTCTTTTATGGCAATTCGCTTCAATATTTTTGTGCTTTTGGAAAATACTTTGCGCATTTTATTTTCTCCGCTTTTTGGTACAGTATCTGAAATTTTCAAAAATATTCAAAAATTCGAAAAACCGAATTTCTTAAAATTCAACATTTTTTCTTCTCTTTTATGGCAATTAGCTTCAATATTTTTGTGCTCTTGGAAAATACTTTGCTTAATTAAAAATCTCCAACCTTTGGTAAAAAATCTAAAATTTTTAAAAATTATCAAAAATTCGAAAAACCGAATTTCTTAAAATTCAACATTTTTTCTTCTTTTTTGTGCCATTTAGCTTCAATATTTTTGTGCTTTTGGAAAATACTTTGCTCATTTTATTTTCTCCGCCCTTTGGTAAAGAATCTGAAATTTTCAAAAATATTCAAAAATTCGAAAATCCGAATTTCTTAAAATTCAACATTTTTTCTTCTCTTTTATGGCAATTCGCTTCAATATTTTTGTGCTTTTGGAAAATACTTTGCTCATTTTATTTTCTCCGCCCTTTGGTAAAGAATCTGAAATTTTCAAAAATATTCAAAAATTCGAACAACCGAATTTCTTAAAATTCAACATTTTTTCTTCTTTTTTGTGCCATTTAGCTTCAATATTTTTGTGCTTTTGGAAAATACTTTGCTTAATTAACAATCTCCGCCCTTTGGTAAAGAATCTGAAATTTTTAAAAATATTCAAAAATTCTAAAATCCGAATTTTTTAAAATTCAACATTTTTTCTTCTCTTTTATGGCAATTAGCTTCAATATTTTTGTGCTCTTGGAAAATACTTTGCTTAATTAAAAATCTCCAACCTTTGGTAAAAAATCTAAAATTTTTAAAAATTATCAAAAATTCGAAAAACCGAATTTCTTAAAATTCAACATTTTTTCTTCTTTTTTGTGCCATTTAGCTTCAATATTTTTGTGCTTTTGGAAAATACTTTGCTTATTTTATTTTCTCCGCCCTTTGGTAAAGAATCTGAAATTTTCAAAAATATTCAAAAATTCGAAAATCCGAATTTTTTAAAATTCAACATTTTTTCTTCTCTTTTATGGCAATTAGCTTCAATATTTTTGTGCTCTTGGAAAATACTTTGCTTAATTAAAAATCTCCAACCTTTGGTAAAAAATCTAAAATTTTTAAAAATTATCAAAAATTCGAAAAACCGAATTTCTTAAAATTCAACATTTTTTCTTCTTTTTTGTGCCATTTAGCTTCAATATTTTTGTGCTTTTGGAAAATACTTTGCTCATTTTATTTTCTCCGCCCTTTGGTACAGAATCTGAAATTTTCAAAAATATTCAAAAATTCGAACAACCGAATTTCTTAAAATTCAACATTTTTTCTTCTTTTTTGTGCCATTTAGCTTCAATATTTTTGTGCTTTTGGAAAATACTTTGCTTAATTAACAATCTCCGCCCTTTGGTAAAGAATCTGAAATTTTTAAAAATATTCAAAAATTCGAAAATCCGAATTTTTTAAAATTCAACATTTTTTCTTCTCTTTTATGGCAATTAGCTTCAATATTTTTGTGCTCTTGGAAAATACTTTGCTTAATTAAAAATCTCCAACCTTTGGTAAAAAATCTAAAATTTTTAAAAATTATCAAAAATTCGAAAAACCGAATTTCTTAAAATTCAACATTTTTTCTTCTTTTTTGTGCCATTTAGCTTTAATATTTTTGTGCTTTTGGAAAATACTTTGCTCATTTTATTTTCTCCGCCCTTTGGTAAAGAATCTGAAATTTTCAAAAATATTCAAAAATTCGAAAATCCGAATTTCTTAAAATTCAACATTTTTTCTTCTCTTTTATGGCAATTCGCTTCAATATTTTTGTGCTTTTGGAAAATACTTTGCGCATTTTATTTTCTCCGCCCTTTGGTACAGAATCTGAAATTTTCAAAAATATTCAAAAATTCGAAAAACCGAATTTCTTAAAATTCAACATTTTTTCTTCTCTTTTATGGCAATTAGCTTCAATATTTTTGTGCTCTTGGAAAATACTTTGCTTAATTAAAAATCTCCAACCTTTGGTAAAAAATCTAAAATTTTTAAAAATATTCAAAAATTCGAAATACCGAATTTCTTAAAATTCAACATTTTTTCTTTTCTTTTATGGCATTTAGCTTCAATATTTTTGTGCTTTTGGAAAATACTTTGCTCATTTTATTTTCTCCGCCCTTTGGTAAAGAATCTGAAATTTTCAAAAATATTCAAAAATTCGAACAACCGAATTTCTTAAAATTCAACATTTTTTCTTCTTTTTTGTGCCATTTAGCTTCAATATTTTTGTGCTTTTGGAAAATACTTTGCTTAATTAACAATCTCCGCCCTTTGGTAAAGAATCTGAAATTTTTAAAAATATTCAAAAATTCGAAAATCCGAATTTTTTAAAATTCAACATTTTTTCTTCTCTTTTATGGCAATTAGCTTCAATATTTTTGTGCTCTTGGAAAATACTTTGCTTAATTAAAAATCTCCAACCTTTGGTAAAAAATCTAAAATTTTTAAAAATTATCAAAAATTCGAAAAACCGAATTTCTTAAAATTCAACATTTTTTCTTCTTTTTTGTGCCATTTAGCTTCAATATTTTTGTGCTTTTGGAAAATACTTTGCTTATTTTATTTTCTCCGCCCTTTGGTAAAGAATCTGAAATTTTCAAAAATATTCAAAAATTCGAAAATCCGAATTTTTTAAAATTCAACATTTTTTCTTCTCTTTTATGGCAATTAGCTTCAATATTTTTGTGCTCTTGGAAAATACTTTGCTTAATTAAAAATCTCCAACCTTTGGTAAAAAATCTAAAATTTTTAAAAATTATCAAAAATTCGAAAAACCGAATTTCTTAAAATTCAACATTTTTTCTTCTTTTTTGTGCCATTTAGCTTCAATATTTTTGTGCTTTTGGAAAATACTTTGCTCATTTTATTTTCTCCGCCCTTTGGTACAGAATCTGAAATTTTCAAAAATATTCAAAAATTCGAACAACCGAATTTCTTAAAATTCAACATTTTTTCTTCTTTTTTGTGCCATTTAGCTTCAATATTTTTGTGCTTTTGGAAAATACTTTGCTTAATTAACAATCTCCGCCCTTTGGTAAAGAATCTGAAATTTTTAAAAATATTCAAAAATTCGAAAATCCGAATTTTTTAAAATTCAACATTTTTTCTTCTCTTTTATGGCAATTAGCTTCAATATTTTTGTGCTCTTGGAAAATACTTTGCTTAATTAAAAATCTCCAACCTTTGGTAAAAAATCTAAAATTTTTAAAAATTATCAAAAATTCGAAAAACCGAATTTCTTAAAATTCAACATTTTTTCTTCTTTTTTGTGCCATTTAGCTTTAATATTTTTGTGCTTTTGGAAAATACTTTGCTCATTTTATTTTCTCCGCCCTTTGGTAAAGAATCTGAAATTTTCAAAAATATTCAAAAATTCGAAAATCCGAATTTCTTAAAATTCAACATTTTTTCTTCTCTTTTATGGCAATTCGCTTCAATATTTTTGTGCTTTTGGAAAATACTTTGCGCATTTTATTTTCTCCGCCCTTTGGTACAGAATCTGAAATTTTCAAAAATATTCAAAAATTCGAAAAACCGAATTTCTTAAAATTCAACATTTTTTCTTCTCTTTTATGGCAATTAGCTTCAATATTTTTGTGCTCTTGGAAAATACTTTGCTTAATTAAAAATCTCCAACCTTTGGTAAAAAATCTAAAATTTTTAAAAATATTCAAAAATTCGAAATACCGAATTTCTTAAAATTCAACATTTTTTCTTTTCTTTTATGGCATTTAGCTTCAATATTTTTGTGCTTTTGGAAAATACTTTGCTCATTTTATTTTCTCCGCCCTTTGGTAAAGAATCTGAAATTTTCAAAAATATTCAAAAATTCGAACAACCGAATTTCTTAAAATTCAACATTTTTTCTTCTTTTTTGTGCCATTTAGCTTCAATATTTTTGTGCTTTTGGAAAATACTTTGCTTAATTAACAATCTCCGCCCTTTGGTAAAGAATCTGAAATTTTTAAAAATATTCAAAAATTCGAAAATCCGAATTTTTTAAAATTCAACATTTTTTCTTCTCTTTTATGGCAATTAGCTTCAATATTTTTGTGCTCTTGGAAAATACTTTGCTTAATTAAAAATCTCCAACCTTTGGTAAAAAATCTAAAATTTTTAAAAATTATCAAAAATTCGAAAAACCGAATTTCTTAAAATTCAACATTTTTTCTTCTTTTTTGTGCCATTTAGCTTCAATATTTTTGTGCTTTTGGAAAATACTTTGCTTATTTTATTTTCTCCGCCCTTTGGTAAAGAATCTGAAATTTTCAAAAATATTCAAAAATTCGAAAATCCGAATTTTTTAAAATTCAACATTTTTTCTTCTCTTTTATGGCAATTAGCTTCAATATTTTTGTGCTCTTGGAAAATACTTTGCTTAATTAAAAATCTCCAACCTTTGGTAAAAAATCTAAAATTTTTAAAAATTATCAAAAATTCGAAAAACCGAATTTCTTAAAATTCAACATTTTTTCTTCTTTTTTGTGCCATTTAGCTTCAATATTTTTGTGCTTTTGGAAAATACTTTGCTCATTTTATTTTCTCCGCCCTTTGGTACAGAATCTGAAATTTTCAAAAATATTCAAAAATTCGAACAACCGAATTTCTTAAAATTCAACATTTTTTCTTCTTTTTTGTGCCATTTAGCTTCAATATTTTTGTGCTTTTGGAAAATACTTTGCTTAATTAACAATCTCCGCCCTTTGGTAAAGAATCTGAAATTTTTAAAAATATTCAAAAATTCGAAAATCCGAATTTTTTAAAATTCAACATTTTTTCTTCTCTTTTATGGCAATTAGCTTCAATATTTTTGTGCTCTTGGAAAATACTTTGCTTAATTAAAAATCTCCAACCTTTGGTGAAAAATCTAAAATTTTTAAAAATTATCAAAAATTCGAAAAACCGAATTTCTTAAAATTCAACATTTTTTCTTCTTTTTTGTGCCATTTAGCTTTAATATTTTTGTGCTTTTGGAAAATACTTTGCTCATTTTATTTTCTCCGCCCTTTGGTAAAGAATCTGAAATTTTCAAAAATATTCAAAAATTCGAAAATCCGAATTTCTTAAAATTCAACATTTTTTCTTCTCTTTTATGGCAATTCGCTTCAATATTTTTGTGCTTTTGGAAAATACTTTGCGCATTTTATTTTCTCCGCCCTTTGGTACAGAATCTGAAATTTTCAAAAATATTCAAAAATTCGAAAAACCGAATTTCTTAAAATTCAACATTTTTTCTTCTCTTTTATGGCAATTAGCTTCAATATTTTTGTGCTCTTGGAAAATACTTTGCTTAATTAAAAATCTCCAACCTTTGGTAAAAAATCTAAAATTTTTAAAAATATTCAAAAATTCGAAATACCGAATTTCTTAAAATTCAACATTTTTTCTTTTCTTTTATGGCATTTAGCTTCAATATTTTTGGGCTCTTTAAATTTTTTTTTGTAATTTATAAATTTATATAATATAAAAAAATTATTATTTTTGACGAAAACAAATATTTCATTCGGTTCAAAGTTAATTATAGATTGACGCTGATTAATTATTAATGTATAATTAGGAAAATATTATATTTATAATAATAGTTTATTAATTAATATATTATTTAATTTATATTTTTTATTTGATTTATTTTTATTTATTTATATTATTTGCAATATCGATAATTAGTGTGAATTCGATTTTCTCCTGAATAATAATTTTAAACTTTACTTTTAAAAAACAATGAATTTTATTAATGCATATTTTGTGCTTTTATTTTTTATAGAAAGGCGAAGGAAAGTGACTCAGCCTTTGATCAATTCTGCTAATGTTGTTGAAATACTTAGAGAAAAGACTTACAAATTTTTATTATTGTTAAAATTACAAAATATTTTTATTTCTATTTTTTTATAAGAAATTTTTTTTATTAGAAATATGTTTATAAATATATTGATTTTTATAGAAATTTAAGAATTTTGTGATTATCATCAAATGTACAGTATTATGTGATTTTTTTTTATTTGTTAATAATAATTATATGTAATCTTTTTAATAAAAGGTAAAAAAAAAAATAAAATTATGAATTATAAAATTAATTAAAATTTAAGTAAAATTATAAATAAAATTTAATTAGAATTTGAATTAAAATAAAATTTAATTCAAATTTGAATTAAAATAAAATAAAATTTAATTAAAATTAAAATTATTAACATAAAATAAAATTTAATTAAAATTAGAATTAGAATTAAATTAAAATTAAATCCAATTTAATTAAAATCGGAATTAAATTAAAATAAAAACTACCTAATTAAATAAGAATTAGAAAAAAAAAATTGAAAAATTAGAATTTAGAAAAATTCATTAGGAAAAAATTACATAAGTAATTAAGATAATTTATACTAGGATAAATTTTTGAATAATTCAGATAATTTATTTTAAAGTTAGTAATATTTTTTATTGAAATAATTGAATAAAAATAATAGAGAATTTAAAGTTAAATTTAAAAAAATTCCTATTCCCGCCATTTGGAATATTTATCGATACATGAAGGTGTGTTCACAACAATTGACACGGCAATAGTTGCCAGGGTTGAGCAGCTGCGGTGCTTAAGTATCTAGGGACATAACCTTTACAACTAGAAAATTCCCTATAGGATTGACATATGCGACTTGAAGGTTTTCTAACCTCAAAAAAATTAAAAACAAATTGCATAATATTCCTTTGTCTCTTTCGTTAAAATCGTTTAAATAATTATATATATGTAATTGTCAATAATTGTCATCTTCATTTACAATTAAAATTGTTAATAATCTTGTGAATTTTGTATTCTGTGTTCTATATTTATATTTGTAAATCTTTAAAAAATATATGTGAAAAATTCGAAAAAATCTTTGTTTACTGATGTTGACAAATCGTGTGTGTATTTATCAGGTAAATTTCTTCTAATTTCTTCTCTTGGAGAGAGAAATTAGAAAAAAACACAAATGGAACAAAACAGTGAAGATGAAACTGATGAAAATGCATTATCACACCAGGTAAACAAACAATTTTTAAAAATAAATAAAAACTTGTGTACAAAAACACGTCTTTATTTTTGAAGAAAAAGACGGCGAGTAATTTCTTCTTTTTCGTTAGTAAAAAAATTGAATTTTTATATTTTGAAAAAGAGTATAAATAATATAAGTTTTTTTTAACAGAAATAAATATAATTATAATAAATAAATAAATATTATTAAGATATAACGAAGCATGGAATTTTTAGGTTATCTCAATACGAACGGAATCGAGTGTTTTACAAGAGGCTTCGGAACGAATTTCCGAAATTATTCAGTCGACGAATAAAAGTTCGAATGTAGATGATGAAATTAAAAAGTCGAACGAATTAAATCAAAATGAATTGGTGAGAACTGGCGAGATCACACCGTTTCAGGCGGAGGAGAAAAATAATTTACACCAACAATCAACTGGGTAGGAAAATTTAAAAAAAAAATTCTAATTTAAAAATTCTCACTTAGATTATCTTAAAATTAATTTATTCTTTTAAAATTTATTTTAATTTAAGTCATCAATTTTAATTAATTAATTTGAGTAATCAATTTAAAATCTTCTGAAAGTAAATAATTTCTTAAAATTACTTTCAAAATTCAATTATTTTCCAAAATTTTTTTTTAAAATTTTAGTCAAGAATTCAATTATCTTTATAAAATCTTCTTCGAAATTCAATTTTTAAAAATAATAAAATCCTCCTATGAAATTCAATAGCTAATATTAATTTCAATAAAGTTCTTCAACTGAATTTAATTATAAAAAAGATTTTACATAAAATCCATCCAAAGTATTAAATTATTTTCATAAATAATAAAATTGTTTTCAAGAGTACAATTATTTTTATAATTAATAAAATTCTTCACAAGGATTCAATTATTTTCATAAAAAAAAAAATTTTTTGCAGAAATTTAATTATTTATAAAAATTTTTTAAGAATTCAATTATTTTTAAAAAATTTAATAAAAATCCTTAAAAGAATTCAATTATTTTCACAAAGAATAAAATTTTTTCAGAAATTTAATTATTTTCAATTTTTTAAAAATTTTTTGATGCAATTTAATTATTTTTAAAAATTTTAATAAAAATCCTTAAAACAATTCAATTATTTTTAAAAATTTTAATAAAATTCCTTGACAAAATTCAATTATTTTTACAAAGAATAAAATTTTTGCAAAAATTCAATTATTTACAAAAAATTAATAAAAATTTTTAAAAGAATTAAATTATTTTCAATTTTATTAAAATTTTTAAAAGAATTAAATTATTTTCAATTTTATTAAAATTTCTTGATACAATTCAATAATTTTTAATAATTTTAATAAAAGTCCTTAAAAGAGTTCAATTATTTTAAAAACTTTTAATAAAATTCAATTCAAGAATTCAATTGTTTTCATAAAGAATACAATTTTTGCAGAAATTGAATTATTTATAAAAATTAAATATTTATTTTAAAGAATGCAATTATTTTTTATTTTATTAAAATTTCTTGACAGAGTTCAATTATTTTTTTAAATTTTAATTAAATTCCTTGACAAAATTAAATAATTTCCACAAAGAATAAAATTTTTATAGGATTTCAATTATTTTCAATTTTATTAAAATTTCTTAATAGAATTCAATTATTTTTAATTTTATTAAATTTTCTTGACAGAATTCAATTATGTTTAAAGAATTTTAATAAAAATCCTTAAAAGAATTCAATTATTTTCATAAATAATAAAATTTTTGCAGAAATTCAATTATTTACAAAAAATTAATAAAAATTTTTAAAAGAATTCAATTATTTTAAATTTTATTAAAATTTCTTGATAGAATTCAATTATTGTAAATTTTATTAAAATTTCTTGATAGAATTCAATTATTGTAAATTTTATTAAAATTTCTTGACAGAATTCAATTATGTTTAAAAATTTTATAAAAATTCTTTGACAGAATTCAATTATTTTCACGAAGAATAAATTTCTTGCAGAAATTCAATTATTTACAAAAATTTAATAACATTTTCTGAAAGAATTAAATTATTTTCATTTTTATTAAAATTTATTGATAGAATTGAATTATTTAAAAAAAATTGTATTAATATTCCTTGACGGAATTCAATTATTTAAAAAAAATTTTAATAAGATTCCTTAACAGAATTCAATTATTTTCACAATAAATAAAATTCTCTGATAAAATTTAATTATGTTGAATAATTACTATTTAAATTAAATTCATTAAAAGTATTTAGGTATATAAAAAAATTAAATAAAATTCTTTGCAAAAAAATTCAATTATTTTCGAAAATTTTTTAAAAATTCATGTAAAAATTTCAATTACTTTTAATAAATAATATAATTCTTTGGCAAAATATCAATTATTTTAAAAAGTTTTCCTCAATACAATGATTTTCAATATCTATTATTTTAATAAAATGTTCCAAAAGAATTCAATTATTTAAAAATTTTTAAATTGAAATATTTTAAAATTTTAAAATTTTAAAATTAAAATTTATAAAAAATAAAAATTTTTTTTATAAAATTCTGTGCAAGAATTCAATTATTTTCACAAAATAATAAAATTCATCGCAAGATTTTAAATATTTTACGATACAATATTAATTGAATTTTTTTTGAAAAATTCAATTATTTTTAGTAATTTTTGACAAAATTTGTATGAATTCAATTATTTTCATAAATCAAATTCTTCCAAAAGTTGTTGAATTTCAAAAAAGTTGTTTGAATTTGAAATTTTGTCGAAAATCTTAATTCTTATGGAAATCAGAGGGAAAAACAAAATTAAATTTTTGTCACAAACCTGAAGATTTAAGTTAAATTTTAAATTAATTTGGTTTTTTCAATTTCTTTTCTTTTTTTTTTTCTTCTAGAAAATAAGAGATTTTGTAAACTAATTTAAAGAATTGAGTTAAATTTTTGATTTCATGTTGTTTTTCTGCATTTCTTTTCTTTTTTGTTCTAGAAAATCCAATGAAACGTCTCAACTCACACAATTTGAAAATTATCTCAAATGCCAAGCGGAACTCGCCAAGAAACGAAAATTATCAAAAAAAAATAAAAATGCGTCAATTAATGAAAAACCAAAGAAGAAAATCAAAAAATCAAATAACGATAAAATCGAGTATATAAATAAAAATTCCAATCAAACAAAAGAGAATTTTGAACAAGAAGATGAGGAGAAAATTGAAGAAAAACAAATTCAAGAATTTGTTGCGAAACCGAATAATATTAGCAACGAATTCGATTTAAGGTCAAACAAAAGTAGCAATAATTCGGAAATAAATCGAAACAAAAGTAGCAATGACCTGGAAATAAATCGAAACAAAAGTAGCAACAACCTGGAAATAAATCGAAACAAAAGCAACGACGATCTGGAAAATAATTCCAATAATTCAGGAAGTGAATACATTCCAAGTGACGAGGAGAATTTAACGGACGATGAAGATTATGGGAATTCACAAAAGCGAAAAGTGAACTCGTCGTCGTCGTCGTCGAAATGTAAATTAGCGTCTAAAGTGAATAGAATACTCGACGATGGCGACGAGGAAATTTATCGCGAACGCGTTAGAGGAACGAGGAGACGAAAGAAGGAGCCAATGCATAAAATTGACAATTTATTTAAAGTACCGCAATCAATTTGGAAGAATCTCTATCAATATCAGCGAGTGTCTGTGCAATGGTTGTGGGAATTGCATAATAGAAATGTGGGCGGTCTAGTGGGCGACGAAATGGGACTGGGAAAAACTGTCCAGGTCATCGCTTTTCTCGCCGGTCTCGAGAGCAGTGAATTACTTCTTGACGAGGGACGATTTCGTGGATTGGGACCGACGCTCATTGTTTGCCCGGCGACTCTCCTGGATCAGTGGGTCAGTTGACATTAAAAAAAAAATTGTAGTTTATTTTCGTTTAATTCTAATTTAGAATTTTTTCTTTATTTACTTTTTTCCATTCACTCTTTTTTTATTTACAATTTTTTTTTATTTACTGCTTTTTTTATATTCACTATTTTCTTTATTTCCTATTTTTTTTAATATTCACTTTCTTTTATATTCAACGTCTCAGACTTTGCACTCAATAATTAATTAGCAAAAAATTCATTTTTAAAACTGAAAAAAGTAATTAACGAAAATTTAAATTTGACTTGATTAAAAATTAAAATTAAATTAAAAATAATTGAATTCCTTGATAAAAATTTAATTATTTGTGAAAATAATTGAATACTTGTCCTTTCGAATAAGTATTTTGAGTAAAATTTTTTAAAATAATTGAATGTCGAAGAACAATTTAATTCAATTGTATTTAAAATAATTGAATTCTTAAATAGATTTTTATTGTAGTTTTTCGAAATAATTGAAAAAAAAATTTTTGTTTCTTCTGCAAATAATTGAATTCTTTTGTAGGAATTTAAAAAAAAATGTTTAATAATTGAATTTTTCCAGGATTTTAATTAAAATTGTATTAAAAATAATTGAAATCCTACGAAAAATTTATTCAAAATTTGTAAAAGAATTTTATCAACAAATTTTTTAATTAATTCAATTCATTCGGAGAATTTCAATATTAATTTTAAAAATATTTAAATTTGTTTCAAGAAATTTAATTCAATAATTTATTAAAAATAATTAAATTCTAATAAACAAATTTGTAATAAAATTTTCGAAAATAACAATTCTTTTCAGGAATTTTTTAAAAACAATTTTTTAAAACACTTAAATTTCCGCGATAAACTTTATTAATATTTTTAAAAATAACAAAAATTTGTAAAAATTATTTATTAATTTTTGAATGATAATGAAAAATAGTTCGAGAAATTTCGTTAAAATTGTTCGAAAAATAATTTAATTCTTTTCAAAAATAATAATAAATTCTTTCGCAGAAATTCAAGTATGTATTTTAAAAAATTTTAATAAAAATTCCTGGAAAGAATTCAATTATTTTCATAAATTTTGATAAAAATTCTTTAGAAGAATTTAATTAGGATTATCAATAAAATTTTTATTTAATTTGTGGAAAGAATTTAATTATTTTTATAAAAATTTTTCTGAAGAATTAAATTATTTTTAATACAATTTTAATTCAATTCTTCAAAATCAATTATTTTATGAAATTTTAATAAAATTCTTCGAATAATTCAATTATTTTTCAATAATAAATGAAATTCTTTGATGAAAATCAATTATTTTCAATATCTAATATTTTTATACAATTTCTCAAAAGAATTCAATTATTTAACAAAATTTTTGTCAATAATTGAATTTTTCTCTGGAATTCAATTAAAATTGTGTATTTAAAATAATTAAATTCCAGCGAAAATTACATTATTTATGAAAATAATTGAATTCTTGAATAGAACTTTATTGTAATCTTTTTAAATAATTGAATTACTTGCGAAAAATTTTATTGATTTCTGCAAATAATTGAATTTTTTCGCAGAATTTTTGGAAAATTTGTTAAATTAATTGAATATTTATTCAATTCTTGTAAAGAATTTTATCGTCAATTTAAAAAATAATTGAATTTCGCATCTTTTTTTTTTTTTTTTTTTTTTGAAAATAATTGAATTCTTGCAAATGCATTTAATTAAATTTTTTTTAATAATTGAATTCCTGACAAAAAAATTTTATTATTCGTCAAAATAATTGAAGTTTAGCTAAAAATTCAATTATTTAATTATACAAAAATAATTCAATTCCTACAAAGAATTCTATTTATTTATGAAAATAATTGAATTCTGTCAAGAAATTTTAATAAAATTAAAAATAATTGAATTCTTTAAAAGAAATTTTTAATTTTTATAAATAATTGAATTTCTGCAAAAATTTTATTCTTGATGAAAATAATTGAATTCTTGTGAAGAATTTTATTATTTATGAAAATAATTGAATTCTTTTAAGGAATTTTATTAAAATTTTTTTAAAATCATTAAATTCTATCAATTAATTTTAATGAAATTGAAAATAATTGAATTCTTTTAAAAAAATTTTATTAATTTTTTGTAAATAATTGAATTTCTTCAAAAATTTTATTCTTTGTGGAAATTAGTGTATTTTGTCAAGGAATTTTATTGAAATTTTTAAAAATAATTGAATTCTTTAAAAAAAAATTTTAATTTTCATAAATAATTGATTTTCTGCAAAAATTTTATTCTTGATGAAAATAATTGAATTCTTGTGAAGAATTTTTATTAAAATTTTTAAAAATAATTGAATTCTTTAAATATTTTTATAAATAATTGAATTTCTGAACAAATTTTATTCTTTGTGAAAATAATTGAATACTAGCGAAGAATTTTATCAAAATTTTTGAAAGTAATTTAATTCTTTCGAGAAATTCAATTAAAATTTATTTTACGAAATAATGTGAATTTGATATTTTCTTAATTTATTATTATTTAGAAAAATTATATTATGTATTTAAAATTCTGATTTTAGTTTGATTGGCTGGTGATATAAAAAGTATTATTAGACGAGTGCGAAGTATTAATATTATATTAATGGAATTAAATAATATTAATTATTATTTTAATTAAACAATATTAATTCTATTTTAATTAATAAATATTAATTACCTACTGTTTTAATTAAACAATATTAATTACCATTTTAATTAAATAATATTAATTACTATTTTAATTAAACAATATTAATTACTATTTCAATTATTGAATGATTAAATTAATAAAGTTAAATAAATATTGTCAACAGGTGAAACATTTTCACGATTGGAGTCCAATAACAAGAGTCGCGCTCCTCCATCACTCGGGCTCGTTTCAAGGCGACATCGAGGACCTCGTCGAGAGCATAAAACACGGCGGCATTCTCCTCACCTCCTACACCGGCGTTCTCCTCCACAAGGACCTCCTCACCAAGACCGACTGGCACTACGTCATTCTCGACGAGGGTCACAAAATTCGCAATCCCGAGGCGAAAGTGACGAAGGCTGTGAAACAATTCTCGACGCCTCATCGCCTTCTACTCACCGGGAGTCCGATGCAAAATTCCCTCAAGGAATTGTGGTCGCTCTTCGACTTTATTCTGCCGGGGAAATTGGGAACCCTGGCCGCATTCGTCGAGCACTGCGCGAATCCAATAACGAGGGGCGGCTACACGAACGCCAGCGCGCTCCAGGAGGCGACGGCCCTGCAGATGGCGACGATGCTCAGGAACGCGATCACGCCCTACATGCTGAGGCGAACGAAAGTCGACGTCCAGCATCATCTGTCGCTGCCCGAGAAGAACGAGCAGGTTTTGTTCTGCAGCCTCAGCGAGGAGCAGAAGAAACTCTACAAGGAGTATCTCTTCTCTTCCGAGGATGTTTCGCACGTGATTCACGAGAAGAATTCCGGCAATGGATTTTTCAGGGCGAGAATGTTGGTCGCTTTGACGGCGCTCAGGAAACTTTGCAATCATCCCGATTTGTTTTTGTTTAATCATCAAGTTGTGGTGAGAATTTGTGCAAAAAACAGGCTTCCCACTCATTTACTAAAACCTACTATTTACTACTTTTTTTAGATTTCAGCCACTAAAAGATACTATTTCTAGTTTTTTTTTTAGAATTTACTTTAAATTCATTAATACTAGAAATCAAAAAACTTCTCAAAAATTAAATACTCAAATTCTTTGAAACGATTCAATTATTTTCAAAAAAATATTCAAAATATTTAACAAAATGATTAAACAAATTCTTCACAATAATTCAATTACTTTGACTAATAATAACATTTTTCATGGAAATTCAATTATTTAAAAAAAAATTTTGATAAAATTCTAAGCAAGAATTCAATTATTTTGATAATTAATAAAACTCATCAAAGAATTTCAATTATTTTATTAATTTTTAATACTATTTTAAAATTAATTAATCGAAAAATTCAATTATTTTCACAAATAAATATTTCCACAAGAATTCAATTATTTAATTATAATTTTCATTATATTATGTTCCAAAAAAAAAATTAATTATTCAAAACAATGTTTATAAAATTCTTATGAAGAATTCAATTATTTTCAAAAATAACAAAATTTTTCACTGAAATTCAATTTTTTTAAAACAATAAAATTAATTAATTATTTTGGCATAAATAATAAAATTCTTTGCAGGAATTAAATTCTATTCAAATATTTGAATAAAATTGTTCGAAGGAAATAAATTATTTTAAATAGAATTTTAATTAAATATTTTTGATATTAATTCAATTATTCTTTTAGATTTTAATAAAATCCTTGTTAAGAATTCAATTATTTACGTATAAATAATTCTTCGAAACAATTCAATTATTAAAGATAAAGAACAAAATTATTCTTGAAAATTCAATTATTTTTCACGGATTTTAATAAAATTCTTTGCAAAATTCAATTATTTTTTAAAAATTTAATTTCAATTCCTCGAAAAAATTATTTATTTAAAAAAAAATGTTTCTTTAAAATTCTTCACAAGAATTCAATTATTCACAAAAATAATTCTATGACAGAATTTAATTATTTAGAGTTTAATAAATATTTTGAATAAATTTTTAATTAAATTTCTCATGTGAAAATAAATTTATTCTCAAAGATTATAATGAAATTTTTCAAAATAATTCAATTATTTTTAAAGAAATTTTAATAAAATTCTTGTCAAAATTCCAATTATTATCAATTATAAATAATAAAATTTTTCTTCAAAATTCAATTATTTTCAAAAATTTTGGCAGAATTTCAATTATTTTCAAAAAGTTTCTTCAATTCAATAATTTTCAATATTATTTTAATAAACTTTTCTAAAAGAATTCAATTATTTATAAAAATTGTTCATAAAATTCTACGCAAATATATTAGAATTTTTCACAGGAATTCAATTATTTTCAAATATTTTAATAAAATTGTTCGAAAGAAGTCAATTATTTTAAATACAATTTTAATTATATTTTTTTTTGAAATAATTCAATTATTCTTTTAGATTTTTAATAAAATTCTTCCCGAAAATTCAATTATTTACGTATAAATAATTTTTTGAAAGAATTCAATTATTTTGATAAGTATAACAAAATTATTCCCGAAAATTCAATTATTTTGAGGGATTTTAATAAAATTCTTTGCAAATTTCAATTATTTTCATAAATCAAAATATTCATGAAAAGAAAATAAATTCAATTATTTTCAAAAGTAATAAATTTCTTCTTGGAAATTCAATAATTTTTAAAAAAAAATTCTAATAAATCGTTCGCAAGAATTCAATTATTTTCATAAATAATAAAATGCTTTTTCGGAATTCAATTATTTTCAAAGAAGTTGAATAAAATGCCACACAGACATTCAATTATTTAAAAAAAAATTTTGTAAAAATCTTCGTAAGAATCTTTTTCATGAATAATAAAAATTTCTCAGGAATTGAATTATTTAAATTGTAGAATTTGCATAAAATTATTCGAAAGAAATGAATTATTTAAAAAGTTTCTTTTATAATTTATTTTTTCGCAAGAATTGAATTATTTTTGGAAATATGTATTTCAATTCTTTCATCATGAATTATAAAATTCGTTGCGCAGGAATTAAATTTGCAGTTGGATAAGAAAGAAGTAAATATTTTTGATGAAAATTAGGAAAAAGTCAGAAAAGTAGAAAATAGAATGGAATTTTTGTCAGTTTTGTGAAGTTTCTAAAACTCGTTTTTTTTTGGTCGTTAAGATTAATTTTTCGATAGCTACTTTTTTTTTTAGTTTGAAAGCTACTTTTTGCTACTTTTTTAAAAATTAATTATCGAGTGCGAAGTCTGCAAAAAGTTTTGGAAAAGTTTTGTACAAAACAAAAATATGAAGAAAAATATTCTATACACGTTTTTTTAGAGTGTAAATTAATATTTGTTTTTCAAGGACTCCGAGGATGAGGAGTCTATGGAATTGACGGATAAAATGATGGAAACATTCGGCCATTGGAAGAGAGCTGGCAAAATGATAGTCGTTCGTTCATTGTTGAAAATTTGGAAGAAACAAGGACATCGAGTGTTGCTCTTTACACAGAGTCGTCAAGTGAGTTTTTCCAATTAAATATTCGAAAAATAATTCAAAATCTGCGAGAAATATTTTACCTATTCCATTTTTTTATTTTTTTCAGTTATTTTCTTTTTTTTTTACTTTTTTACCTTTATTTTTAGTTAGGTATTCAGTTTTTTTTTTACTTTTTTGTTAGTTATTCAGTTTTTTTTCTATTTTACTTTTTTCTTAGTTATTCAGTTATTTTTACTATTTAATTTTTTGGTAGTTATTCAGTTTTTTACTTTTTTTTAGTTAGTCAGTTTTTTATTATTTTACTTTTTTTTTTAGTTATTCAGTTTTTTTTATTATTTTACTTTTTTGTTAGTTATTCAGTTTTTTTTTTACTTTTTCTTCAACTCATTCCAGTATTTTTTTAGATGATGCACATTCTCGAGGCATTGGTACAAGCTGAAAAATACACTTATTTGCGATTGGACGGAATGACTCCAATGGGTCAAAGGCAGCAAACGATTCAAAAATTTAATACAGTAAGTTAAATAAATACCTAATTAATTAATTAATTAATTTAATAATAAAACTAATTTCTTTTGCTTCTAGGAATCTTCGTATTTTGTTTTCCTGTCGACAACGAGAGTCGGGGGACTAGGTGTAAATTTAACCGGTGCCGATCGAGTCGTTATTTACGATCCAGATTGGAATCCAGCAACCGATGCACAGGCGAGAGAAAGAGCTTGGCGCATTGGTCAAGAAAAAAATGTCACCATTTATCGTTTAATAACTGCTGGAACTATCGAAGAAAAGGTTTTTATTTTCATTTTAATTCCGTCATTCGAAAAAAATAATTCAATTCATTTAAAGAATTTTATTTTTCTTTGAAAATAGTTGAATTCTTGTACAGAATTTTATTAAAAAAAATTTTTCAAATAATTTCAATTTTTAGTTGAATATTTTTATTATTTATTAATTGTGTTCGAGAATTAATGTATAAAATAAAAAAAAAGATAAGAAAATAGAAAAATAAGAAAAAGAAATAAAAAAAATTACTAATAAATAACTAATTTTAAAATAAATTTGAATCAAAGTTTTTTCAATGAATTAAGTTAAGACAGGGCTCGGATCGTCTTTAAGACTCAAAAAAAGTCGCTTTAGTCGCATAAATTTACAACAAAAGTCACGAAAAGTCGCATAAAATTTCCAAAAAAGTCGGAAAAAAGTCGCATGAAATTTTAGAAAAAATGACAAAAAGGAAACACGAAATTGTCAAAATTGTAAAAAAATCACATTTCTCGACAACAGATACATTAATATCAAACAATCCGGAATAAAATTTTAAAAAATTGAATAAAATTCATAGCAAAATTTTAATTAGGTATTTTTAACATTTTTTTTAAATTCTCTTTAAAATGTCAATTATTTTTATAAATAATAAAATTCTTCTGCGAAATTCAATTATTTTACAAGAATTTTAATAGAATTCTTGTCAAAATTTCAATTATCTTTATAAATAATAATATTCTTCTCTGAAATTTAATTATGAAAAAAAAATTGAAAAAAAAAATTAAATAAAAAAAAAAAAATAAAAAATAAATAATAATAATAAATAATAATAATAATAATAATAATAATAATAATAATAATAAATAATTAATAAAAAATTAAATAAAAAATTAAAAAATTGAATAAAATTCATAGCAAAATTTTAATTAGGTATTTTTAACATTTTTTTTAAAATTCTCTTTAAAATGTCAATTATTTTTATAAATAATAAAATTCTTCTGCGAAATTCAATTATTTTACAAGAATTTTAATAGAATTCTTGTCAAAATTTCAATTATCTTTATAAATAATAATATTCTTCTCTGAAATTTAATTATTTTCAAAAGTAATAAAATTCTTCGCAGATAATCAATTATCTTCAAAAGTAATAAAATTCTTCGCAAAAATTCAATTATTTTTTAAAATTAATAAAATTCTTTACAAGAATTTAATTATTTTTAAAAACTTTAAAATTCTTGACAGTAATTTTTTTTATAAATCAATAAAATTCTTCACAGGAATTGAATTATTTTCAAAAAATAATTGAACTCTTCGCATGACATCAATTATTTTCGAAAATTCATCAAATTTATCGTAAGAATTCAATTATTTTCAATTATTACTAAAATTTTTCTCAAGAAATTCAATTATTTTGAAAAATTTTGATTAAATTAATGATAAGAATTGAATTGTTTTCAATACAAAAATTTCTTCGCGAAAGTTTAATTATTTTAAGGAATTTTAATAAAATTCTTCGCAAAAATTCAATTATTTTCAAAAGTAATAAAATTCTTCTCTGAAATTCAATTATTTGCAAAGAATTTTAATAAAATTCTTGTCAAATTTTCAATTATCTTTTTAAATAATAAAATTTATCCTAGAAATTCAATTATTTTCAAAAGTAATAAAATTCTTCGCAGAAATTAAATTATTTTCAAAATTTTTTTTTTTAATTTCTCGTTAAAAATGTTTATTATCTTCATAAATAATAAAATTCATCCTGGAAATTTAATTATTTTCAAAAGTTCTGATAAAATTTTTGGCGAAATTCAATTATCTTCAAAAGTAAAAAAATTTTTTACAGAAATTCAATTATTTTCAACATTTTTTTTTTTAAATTCTCTTCAAAATTTCAATTATCTTTGTAAATATCAACATTCTTCTGCAAAATCCAATTACTTACTAATGTTTTATAAATTTCTTCTCAATAATTCAATTATTTGCATAAAAAGTAATTAAAATTTTTTTTTTATAAAGTCTTTTAATATAAATTAATGATTTTATCACTCGGTCATTTTTAATTATTATAAAACATGAAAAAATCGTTCGCTCCGAGTCGAAGACTCGGAGTGATCGATTTCTTCATGTTTTATAACAATTTTTTGTAAGTTGTTTATTTTGATTTTGAATCTTTTGAAGAATTTTAATTCCTATGGAAAAATAATAATTAAATATTTATTTAAAAAAAAGTTATTGATGTTTTCGAAAAATTTGTAAATAAATGTAACAGAACATTTTTTTGACTAAAACTTTTTCCTTTAAATTAAAAAAAAAAATGTTTAAATTTCATTCGCATTTTAGTAAAAAAAAAGTAAAAAAGTCGATTAGTCGCATTTTTTCACAAAAAAGTCGAAAAAAGTCACATTTCCTTAGAAAAGTCGAAAAAAGTCGAAAAAGTCGCACAATCCGAGCCCTGTATAAGAATTTTTAAAGTAAAATTCCTTAAAATTGAATTATTTATTTATTATTTATTTTTTTTAGGAAATATTTACTACATTTGTCATTTTATTTAAATTTTTCAGATTTATCATCGTCAAGTTTTCAAACTTTTACTATCGAATAAAGTTCTCGAGGATCCACGACAGCGACGACTGTTCCACACGTCCGACATTAGTGAATTATTCAATTTAAATGAAACTCTTGACGGTGAAGCCGAATCTGATGAATTATTTCGACACTCGAAACTTTCGGCGCCAATGAAGAAGAAGCAAAAGAAGGAAAAGAAAACAAAAACGACAAAAACTTTCTCCTCAACAAAATTGGAGGAAATGCGAAAACTCGCCTCAAGTCTCAGCAAGGAAATCGGTAAAAAGGGGAGAAGTGACCCGGAAATTTCGAAAAATGAAAAAAATACGGAAAAACCGGTTGAATTGGAGGAAATTAAAATCGAAAATTGTGACGAAGACAAAAATATTTCGGAAAATATGGAGAATTTCGACCAAATTGTCAGTTGTACAGAAAGAGAAAATGAAAAATTAGAAAATAATTTCGAGGAAAGTGAAAAATTAAATGATAACATTGAAGAAAGGGAAAAAGCGGAAATTAACAGCAAAAGTGAGGAAATTGACGAAGAGAAAATGGAAAATATTGACGAGGATAAAAGAGACGAAGAGAAAAGGAATGAAAAAGATGGCGAAACTCGAAACAATCTCGATAATTCGAATAATTTTGATAAATCCGACAATTTCGATAATTCTGGCAATAATTTATCGAGTAAAATGGAAAAAGAAACGAGTGAAGAAGAGGGCGAAATTCGTGAAACAAGTGAAACTTTAATTGAGGAAAAAGTAAAGCAGCAGCAGCAGCGAAAGAAGAAAAAAAGGAAGAGGAAAGAAATTGCGAGTGAAGTTTCGGCACTTTTCGAAGGCGAACAAGTTCCATGTCTGCTGGGTCGACGTCTTGGTTTTGCGAAAGAGAATCAAGAGCCAGTCGCCACGGAGGACGACGACTACGTACTCTACAAATTATTCTCCAAAGCTGGTAAAAATTCAAAATACTACAAACTCTTTTATTTTCAGTAAACGATTATCATTTTAATTCAAACAAAAAAAAAAAACTAAACTGAAAACTGTTCAATCTATTTTCGAATTTTTAAAACTTAAAAGTATACGTTTAGTTTCAAAATACAAGTTTCAAAATACAAATGATAAATAATTCAAAAATTATGAATTTTTGCAATTAAAAAACAAACAAAAGTATAAAATACAAAAAATAAATCATTATTTCTAAAAATATGAATTTTATTTTCATATTTTCACAAATAACAAAATTCTTCGCTGAAAATCAATTATTTTCAATATCTGCAAATTTAATTAAAATTTTTTTGTAGGAATTCAATTATTTTCAATAATTATAATAAAATTCTTCGCAAAAATTCAATTATTTCTATAAATAATAAAATTCTTATCAGAATTTCACTTATTTTCAATAAAATTTTAATTTCTTTCTTCGTAAATTTCACTTATTTTCAATAGAATTTTAATTTATTTCTTCGTAAATTTCACTTATTTTCTATAGAATTTTAATTAATTTCTTCGAAAATTTCAATTATTTTTAAAAATTTTTCAAAAATTCACCGAGAAAATGCAATTATTTTTCAAAAATAATTGAATTTTTCGCAGTTTAATTATTTAAAAAAAAAAATGTTAATAAAATTCAATTCAAGAATTCAATTATTTCTATAAATAATAAAATTTTCGCTGCAATTGAATTCAATTATTTTAAATAAAATGATAAATTTAATTCCAGGGAAAATTCAATTATTTTTAAACATTTTGCAAAAATTCAATTATTTTGCGAAAATAATAAAATTTTTTGCCGGGATTCAATTATTTAATAAACTTTTAATAAAATTCTATTGAAGAACTCAATTATTTTTAGAAATAATTAAATTTTCGCTGGAATTCAATTATTTTCAAAATCTGCAAAATTTAATAAAATTTTTCTAGGAATTCAATTATTTTCAAATAATAATAATAAAATTTTTCGCAAAAATACAATTATTTCTAAACATTTTGCAAAAAATCAATTATTTGCAGAAATAATAAATATCTTTTCTCAGGGATTTAATTATTTAAAAAAAAAGTTTTAATAACATTTTTTGTAACTATTCAATTATTTAAAATTTTTTTTTTAAATTCTTAAAAAAATCCAATTATTTTCATAAATATTAAAATTTTTAATGGAATTCAATTAGTTTTAATACAATTTTAATTGAATTCTAGGGAAAATTCAATTATTTTTAATGATTTAAATTGAAATTATATATTGTAAATTCTATTTTTAATAAAATTCTTGGTAAAAATTCAATTATTTTTAAAAATTTTGCAAAAATTCAATTATTTGCGAAAATAATAAAATTTTTTGTCGGGATTCAATTCTTTAATAAACTTTTAATAAAATTCTATTGAAGAATTCAATTATTTTTAGAAATAATTAAATTTTCGCTGGAATTCAATTATTTTAAATACAATACAATTCCTAGGGCAAATTCAATTATTTTTAAACATTTTTAATTTATTATATCAATAAATAGTAAATTTTTTGCAGAAATTCAATTATTTTAAATTCAATTTTCATAAAATTAATTATATTTTTTTTTTGATAAATATAATACTTTCATAAAGTATTTAATTTGTAAAAATAATAAATTTTAAAAATTCAAAAAAATAATAGAATTTCTTTATTTCTGCATATAATTGAATTTTTTCGAAGAATTTTGCAGAACTTTTAAAAATAATTGAATTTTTGCGAAAAATCACATGAAAATTGTATAGGTTATTAAAATAATTGAATTCCTGTGGAAAATTTACTATTTATTGATATAATTGAAATTTTAAGAATTTAAAAAAATGTTTTTCTTGAAATAATTGATTCTTTCTCTGGAATTCAAGTAAAATTGTATTTAAAATATTTAAAACCCAGCGTGAATTTAATTATTTTTGAAAATAATCGAATTCTTGAATAGAATTTTATTCAAAAATGTTTAAATAATTGAATAAATAATAATAATTGCAAATAATTTTGTTATTTTTATATAATTGAATTTTTTTTTCAAGAATTGAAAAATAAATATTGAAAAATAATTGAATTTCAGCAAAAATTTCATTATTTCTGAATATAATTGAATTCTTGAATAGAATTTTATTAAAACTTTTTTGAATTTTATTTAAACTTTTTTGAATAATTGAATCTTTGCCAAAAAAAAATTATTATTTCTAGCAAATAATTGAATTTTTGCAAAAATTAAAAAAAAATAATTGAATTTTATTAAATTTCTAAGAATTTTATTAAAATGCCTCAAAATAATTTAATTTTCGGGAAGAATTTTATTAGTTATATGTTTTTTTCATTTGAAAGTTATTTTCCAAATTTTTAAAAATTATAAAACATTTTAAATTTTTAGAATTTTTTTTTTTTTTTGACTAAAGAAAGAAAAGGAAAAAAAGACAAAAATTAATAGCGAAATATAAAATGCCTAATTTTTTTCTTCTTTTTTTTTACAGCCGTGAGTTCGGCCTTCCAGCACGACTCGGTAATTTCAAACAAAAGTGGAGAACCATTTGAATTGAGTCTCCTGGAACGAACGGCCGCTGAAAGTGCTCAGGAGGGAATGGAAAAAATACGCAATTCCCGAAAATATTACAGTAAACCGTCTTGGAAATCAAACTAATTCCCAAAAAACAGAAACAAACAAAAAAAGAAAGGAAATCTGTAAATAAATTACAAATTAGAATTATTTTCACAAAACAGTATTACAAACTTAAATTATTTATTTTTCAAATGTCTCATTTTCAGTTTTGTACTTTTTCTATATACAAAAAATATAAATATATATTTATTTCATATTTTGAAACAAAATAAAATTTTTTTTCTTTCCTCTCTCGAAACCCACATTTTTTTAATTTCTTTTCTAAAAATAACCAAAAAAAAAAGTTTTTGAAACATATTTCGTTTCCGTATTTCTTTTCTTTTTAATGAGATGAATTTTTCTTTACCTCCTTTTGCATAAAAAGTGTGTGATATAATTAGAATGTGACAAGAAGTAATATATTAAATTTTTCTTTTCATTTTTTTGAAAATCACGTAAACATAAAAAATAAACTTTGGATAAGAAGAAAAGAATTTTTTTTCCTTCTGGTAATTCTATGTTGAGTGCCTAAGAAATGCGTCGAGCTTTGGACCATTTCTGCCGAGTGGATCGTCAGGAAACATTAAATGATCGCCGACAAATGTTGGCGGGAGAATGCAATTTTCTATCGTATCACGCCATTCGGGTTTCTCTTGATATAAATCTTTGTATTGATCGTTCGATATTATTATTCCATTACATTTTGTGGCGTATTCCAACACATACCTGTTGAGGAGGAAAAAAGAAACAGAAAATTTCTCCAGTGAAAATTTATTTCTCCATTTTTTGAAAATTATAAATTAGGAATTATTATTATTTATTGAAGAAAAGTGGTTTTCTTCATATAAAAAGGAAAATCTTTTGTAAGTAAATAAATAAATTCAGAGGGGAAATAAATTATTTTATACAAATAAACATTTGTACTATTTTTCGAAATATACTCAATTTTTTTCAACATTTTTAAAACTACAAAAAATTTTACTCACCAGTTTATCAGTAAATATTAAAAATTAATAAAAAAAAATTAATTGAAAAAATAATTCATCAATAAATTTAATAATTAATTAATTTAATTAATTTAATTTAATTTTTTTTAATAATAATTTATTATTAAATCTTGTATTAATATAAATATTGCAGGGATCACAGTACATTTCTATTTAAAATTAAGTGAAAAGGTACAATTTTCATAAAATTTTTTATTTAAATTGTTCTTCGAAATTCAATTATTTTCAAAAGTTTTATAAAAAATTCTTCTCAATTCAATTCTTGTTCAGAATTCTGTTAAAAATATTAGAAGTAATTCAATTATTTTGAGATATTTATTTTCTTAAAATTGTAGTAAAAATAATTCAATTTGTACGAAACAATTTATTATTTTTGAAAATAATTGAATTTTAGTGAAAAATTTAATTGAAATTTATGAAAATTCATTTCAAAAATGCAATTATTTTAAAAACTAATAAAATTTTTTGATGTAATTCAATTATTTTCATAAATATTATCATATTTAGGGAAATTCAATTATTTAATTAAATATTTTAATTAATTCTTTGCCAAAATTCAATTATTTTCAAAACTTTTAATAAAATTTTTGTCAGGAATTGATTTATTTTTAAAAAATTTTAATAAAATTCAGATAGGAATTCAATTATTTTCATAAATAAGAAAAGTAATTGCAGAATTTCAATTATTTTTAATACAATTTTCAAATAAACTCCTCTAAATAATTCAATTATTTTCGAAAATCTATATTGATTTAAATATAATTCTTTATTATAGAGAATTTAATTATTTAAAATTTTAATTTAATTTCCCGAAAAATTCAATATTATATTTTAAAATTCTTCGAAAAAAATCAATTATTATTAAAAATTTTGATAAAATTCTTTATAAAAATTCAATTTTTTTAAATTACTCAATTATTCTATCGATAATTTGTACTTTTATATTTAAATAATTGAATTATTGATTGAAATTCAATTATTTTCCATTTTCTACTATTTTAATAAAATTTCTCAAGAAATTCAATTATTTTTAAACAAATTTCAATAAAATTCCTTGACAGAATTCAATTATTTTCATAAAGAAAAAAAATTCTTTGGATACTTTAAATTATTTTAAATACAATTTTAATTCAATTCCACGAAAAATGAAATTATTTTTAAAAATTTTAAGAAAAATCTTCTCAATTCAATGCTTGTCTAGAATTTTATTAAAAATATTAAAAAAGTATTTCAATTATTTTGAGATATTTATTTTCTAAAAATTGTAGTAAAAATAATTGAATTCGTACGAAGAATTTTATTACTTTTGAAAATAATCGAATTTTTGTGAAGAATTTAATTAATATTTTCGAGAATAATTAAATTCTTTTAAAGGAATTTAATAAGAATATTTTTTCGATCGTTTTACACTTTGAAATTTAAAACTATTTTTTTAAAAATCACAATTTCAATTCTAAAATTTAATCATAATTCTTTTGATTAGTGCGAAGAACTAATTCTATTTTTTTTTAATTAGAAAATATAATAATAAATAATTTTTCCTTTTGGAAATAAATAGCAAAATTTGAAATAGGTAAAGAAAAAAAGTGAGTAGTTGATAAACTGTGATCCCTGGTCTTTAAAAATTACTTTTTAATAAAATTAATTTTAAGTTAAAAAAATTTATAAAAATATTAATTTTTAATAAAATTAATTTTAACTTGGAAAAATTTTTTCAAAAATCAATATTTTCTGAATAGTAAATTTGGAAAATGGACCAAACAGAAAAAAAGACTTTTTTCAAAGAAAAAAAAAAAATTAGTGAATAAAATTTAAAAGAGAAGAGAAATGAAAGAAAAATTGTAAAATTTTTTGTAAATTTACCTGTCATCGTAGGGAGTAATAATTTTCGAACCGGCTTTTCGACTCGGCGTAAAAACAACGTAACCATCACGATTAAGATCCTCTAACATTTCGCGATTACGACTTCGCACGTGTTGAGGAATAAAAGCAACTACCTTGTGACCTCTATTTTTAAAAAAGTCAATAACAATTTTTAATCCCGTTTGCGAGAAATATTTTCCCCTCGTGTATCTGTTAAACAAAAATATTCAAAGCTTACAATAGAGAAAAAACATTTTTTTCAACTTTTTTTAAATAAAAAAAAATGTTTAACTATATTTTTTATATTTCTAAATAAATAAATAAAGCGTCAAAGAATTTTTAATATTTTTAAGTAAATAAATACTCTAAAATTTTGTTTATTCAAAAAAGTGTCAAAGTATTTTTAATATTTTTAAATAAATAAATGCTTCAAAAATTTGTTTATTCAAAAAAGTGTCAAAGTACTTGTAATATTTTTAAATAAATAAATAAATTAATTAAAAAAGTGACTTTCTTTATTTTACAAATATAAAAAATACTTTAACACTTTTTTATTTTTTTGACACTATTTATTTACAAATATAAAAATACTTTAACACTTTTCTGTTTCTTTGACACTATTTATTTACAAATATAAAAATACTTTAACAAAGTAGTTTTATAATTGCAAATAAATTTTATTTATTTATTTGCAAATATAAAAACTACTTTGTTAAAGTATTTTTATATTTGTAAATAAATAAATAAAGTGCCAAAAAGTCTTATAACTTAAAAAATGCAAAAAGGGAAATTAACTGCAAAATTTTCTAAATATAAAACTCACGCTCTCGCAACATTCGGTCCATCAATAACAATTTCCCTCAATTCTCCGCTTGTACTCGATTTTTCCGTTATATCAATAATCTCCTTTCCCGCCTCGCATTTTTCGTTTATTCTCGCCTTCTCCATTGTCTCCTCAATTTCCCTCATTTTTCCAAATTTATCATTCTTCGCTTTCTTTTTATTCTTCTTTTTCCCCACGTCGTTTATTTCACAATTTTTCGTCGTTGTTGCTGTCGTTGTAGCCGTTGCTGTCGTTGCCTTATCAACTTCATCAACAGCCATTTTCCCCTTATCCTTAAATTTCGATTTATCACTTATTTTCGCTATTTCGGTTATTTCCATAACTTCCGATCTATTCTCCCTTATTTGTCCCTTCTCCATTATCTTCTCCTTCACTCGGGTCTCAACTAATTTTCTTATTTGCTCAATTTTCCTTGCCTTTGCACTCTCAGCTTGCTGTAAATTATCGCGAATTCTCTTCGCAATTTCCATTTGATTTTGTTTGCGCGCCATTTTCCTCTCCTCGAGCCATTCGCCCAACCATTTTTGCGGATAATCGCCTTTTAGCATTTCCAAATTTGTGAAATTCGTCTTTGTTGTTGTTGGTGCGGCTGCTTCAACTTCAAGGGGAATAAAGTCGTCGCCTGCTTTTGGTATCGTCACCGGAACCGAGGACCAAACGACAGTCACGTCTTCCGTTGGATTCAATTTTGTCTCTGATTTCGTGGCATTTTTCTCCGATTCTGCAAATTTTTTATTTTCTTTTGTAAATTTCAATTCTTTTTTTACTATTTTTCTAATTTTATAAAAATTAATTAATTAATTTTCTAATTTCAGACTTCGCACTTGATAATTAATTTTAAAAAAATATTAAAAAGTAGTTTTTAAACTAAAAAAAGTAGTAAAAAAAAGAGCTTTCGAAAAATTAAACTTAACGACCAAAAAAAAAACTCGTTTTAGAAACTTCACAAAACTGACAAAAATTTCATTCTATTCTTTATTTTCCCGACTTTTTCCTAATTTTCATCAAAAATGTTTACTTCATTCTTATCCTACTGCTTTAAATTGAATTCCTGCCCAATGAATTTTATTATTCATCAAAGAATTTCAATATTTTAGAAAAATAATTTAATTCTTGCGTAGAATTTTAGAAAAGCTTTTAAATAATTCATTTCTTTCGACTAATTTTATGCAAATTCTAATTTAAATAATTCCATTCCTAAGAAATTTTTATTATTCATGAAGAAAATTGAATTCTCAATAATTAAATATTTCTGAATAAATTGAATCAAAACTTGAATAATTTTTGTTAAATAATTAAATACTTATTTTTTCAACAGAAATTGAAATATTTTTAATTATTTCGATTGAATTCTTATAAATAAATTTTATCAAAAATTTATTTAAATAATTGAATTCTTCTAAAGATTTTTAACGAAAATATTTAAGAATAATTGAAATTCTTCGATGAGCTATATTATTTTTAAAAATAATTCTTTCAACGAATTTTATTCAAAATTTTTTTTTTTAAATAATTGAATTCTCTTGAAAAAATGTTATTATTTTTGAAAATAATTGAATTGTTGCGAAGATTTTTATAAAATAATTTATGAAAAAAACTTTGACTCACTTTCATTCCAATCGTCGAGAATAATAATAGAATCGTCCGGCTCATCTTGAATTCCCGCCTTTTTCGCAAAAGATGTTGATCCAATGTCATTTTCATCGTTGATAATAATAATACTACTTCTCCTCTGGGCCAAATTTAATCTCTGTCTCTTTGTCAAACCATTCAATTTTTGACGTTTCGCTGGCCTTAATCTAGACGATTCTTCGTCTATTTGTCGCTTTCTTTATTTTTCGATGTTAAATAAATAAATTCGCAAATTGTCATGAAAATATAAGAAAATAAAAAATAAAAACACGCACAAATGAATATATATTTAATAATAAATATATTACTGTATAATAATGTTAGAATTATTATAATTATTAATAGAAAATATTTAATTATATATTAAATATTAATTTAAACAAAATTTTAAAAGGACAAAAAAAAAAATTTTCTAACCTTAAAAAATGCAATACGTACCCTTTTCTCGTTTGTAAACGCTTCAATGGACTTTTGTAATTTGTATTTTTCATCGTTAATCTCAATGATCTTCGCATTTTTCATAAATGAAGATTCTATGTGGCTTTTTACTATATAGAATTAAATATAATTCGAGACTTGTTACACAATGTACACAATGAAAGTAACTTTCAACGAACGAACACAAAGAACAATATTTCTATATTTAGTAATTAAACACACGAAAGAAAAGACGAATATATACAATAAACACACTTTTTTCTTCACTAAACGAATAAAATTATAAAAACAATTTCTAATTTACTTCTTCTGCTGGTTGATAAAAATATAAGTTAATGACAATCATTGCTTATTTTTTTTATTACGCATGAGGCAATATGAAGTTTGTTCGAATCAGGGTTGGGTCGCGTCTTTCTTGTTTCTCCAGGGATGACTCACTCGATTTTCTCCCTAGTTTCGAAAGTTCCTTAAGATTCGTTCACAATCTGAACTTTTTTCGACCAAGTCTTCGTTTTTGTCAAAACTCGACTTTTTGCTTTAATTCAAATTCAAAAAGCGTAAAATCGTAAATAAAAAAGGATATTTCTCTTCTTTTCTCTCTCGTCAGTTTACATTTTCGTTTTAAGAGCTAAAGGGCCGTTCGTAACCTACGTTACGCTAAAACGTAACTTAGGGAATTAGCTGAGCGTTATGAAGTCACCTTTACGATTTTCAACGTTAGGCCTAATTCACAACTTTGCATTTGCAAATTCGCGATCGTTAATATTTGTTTACAAATGGCGTCGTCGGAAGTAAACAAAATAATTAACGAAATTAACTAAGCGAATTTCTACATTGAGACCAATAAGGGATTTAAAAAAAAAGTGTATAAAAATAGAGAAAATAGAGTAAATACAGTAATTAGAGAAAAATGTCGGAAGATTTACTAGCGAAGGAGAAGGAATTCCATAAACTAAATAGAGAGTTAGAGGAGAAAACACGTGAATTAATGAAAGAAGTCGACACGGTTATGATGGAATCGAGAAAAAATAATTTATCATCATCATCATCATTGACGTTAAGTCATCAACATTATGAATTTACGTCTCTGGATAATATCAGCAATAAATTATTAGACGCTCCAACTTTAATGGAGAGACAATCGGATAGTTTTTATCATAAAAAAAATACTCCAACTACTTTTTTATCCACCGAAGTACTTCAAGTGCAAAATAGGTAAAAGATTTTCTAGTTTAAAAAACGTGTGTGTGTGTGTGAAATCACCTTTAAATTCCTAGAATCGTAAATTTCTAAGAATGGGAGAGAAGGATATAGATATACGTCTGTCCTTTTCTCTCTCATTCACAAAATTTCCGAATCTATAAAATTTAAATAAATTAAAATTAAAAATTCATTATAACAGGAATGCGGAAATGAAAAATTTCAATAAACCGTCGAAATGTGAGACTATTTCGAAAAATGAAACAGTAATTGAATTGCTCAAGACGAAAATAAAGTCTCAACAAACTGAAATACAGACGATTCAAAATGAGTATAAAAAAAAGGTTTATAATTATTTTTATAAAATTTTAACATTTTTTGTTTATAATAATAATAATAATAAAAAATAAATTTAATATTTTTTTCCGTATTTTTTATATAAAGTGCAATAACTACAAAGAATTGGAAATCGAAAATAAAAAACAAGCAGAAATAAAGGAAAAATTACAAAATCAATTGAGTTCATTAAAGGAGTCAATTGTGAAAAATGAAACAATTAATGGGAATTCACAATTGAAAATTCACGATCAAAATAACGAGATTTCTTCATTGAAAAAGGTTGGAAAAAAGGAAAATTATTTTATAAAAAGAAAGCATCTATTTGTGCTAAATAAATTTTACTCGCTTTCAAAAAAGTATAATGGAGCATATTTACAAATTACCATCGGTAAAAATGAATATTGTCCAGAATAGAAAATTCACATTGGAGTAAGAGAGACAGACTACGTATCTGTCTCTCTTGCTCCAATGTGGATTTTCCGTTCTGGACAATTTTTATTTTTACCGACGGTGTAAAATGTTCCATAAAGGTGCATACATACCAAAAGGTACGAAAGGTACCTAAATAGCACCTAAAAACCGTAAAGGTGCGATCACACTAAATTTTTTTGCTTTTTCTACCTTTTTTTGCGTTTTATTGAATGTTTATCATTTTTATACGAATAAAACGTTGGAAAACTTTTTAGGAACTCGAGGAATTAAGGAAAGAGGTGAAAAATCTAAATCAACAATCAATTAGCAATGATGTGAGATTAAATAGAAGTTTAGAGGAAAATGAAAAACTTCGTAGTGCCCTGAAATTTAGTAAATTAGACGAAAAGGTAAAATTTCGTTTTTTTTTCTTTAAGGGGATTCCACAATCGATTGGATTTTTACATTGAGCTTCAATGGGAAAATCACATCGACTTTGGCACCGCCTTAAAAGTAAAATTTAAAAAAAAACAAAAAAAAAACGAAAAATAAATAAAAATGAAGAAATAAACATAAAAAAAATAAAGAAAAAAATAAATGATCATCGAAATTAATTTCTTAATAATTTTAGGATTTACGCGATCAAATTCGAAAAATAACTGAAGAAAAGAGGCAGTCAATAAAAAATTTGGAAAAACAACGCTCGGAATTGTGTCAAGCGTATAAAAAACAAATTCTCCTCGTCGATAATCTCAAGAAACAAAAGGTTTCGAAATTATTTTTTTTTCGCACTTTTCTCAAAATATTTTTTAATTAATTAAAATATTTTTCGAAATATTTTAATTCCTTTAAATAAAATTTAAAGAAAATAAACTAATTTAAATATTTCGAAATATTTTAATTAATTTAAATAAAATAAATAAATTAAAATATTTTGAAATATTTTAATTCGTTTAAATAAAATAAATTAAAATATTACAAAATATTTTAATTCGTTTAAATAAACTAAGAAAAATATTTCGAAATAATTTAATTAATTTAAATAAAAATTTATACAAAATAAATTAAATTTAAAATAAAATTTTTATGAAATTAAAATATTTTTCAGGCCTTTTTGGAAGCGAGTCGACAAATACAAATAACCAACGATGATTTCACAAAATTCCTAGAATGGAAACCAGAACAAAATTAAAAAAAGAGGGAAATTTGCATAAAAAATAATTTAAAATTTCCATAAAAAAACTAACAAAAAATCGAATTGTTTAAAAAAATTCGAAAACAAACAGAAAAAATGGGTTTTGAAAACTGGAATCGACAGTTATCTTGGAAATTGTTTTTTTATAAAATATTCTTTTGCAAATAAGAAAGAAAATTTTTTTTTATAATTTGTCTGATTTAATATTTAATATCAAATTAATATTTTTACTATTTTCTATTTTCTATTTTAATAATTAAATATTAATTTAATAACTTTTATATTTTACACACAATTAAAATATTTTAATACATTAATCAAATATATTAAATTATTATTTAATATTTTAAATAATATTAAATTATTTAAAATATTAAAAAATAGAAAATTTCAAGTAAATTAATTTTTTTTACATTTAAAATTAAGTCTTCTTCTTTTTCTTGTTTTAAATTGAAATTAAAATATTTTAATATTAATTAACAAATTAAAAACAATTTTTCAATTTCCAAGATAAACCGTTTTTTTTTTTGCATTGAAAATAAAAATTATTATCCACGCATTCCAAATGACATTTTTTTTTTCATTTATTTACAGAAGTCTTATTTTGTGCAAGAAATAATTCTAACAAGTAATTATATTGGACTGTACAAAATTCATCGGTCACACTCTTTTTTTTTCTTTCTTTCTTCTCCAGTTTCTGACCGCGTAAGATTTAAAAGAGAGAGAGAAAAAAAATAATTTACATCTATAAAAAAAGTTTTTTTTTTTATTATTTTATTATGAATTATAAAAATAGAAAACAAAATGAAAAAAAGAAATTTTTATTCAAAAGAACAGAAGGAAAAAAAAGTGTATTGCAAAAATATTTTTCCCCTTCTTTTTCTCTTTTTTCTAATATTTCTAATATTTTACAAAAAAATGTGTAATTTTTCCCGAGATTTTTCCCTTGAATTTAATAATTTTAAAAAATGATTTTTCCCGAGATTTTTCCCCTGAATTTGACAATTTTAAAAAATAATTTTTCCCGAGATTTTCCCCCTGAATTTAACAATTTTAAAAAAATTTTCCCGAGATTTTTTCTATTTACTAATTTTTAAAAATTATCAGTTTTCTGAGGTTATTCCCTTTTAATTTAAAAAATTTAAAATAATTATAATTTTTCACGAGAAATTTTCCTTTTAATTTAACAATTTTGAAAAATTATAATTTTTCCTAGGTTTTCCCTAAATTTATTAATTTTCCAGAGAATTTTTCACTTAATTTAATAATTTTGAAAAATTAGTTTTTCCGAGGATTTTTCCCTTTAATTTACTAATTTTTCCTCGAAATTAAAAAGTTTTTTAAAATTATGACTTTTCCGAGGTTTTTCCTTAAATTTACCAATTTTCCAGAAATTTTTCTCTCTAAATTTTACAATTTTGAAAAATTATAATTTTCCCGAGGTTTTTCCTTGAATTTCTTAATTTTCCAGAGAATTTTTGTCTCTAAATTTAACAAATTTGAAAAATTAGTTTTTCCGAGGATTTTTCCCTTTAATTCATTAATTTTTCCTCTAAATTAAAATTTCTTTTTAAAAATTATAATTTTCCCAAAGGTTTTTCCTTGAATTTATTAATTTTCCAGAGATTTTTGTCTCTAAATTTAACAAATTTGAAAAATTATAATTTTTTCAAGATTTTTCCATGAATTTATTAATTTTTCAGATAATTTTCCTCTAAATTTAAGAATTTTGAAAAATTATATTTTTTCCAAGGATTTTTCTTATTAGTTTAACAATTTAAAATAATTATCACTTTTCTCGAGAATTTTTCCTTTACTTTAACAATTTAAAATAGAATTTTTCCTTTAATTTAACAATTTGAAAATAATCATAATTTTTTCTTTTTAATTTACTAATTTTTCCAAGATTTTTCCTCTTAATTTTGAAAATTTTAAAAATTATAATTTTTTCGAGAGTTTTTCCTTTTGATTTAATAAATTTTCCAAAATTTTTCCTCTTAATTTGCCAATTTTTAAAAATTGTAATTTTTCCAAAGATTTTTTCTATCTTAATTTTGAAAATTTTAAAAATTATAATTTTCCCGAGAGTTTTTCCTTTAGTCTAATAAATTTTCCGAGATTTTTCCTCTTAATTTAACAATTTTTAAAATTATAATTTTTCCGAAGATTTTTCCTCTTAATTTTGCCAATTTTCAAAATTATAATTTTTCCAAGGATTTTTCCTTTAATTTACTAATTTTTCCGAGAATTTTTCCTCTTAATTTAACAATTTAAAAATTTTTAATTTTCCGAGGATTTTTCCTCTTAATTTAACAATTTTGAAAAATTATAATTTTTCCGAGGGTTTTTCCTTTCAATTTACTAATTTTCCCTCTAAATTAAACATTTTAACAAAAATTAAAATTTTCCTCGAGAATTTTCCCTTTAGATTAACAATTTTAAAATAATTATAATTTCTCTCGAGAATTTTTCCTTTTAATTCAACAAATTTTAAAAAATTCCAATTCTTCCAAAGTTTTGAAAAAACCTTGAAATTAAAAGAAAAATTTTTAATTTAACAATAAAAAATAATAATTTTTCCGCAAGAAAATTTTTTTCCCGATTCGCATTATTAATTTTTCAAAAAAATATCGTCGAAGTAAAATTAAATATTGCAGAATTAAAAGCGTCGCAATTCACTTGATGTCATTCACTAAAAAAAAAATAACTTAGTCAATTTCCCTTCTTTTCTTTCTTGTCACAAAAACAAAAAAAAAATTCTCGTGCATTTTGCTGTGACAATAATATTGAAAAAAGAAAATTCACTCGCCTCTCTCTCTTTTTCTCTCTCTTTTTTTCCACCGATAAAGCGTTACAATTTTTTTTTTAACGGCATTTAACGATATTTTTTCTTCTTTAATCTCTTTTTTAATTAAAAAAAACAGTTCTTTCTCACAATCTACTGGAAGTAATAGCATCAAAAAACGGTAATTAATAAATCGAAGAACCGATTTATTTATTTTTTTCTTTTTTGAATTAATAATTAATAATTATTCATAAACTGATTTCTTTTTTCAAATTCTCATTTTTTCTATCGATAAAATCGTTTTTTTTTTAATTTTTAAAAACAAAAATCGTAGTTTTTTTGATTTTTAAAATTTATTCTTTTGTCGGTAATTCAATTTTAAAAATTGAAATTTATTCTTTCCGTTTGAGAACAAAGAGAAAACTTTCAAAAAATAAGAAAAAAAGGGTTGATTTTTTTTATTGAGTGAAAATTTTTTCTGTTTTGTTAATAATCCGTTTGTTGAAAATTACAATAATTTTTGTCTCTTATTTTTTTGATTTTCTTTTCCGAATTTTTTCCCCTTTTCGTTTAAAAGTGAAAATTTTTTCTGTACTTTTAATTTCGTTTTTGTTTTTTTTGTTGAAAATTACAATTTCTGATTTTCTAATGTCTTTTAAAATTTTATTTTCTCCTTTTTACTCTAAATTTTTTAATTATCCCTTTTTTTGTTTAATTTTTCGATTTGATGAAAATTTGTTTCTTAAGTGTTTTTTTTTTAATTCCGTTTTTGTTGAAAATTACAATAATTTTTGTCTCTCTAGTTTCTTTTAATTTTCTTTTTCGAATTTAAGGAAAATTTTCGGAATTTTTTTCCCTTTTCGTTTAAAAGTTTTTCTATTAAGTGAAAATTTTTTCTTTAGTGTTTTTAATTTCGTTTTTAATTTCGCTTTTTTGTTGAAAATTACAATTTTCGATTTTTTAATTTCTTTTAATTTTCTTTTCCCCCTTTTACTGGATTTTTTTAAAAAAGGGGAATTTTTCCCCATTTTCGTTTTTAAAACTTTTCTATATTTTTTCCCCTTTTCGATTAAGTGAAAATTATTTCTATTTTTTAATTTCATTTTTGGTGGAAAATGATAATTTTTGACTTTATTTTCTTTTCTCGAATTCAAAAATTTTTTCCCGAATTTTTGGAAAATGTTTGTTTCCCTTTTGCGTTGAATTTTTCGATTAGTTGAAAATTTTTTCTCTAATTTCTCATTTTTTTTTTTTTTTTTTGTTAAAAACGATGAAAATTTTTAATTTTCGATTTTATTTTCTTTTCCGAATTTTTAAAAAAAATTTCCCCCAATTTTCGCCGAAAGAGCGAAAAAAAATTGTAAATATTCAACAACACTGGTAAAAATTGTGGTGAGGCCTAGCGAATTGACTAATTAATGAAAAAATGATTTCTTTTTTATTAAATGTATTATGTTTTGTTATTGTTTTTTTCTCTCGTAAAAATTAAAATCTAAATGCGACGACCAGAGTTAAAGCGACGAATTTGCTGCGAGCAGTTCGCAGTTATTGACGACGCAAAATATATATATATTTTATTTTCCTTTTCTTTTTCTTTTGACGTTGTATAAAATAATAAATCGACGTCAAAAAAAAGAAAAATGTGTTTTTATTCTTTTTTTTGTCTTGTTGTTTGATTTTTCGTTTGTTTCTTTCTTTTTTTTAAATAAATATCGAGGACACAAGGAAAAAGAAACCGCAGTAGAATTAGCATTAATTAATGGTTTTTTTTCCTTCTCTGTTTTTTTCCACATACGACAACTTTGTTTCTCCTATTTCTCCGTTGCTTTTTTTTAATCACGATAATGATGTTGTTTCTGTTGTTGTTGATGATGACGCGACGCTTCATCATCAAAGCAAATCATGCTAAATAGCTGTACGTGTCTTTCTGTCCTTCCGTTCGCTCTAAATATTCCTTTTCTATTAAAATATCTATACATTTCTGAAAAAAGAATTGAGAAAATTTAGAAATTAAACAAATTTAATTTTATTAAAACATTAAATTAATATTAATAAACTATTAATAAATTTAAATTTAAAAAAAAGAAAGAGTTTTAAAAAAAACTATTAAAATTAATAGAAAACTTATATAAAAAAAAATATTATCACAAATTAAATTTTATCAAACAAATTAAATAAATTTAAGAAAGATGAATAAAAAATTATAAAAATTACTTTTCGTTGACCTGAAGTTCGAAAAGAAGGTGATAAAAATAAATAGAAACGAAAAGTGAAATATTATTTAGCGAAAATAGAAAAAATATGAGAGGAAAAATAATATTTACCTTAATAACATGAACTCTTGGTTTGAACCTCGTGTTGAGTTGATTGAGAACTTCAGCAACGAGTTGCTGGTGCTTGAGGACTTTCCTCATTTTCATGATTCTCACTATCGCCGCTTGAATTAATAACTTTCTATCTTCTTCTATATGCTTATGCGTCGTTTCTTGTTCCACTTTAAGTTCCGTTTTCATCGGGATATTAATGTTTACCCTGAGTTTTTTGCTGTCAAACAAAAAAAGAAATACAATCATTAAAAATTAATAGCAAGAAAAAAAAGAAAGTGTTAAAAAAAAACTATTAAAATTAATAGAAAACTAATATTAAAAACAAAATATTACTAAAAATTAGAAAAATTATTTTTTTACAAATGAAATTACTTTTTATAACCCGTGAAAAGTTCAGCAGTTGAAGTCGGTGAAAGTTCCGCCTCCTCCTCGGTCGATGAAATCAATAATTTCGCCTTTAAAAGTATCTGCATTACCTAGAAAATTATTAAAAATGAAAAAAAATTGTAGATTAAAAAATAAGACGAACAAAATAATGATAAAATTATAAATATTTTAAGAATTAAGTAAAAAGGTGAAGTGTAAAATTTAGATGAAGGAAGAGAGAAAAAGTTAGTCCTTTTTACCTGAATGAGAAAATCCATTTTGATTTGTGTGGATTCGACCAATTGCTGCATCGTCCATGAAGTGGAGACATTATATTGTAATAACACCGCCATTTGAAAGGTTGAGGCTTGTAAAGTATATCTATTTTTAAAGCAATTCGTGTGCAATTCGCCTTTGGACATGTTGTACAGCCAATTTAATTTTCTTCCACTGTGTTGTGAACTGTAGAAAGTCGTAAACCTATGTACAGACCTTTCCAACTGAAAAACAAAAGATTTACTCATTAAAATTTGAAGAATTACAATTTAAAATATAATTACAATTTAAATTAGAATTACAATTTAAAATGGAATTACAATTACAATTTAAATGACAATAACAAAAAAATTAGTCACAATAGAAAAAAGGAAATAAAAAGAAAAGAAAGAAAGGAAAAAAGGAAAAAAAAATGAAAGAAAGATAGAAAAAAAGAAACAGAAAAAAGAAAGAAAAAAAATCAAAAAGGGAAAGAAAAAAAAGAAAGCAAAAAGGAAGGGAAAAAAAGAAAAAAACAGGAAAGAAAAAGAAAGCAAAAAAAGGGAAAGAAAGAAAAAAAGGGAAGAAGAAAAGCAAGAAGGAAGGGAAAAAAGAAAAATTAAGAAAAAGAAAAAAAAAAAGAAAGGGAAAGGAAATTTACCTCGGTTGGTAACGAAAATGAGAACGATTGTTGAAATGGCCAGGAACCTGATGAAAGTACTTGAATACTGAAATCAATATCGAGCGGCTCAGCCGAATTTGTCAAGTGTCTACGGAATTGTTCATTCAAGTCTTTCGAGACTCCAATATCTTGGAACATGCGTTGCAACTTCGATGTGTATTCAAAGCCGCAGGCCTGCTTTAATTTTGAGATCATTGAAGCTTCGGCGTCATCGCTTGCCGACATGTGTTGCACCAATCGTTTTGCCAGCATTTTACTATAGAACTTTTGAAAAACGTCTTTATCCTCTATATATTTAAAAACTACCATCTGCAAACCAAAAAACAAGAAGAACGTTAATTTTTCAATTTCAATTAATCGATTACATAATTTCATAAACAATAAAATTATTCGTGGGAATTCAGAGATTTAGAAAAAAAGATTGAAAATAATTGAATTCCTGCGATGCATTAAAATTGTCTTTCAAAAGTTTTAAGAAAATTCTTAACAAAAAATCACAATTATTTTCCTAACAAATAAAATTCTTTGTCTGTAATTCAATTATTTTCGTAAATAATAACATTTTTTTAATAAAGTTCTCTGAAAAATTCAATTATTTTTATAAATTTTAATGAAGTTCCTCGAAGCAATTCAATTTGATTTAAAAATTTTCATAAAAATTATAGAAAAAATGTAGGTAATTAATCTCAAAAGTATTAATAAAATTTTTTTGCAAAAATTCAATTATTTACACAAAAAATAAAATTTTTCGCCTTAATTCAATTATTTAAAAAAATTTCTATAAAATTCTATTTCCAGGATTTAATTATTCTTATTAATATAATAAAATTCTTGGCATGGTTTCAATTATTTTCAATGCAATTTTAATTGAATTCCTCGGAAAATCCACTTTTTTTAAAAAAAAAAAGCTAATTAAAATTGTTCAAAATATTTCAATTATATTTATAATAAATTTTTCACTGGAATTCAATTATTATAAATATAATTATCTTTTTATTTCTCGAAGAAAAATTTATTATTTAAACTATTTTAGCAAAAATCTTTGAAAAAATCAAATTATTTTTAAAAATTGTAATAAAAATATTCGCTAAAATTAATTTCTTCAAATTCAATTTTTTTGAAATAATTGAATTTCTCCTTAAAGTTTTCTTATTTGTAAAAATAAATTGAATTTTGAAGAACCGAATTGAATTCCTTAAAAAATTTAACTATTTAAAAAAATTTAGTTATTTGATTTTAATTTTTTAAAATTCTTTAAAAAATTTCAATAATTTTTCAAAATTTTGAAAAAATTCTTGTCTAAAATTTTAACTTATAGGTAATTAATTATTTAGTTTCGAATTTAAATAGTTGAATTCAAGTAGAAATTTCTAATAAGAATTATAGTTAAAATTTCAAAAACTAGTTGAATATTAGGAGCGTCTTCTTTTTTTTTTTTAAATTAATCTTCGCTAAATGTTAAATCTTCAAATTCAATTTTTTTTAAACAATTGAATTTCTCCTAGAAATTTTATTTGTGAAAATAGTTGAATTTAAAGAATTGAATGATGTATTTTTAAAAATTTGATTACAATTTGAAATGAATATTAAATATTCTTCGAAACTATTCAATTATTTTCCAAAATTTAAATAAAATTCTTGGCCAGAATTCAATTTTTAGAGGTAATTAACTATTTTGTCAATTATTTATTTTTGTATTTAAATAATTGAATTCCTGTAGAACTTAGTTAAAATTTCAGAAAATAGCTGAATATTAAGAAAGTCTTGTTTTTTTTTTAAATCTTCGTTAAAAATAAAATCTTCAAATTCAATTTTTTACAAATAATTGAATTTCTCCTAAAAGTTTCCTTATTTGTGAAAATAATTGAATTTTGAAGAACTGAATTAAATTCCTTAAAAAATTGAATTATTTTTAAAAATTTGATTACAATTTGAATTTAATTTTCAAAATTCTTTGAAAAATTTCAATTACTTTCCAAAATTTTCATAAAATTCTTGGCCAGAATTCAATTTTTAGAGGTAATTAACTATTTTGTCAATTATTTATTTTTGTATTTAAATAATTGAATTCCTGTAGAACTTAATTAAAATTTCAGAAAATAGCTGAATATAGAGAAGCGTTTTGTTTTTGTTTGTATATTTTTTTTGTGCATTAATTAGCTTTTCTACTTGCCACTTGATTAAGAGTATCTTCGAGTTCAGCTTCCTCGGGATTTTTACTACTTTTCTTCAAAAGTAAATCACAGTATTTCGCCAATAATTCCGGTGATTTGCTGCTACTGTTGGCAGTCCTTGTCACTGAATTAATATTAATGAAACGACCGCACGCCTTGTCCAGTGCCGTCACAAAACCAATGTCGTTATTAAACGCGTCCAACACTAACGCATTGTATTTTTTATGCACCTCCAAAATCGTGTTCACATACATCTTCGGATCCTTGAACAAAAAAACAAAAAATAAGCAACTTTTCCAAAAAAAAACAAAAATCAAAAGAAAAACGTCCCTAAAATATTTTTTGTCATCTCTAAAAATCTTAAATAATTATTTTCGACACTAACTTCAAGGATATAAAGAATTTAGCGATATTTTCATCTCTAAAAATCATAAATATTTATTTTCGACGCTGAGCGTCGACGCCAACTTCAAGAAAGAAAATAGTTAGAAAACAAGAAAATAGTTTTAGTTTTTGAATTAATTTTAATTTTCCTTTAAAAATTTTAATAATTATCTCTTCAAAATTTGAATTCTTTTTCTATTAATTCTAATAATTTTTTTTCTTTTTGTTGATTTACTCACATTGCCAGCAGTGTCACCGCATTTATCAATAGCAGCCAATCCCATATTAGCAATATGACTCTCGAGTAAATTTCTCAATTCACCAAGACCATTTGGTATTCTCGCGACAAGTTGATACATTCGTCCTAAATCATTGTTCTTCTCTGAATCGAGGAGATTTTGAAATTCCGAATGAAATATATCCAAATGCTTTTCAATTAATACTCTCTCGCATGTTTTCGCCAATGTTTGCTGCGTCGTTTGATGTAAATAAACTTGCACGCGTTTCTCCTCCTCAAGTAAACGTTGCTCGCCCTTCTTCATATATTCAGTGACGGGATTTTGCCGAACAAATTCAGAACTCTCACGCGTGTAAAAGCGTATAGTGTCCTCGAGAAAGAGTGTTTCAAATGAATCCTTATAGACGGCCAAATTCTGTCCCTTTGCACCTGGATCCTCTTCATTCAAGCCCAATTCAACGTAACAATTAATCACACCACTAACTAAACGTGTATTTATTGTCTCGCCATTTCTCTCGCGTTCTATTAATTTTAAAACTGCATTTGTCACCTGAAAGGAGAAAAAAAAACAGTCAATTTTAAATCTTAATTAAATAATAATATAATAATATTTTAAATAGTTTTTCTTTCCATTACAATATTTATAAAGAAAATTTTTCTCGATTTTTGGAAGATGATGGAAAAAAATAAGAAAGAAAAATAATAACAATAATTTTTCAACGTGGAAGAAGTTAACAATCTCTCCGAATCAATAATAATTTTTAATTCTATTCTCTCCCGACTCTAATTAATCGAAGAAGAATCAAAAAATTAAATTATATTAGTTTTCTGTAAAATTATTAAATTTTTATTATTTTAATTTTAAAATGTTAACGAAATTTTAACAACCATAGTTTAAAAAAATTTTTTTTTTTCGAAATTTAACAAAAATTCTTTACTTTAATTAAAAAATACAAAATTTTTCGGACAGATTATTTTTAAATTAAATAAAAAAATTAAGAATTATTTGAACACGTGAAGAAATCGCTAAAATAATTCTAATTACAACTTGAGTGTAAAATTATTTTTTGATGAAATAATTGAATTTTATTTATATTTCCCCAAGAATGAAAATTTCAAATAAATTTCAATGAAAAATCTTTGGAAATTTAATTATTTCTAAAACATACAATTGCGATTTATTCAAAATTCATTTGTTTCTCTTTAGAATTTTATAAATAAAATTATTCAAAAATTTAATAATTTTTATAGAAAACTAATAAATTAGTAATATTTAATTATTATTATTAGTTTTACAATAATTACAACTAAATAAATTTAATAAAATTAAAAGAAAAATTTTCAAAGATTTCAATTTATAAAGATTTTGAAATTCAATTATTTCTAAAAAAATTCCCGCTCCAACTCTTCGAATTCAATTATTTTCTAAAACTTCAACTCAAAATTCAATTTCTTTATTCAATTTTTTTATTTTAGAAAATTCTACAAAAATTCAATTATTTAAACACAAAAATAAATAAATCAATATTTCGCAAAATTGAATTCTTCTAAAGAATTGTATAAACATTTTTGAAAATAATTAGATTTTTACAAAGAAATTTAATTGAAATTTTTAAAAATAAATGAATATAAAGAAATATTAAAATTGTAGATTGAAAATAATTGAATTTTCGCGATGTATTTTTTTTTTTAAATATTTAAAAATAATTCAATTTTTTTTAAAAAGAATATTAATAATATTTTTAAAATAATTGAATTTTTCAAGAAATTCAATTAAAATTTTATCTCAAATAATTGAAATCCTGACAAAAATTATATAAAATTTGTAAAAATAATTGAAATTTTTCAAAGAATTTTATTGAATTGAAAAAAGAATATTTTTTTCTTTTTAAAATAATTAAAGTCTCTTTTGAGGAATTTAATTATGTATTAAAAATAATGTAATTTAAAATAATTCAATTACTTCCAAGAATTTGAATAAAGTCTGAAAAAATAATTGAATTTTTCAAGGAATTCAATTAAAATTTTTGTGCAAATAATTGAAATCCTTCAAAAATTTGTTTTTATTGAATAGAATAAATATAATTGAAATCCTGAGGAGAATTTATTATTTCTAAAGTAATTGAATTCTTGGAAATTTTTTTTTTTTGTATTTTTGAAAATAATTGAATCGTTTCAGAGAATTTTACTAAAATGTTTAAAAAGAATCGAATTTGTGAGAAAAATTTTGTTATTTTTTAAAATAATTGAATTCTTAGAAAAAAATTTTTTTTTAGTATTTTTCAAAATAATTGAATTGTTTGACAGAATTTAATTACAATTTTTAAAAGTAATTGAATTCCTGCGAAGAATTTTATTACAAAAATAATTGAATTTTTGTGAAGAATTTTCTTGAAAAAAGTTTTTTAAATTATAGAATTCATGCAAAAAAATTTTTTCTGTAAAAATAATTGAATTTTTGGCAACAAAATATTAATTATTTATGAAAATAATTAAATTCCTTTCGAGTAATTCAAGTAAAATAATTGAATTATTTCGGAAAAGTGTTTATTAAAAATTTTCAACATAATTGAATTATTCGAGGAATTTAAATTCAATTCAATTATTTAATTAAAAAAATAAATAATTGAAAGAATAATTCATTATTTCTAAAAGTTGCACTTTTATAAAGAATTGTATCAAAATTTTCGAAAATAATTGAATTTTCCGAATTATAAATTCTTGAAATTAAAAACAATTCACAGAAATTGAAAATTTTGTTTTGGACGTTGTTTTGCTTCCTAGTGGAGGAAGCTTTATTTTTTTTGTCCTTTGTTTTCGTTTTTTTTTTTTTTTTGTAGAAAAGAAAGAATGTGTCGAACCTGTCGATTGAGATGTCTGAAGAGATTATCCCGCCATGTGACGAGTGCGAGTTGATAAATTTCATAAATTCCTTTACGTCCTTCCTCACATTCTCTTCGCACCCAATGTCGATTTAAATACGCACAAACGCCATTTAGAACTTTACTACTAAATTGATATTCCTCCCATTGTCTCGTGTAAAATTGCAGTACATCTTCGTCCATTAAATCAACACCATGCTATATAAAAAGAAAATTATTAGTTTTCATTTTTTCGTAATAAAAATAAAGAAAATAGAAAAAAGAAAAGAAATAGAGATCCAAAATGACGTGTCACTAAAAATATGAAAAAATCGGACAGTTGGACGAGAAATAAAATAAATATTTCCTAAAATAAGCGTTCTTTCCTTATTTTCCTTAGGGCAAGTTATAAATTTGCTTTTCTAATCCATTTCTCTAAGTTTTCTAAAAATAATTCCTAAATATCGTAAATTTACCCAACGGAGTTAGAAATAAAAAAAAATACAATTTATTAGTCTTTTAATTATCCATCTTTAGTAAATTAACTACTTTTCTCTCTCTAAATTTAAAATAGTAAAAATATTTACTAATTTGAATTAGTGACTGAATTTTTGCTTTTTAATTAGTAAATAGCAAATAGTTTTACTAATAAAATAGTAATTTCTATTAATTTATTAGTCAAATTTACTAATTAAAAAGCAAAAGTAGTCAGTAATTAAAATTATTAAACATTTTCACTAATTCAAAATTTAGAAAACTCGAATTTCCTAGATAAAGACAGAACAATTTTAATAACTATTTTAAACTTTACTATAATTTTTCTTTTAGAGAAAAATTTATTTAGACAAAAAATAGACAATTTGGACAGAAACAAATATATACAAAAACAATAAAATAGAAAAAAAATATCCTCTCTCTTTCCCTGGGGGAGAAAAAAAGAGAGGTGAAAATTTTTTCTCTTGTCCACGGATTTTAAACCTACGGAAGGAAGCAGTAACGTTGCCAAGGAGGGGGCTAGCAGAAAACAGGAAGCAAAGGTGCCACCTTTATTTCTCGCCAATTCTAATCCATGATTCTAAAAATCGTTTATAAATTTTTTTTTAAAAGAAATTTTGCTATCGAAACTGTAACAATAATTATTTATGAATATTCCTATTCTCTATTTCTAAATTATAATTTTTTTTTTCTTTCTCAAAGGCATATTTTAGGCTTCGCACTCGATAATCACTATTTCTAAAAATTCCTACTAAAATGCATTTCGAATCTTCATTTATTTTCTAAAATTATAAATAATTATAAATAAAAATAAAAAATAAAATTATCAATATTTAAATTTTTTGAGCGATTTAATTAAAATCGTATTAAAAATAATTTAAATCTTGCGATGAATTTTATAAAAATAAATAATTTATAAAAATAATTAAATTATTCTGATGAATTTTATTAAATATTTTTTTTTAAATAATTGAATTTCTGTGAAAAAATTTATCATTTGTGAAAAAAAAATTGAATTCTTCGGCAAAAATTTTAATAAAACTTTCGAAAATAATTGAATTCTTTCGAGTTATTCAGTAAAAATTGCATTAAAAGTAAATTGAATTCTTAAAAACATATTTTATCAGAAACATTTTCAAATTTCTTCAAAAAATTCTATTACATTTTAAATAATTGAATTCATAAGAATTTTATTAAAAAAAATTTTTTTTTTTTTTTGAATAATTCGTTTTGTTTGAGAATTTTTATTATAATAATAAAATTGAACATCAAGGAAAAATTCTCTTAATTGTAAAAATAGTAATGAAATATTTTGAGAATAATTACATTCTTTGAAAGAATTTAATTAAATTTCAATTAAAAAATAATTTGGTTGTAATAAACAAATTTTATCAAAATTACTGAAAATATTGAATTCGTTTAAATAATTTTATAAAAATTGTTTGAAAAATAATTGAATGGAATTTTTCAAACAATTTAATTGAAATTGTATTGAAAAGAATTAAATAACTGCAAAGAATTTTATTCTTTATAAAAATAATTGAATAATTGCAAAGAATTTTCTTAAAAAGTTTTTTTAAATTGTAGAATTTGTGCAAACAATTTTTTTATTTCTGAAAATAATTGAATTTTTGCAAAGAATTTTATTAAAATTTTTTCAATTAATTGAATTCCAGTGAAAAATTTTTTATTTGTTGAATTATTGAAAATAATTGAACTTTTGCGAAGAATTTTAATAAAATTGTAGAAAATAATTGAATACTTTCGAGTAATTCAGTAAAAATTGTATTGAAAATAATTGAGTTCTTGAAAATTTATTTTATCAAAACTTTTTAAAATTTCTTCAAAGAATTCTAATAAAACATTTTAAATAATTGAATTCTTTAGAGAAATTTTCTGAAAATTATACATAACATAATTGAATTTCTGCAAAAATTTGTTAATTTATGAAAATAATGGAATTATTGCAAAGAATTTCTTTAAAAAGTTGTTTAAATTATAGAATTCTTGCAAAAATTGTATTATTAGTAAAAATAATTGAATTTTTGCGAAGAATTTAAATGAACAAAAAATAATTGAATTTTTCAAGGAATTCAATTAAAATTTTAAAGCAAAAATAATTTTAATCTTGCAAAAAATTTTATTATTCAATAAAATAATTGAAATCCTGCGAAGAATTTTATTAATTTGTGAAAATAATTGAATTCTTGGAATTTTTTTTAAAAGTATTTTCGAAAATAATTAAATCGTTTCAATGAATTTTATTAAAATTCTCTTTTGAGGAATTTAATTAAAATTGTTTAAAAAATAAGTTGATTCAAAATAATTGAATTTTTTGGAAGAATTTGAATAATTTATAAATAAATAATTGAATTTTTCGAGAAATTAAATTGTATTTGTATCGAAAATAATTGAATTTTTCGAGGAATTAAATTAAAATTGCATCGAAAATAATTGAATTTTTCGAGGGATTAAATTGAAATCGTATAGAAAATAATTGAAATTCTTGCCAAAAATTTTATCATTTCCAAGAATAATTGAACTCTTGCCTGGAATTTTACTAAAAATTTTTTTGTTAAATAATTGAATTTTCTCAAAGAATTTTATTATTTCTGCAAATAATTGAATTTTTTCGAAGATTTTTGTAAACATTTTTTTAAATAATTGAAATTTTCGAGGAATTTTTGTTGAAATTTGTTAAAATAATTAAATTTTTGAGAAACATTTTATTATAAAATTTTCCAAAATTTCTTGTTTGGAATTTTACTATAAATTTTTTTAAATATTTGAATTTTTTGCAGAAAATTTTTTTATTTTTTAAAAATACTCGAATTTTAGCAAAAAATAAATAAATACTTGATTTTTTAGTGCGAAACCCGATTTTTCATTTTTTTTCTTTTGTTGAGAAAAAAAAATGCAATAATCGCCAATTCTCTTTATCTTTCAAAATAAAAAAAATTTCCCTATTTTAATTTGTCCCAGAAAAAAAAATTTAATGGAATAATTTTCATAGAATTCATTTATAGAATAGAACAATTTTAATAGAATTAATTAATAGAATTGAATAAAAATGGAAAAGAATAGAATAATTTTAATAGAATTGAATTAAATAGAAAAGAATAGAATAATTTTAATAGAGTTGAATAAAATAGAAAAGAATAGAAAAAAAATTGCCGAATAAAAGTAGAAAAAAAAATGATGAAAAATTTGTCTCTCACCTTAAGTAAATCAATGAGATAAATTCTAAGAAAATCACGTAATCGTTTATAGAGTTCGAGACCAACGAGTTGTGCGCCTCCCGACATTGGACTCTTTTTTGTCTTCGTACACGTTCTCGATATTTGTTGATGAACACTCGTACAATAATTATAAACGTGAGTGTAAAGTTCAATGTATCGTGGCTTCGACATGCATTGTCTGTCGTAAACTTGCTCAATGCCTTCGCGAAGATCGTCCCAAATTTGATCCAAGTCGATTTGCTTCAGGCCCGGTGGACCGCCCTGGTGACTTCCTGTTCCTCCTCCACCACCGCCGCCGCCTCCTCTATGTGTCGACATTTTCACACTCATCCAACTTCAACAAGTAGTCCTCAATTATTTCCAATTTTCACGAATGCGATTCCACTGCAAACAAAAATCAAAGGCAAATTGTTAATTAATTAATTCATTAATTCATTAATAATGTCAATAATGCGTTTTTCAATTAGAATAAGAAAACAAACTCGCTTTTTCACTTTTACAAGTTTCTTCATTTGTAATTTTTGTCTTATTTTCTATTTTATTAATTTTCGTTTTCTCTTCTATTTATTTTCTTTTCTTCTTATTTTTTCTACATTTATTTTAAAATTATTTTTTTACTTATTTATTTTCCAGTTGAATATCCAAATACTTTTTTTTACTCTTTTTATTTGCTATGTATTTATTTTTCAATTATTTAATTTCTATTTATTTTTTTTCAGTTTTATTTTATTTGTAAATTTTACTTTAATTATTTAAACAATTTTATTTTTCAATTATTTTCATATTCTTTAATTTTCTCTGTTAAAAGCAGTTATTTAATTTTTTTTATCTTTTACTATTTTTATTTTGTATTTGATTTTTCAATTATTTTATTTCATCAATATTCACTTTGATTTTCTCAATTATTTAAGGGCATTTGAACCTTGATGACGTTTCAGTTTGTGCAAAGCATGTGTGACGTCATCAAGTTTCAAATGCCCTTAAATAGTTTTATCTTCAATATTCTGTTTTATTTTTCAATTATGTCTGTTTTTTATTTGAATTTTCAATTTACTATTTTCATTTTTCAATTATTTTTTGTAGAATATTCTATTTAAATTTCAATTGTTTACTTTTATATTACAATTATTTTAATTTTTAACAATTTTCTTTCTGATTTTCCAATTATTTTAATCATTTTTTCTTAAATTTTCTGTTTTATTTTTCAATTATTTATTATTTTTCTTGATTTTTCAGTTATTTTCTATTTTTCAATTATTTTTGTTTTTCATTTGATTTTTAAATTATTTCTTTATTGTTTATTTGAATCGATTTTTTAATTATTTGAATCAATTTTTCTTAATTTTTCTATTTTAATTTTCAATTATTTTTGTTTAGATTTTTTTTTAATTTTAATTATTTAATTTTTTAATTTTATACTTCAATTATTTTTTTAAGTATCTTTCTTAATTTTTTTTAATTATTTGATTGATTTTTCAATTATTTATTGTTATATTTCAATTACTTTATTTAATATTTTTTAATTTTATATTTGATTTTACAGTTATTTTATGTTTTGTTTCTATTTTTTTTTGTTCTTTCAATTATTTTATTTCATTTTTCAAATTATTTTCTTTGTTTTTCAATTACTTTTTGTTTTTCTAATAATTTTTAAGTTTATTATTAGATTTTCAATTATTTTCTTTGAATTTTCAATTATTTTCGTTCAGATTTCTTTTTAAATTTCAATTATTTACTTTTATGTTTCAATTATTTTAATTCATTTTTCAATTATTTGTTTTTTAATTTGATTTTTCAGTTATTTTTTATTTTTCAATTATTTTTCTTTTTCATTTGGTTTTTCAATTATTTATTTATTTTTTATTTGATTTTCAATTATTTTTAATTTACAATTTGATTTTTCAATTATTTTTTTAGAATTCTATTTGACTTTCAATTATTTACATTTTTAATTCATTTATTTTATTTTCATAAATTTCTACTTAAATTTTGTTTAATTTTCTACTTGATTTTTCAATACTGATTTTCAATTATTTTTGTTCTTTATTTGTTATTTCAATTCTTTATTTAACTTGTTAATTGATTTTCAATTATTTTCGTTTAAATTTATTTTTGAATTTCAATTATTTTTGTTTTTTTATTTGATTTTTCAATTATTTTTTAATTGATTTTCAATTATTGTTAATTTACAAAATGATTTTTCAATTATTTTTTTAGAACTCTATTTGAATTTGAATTGTTTATTTTTATATTTCAATTATTTTATTTTCTAAATTTTTACATATTTTTTAATAATTTACTCTTTGCTTTTTCAATTTTTTTTTTAATTTACTATTTGATTTTTCAATAATTTTACTGATATTTACAATTATTTTTTTTAATTTTTAAAAATATTTAGGTTTTTACTTGATTTTTCAATTATTTTTTTAGAATTCCATTTAAATTTCAATCATTTAAATTTTTAATTCTTTTATATTATTTTCCTAAATTTCTATTTAATTTTTAATTTTTTTTGTTTAGATTTCTTTTTTATTTTCAATTATTTAATTTTATATTTCAATTATTTTTTTTAAAAGTATTTTTCTTAATTTTTTTTAATTGTCTGTTTGATTTTTCAATTATTTTATTTTTTTAGAATTGAATTTGAATTTCAATTATTTATTGTTGTATTTCAATTACTTTATTTTATATTTTTTAATTTTATATTTGATTTTATAGTTATTTTAGGTTCTGTTTTCTATTTTTTTTGTTTTTCAATTATTTTATTTGATTTTTCAATTGTTTCGAATTTGATTTTTCAATTATTTTTTTAGTTTTTTAATTATTTTTTTTAGTTTTTTTATTTGATTTTCAATTATTTTCTTTTTGCAATTTTACATTTTATTTTACAATTATTTGGTTTTTTTTCTATTTTTAAAATTTTTCTTTCAATAATTATTTCAAACTTCAATTACTTTATTTCATATTTCAATTATTTTACATAGTTTTTTTTCAATTATCATTTTTCTTTTCTTATTCGCTTATAATTATTATCGTTATTCACTTTCTGACCGTTATTTATATTTCTTTTCAATTAAACAACCAACGCATGAAATAAATAAATATTGAAATAGAAATTTCCAGACAAGAAAAAAAGGGAAAAAAATTTTAAAAAAAAACTAAAAAATAAATAAATACCAAATTTCAGAAACAGTAACAATATTATATCTTATCGAAAATGACACATTTTTTCGATAAAAAAGAAAACAATTATTCCCCTCTTCCTCCTCTCGCTCAAATTAAAAAAGGGGAGGAGGGGGGGTTTATGACAGAAAACTCACGAATTATTATCGATGATGTCATCATTTCCTTCGAATAAAAATAAAAAAAGAAATCAAAAGGGTTATATAAATTTTCCTCTCTCTCTCTCCTCCCTTTAGATTCATTCAAACAGTTCAAATTAAATTAAACACAAATTCACTGTTTCGAGAACAATACACACGCATTTATATATGTATAGTACACTCACATATACAAATACACCATAATTAAATTCTTCCAATTCTTCAAAATCAATTAATTTTCCATTCTCCACTAATTGCACATTTTCGAAAAAAGAAAATAATTTTTTCCTTTTTTGAGGTTAGGCCCAATTTGTGCATTCACGGATGACAAATACACAAGCAACACAAGTGAACACAAGTAAGCACAAGAGGGAAATAAGGAATAAAAGAAGTAGAAGTACATGAAGTACTTTTATGGAGACCAAGAGACAAAAACAAGGTGCAAGAAAAAGAGAGAGAAGGAAGAAAAATTGTCACGCACAAATTAACGAACAAAGGACAAAGACCATAATTTTTCGACTCACGTTTTAAACAACGTGAAAGAGAGAGAGAGAGAGAGAGGTTTTTATTTCTCTCTCTCGTTTCTTCCATTTTCTTGTATGGCAGAATATTCAGAAAAACGAGAAAATTATCGATATGGGAAAATATTCATTCGATTCATTCAGTTCTTGTTTCTTGTAAAGACATGTAGAGACAGGAACTTTTTTCATATACATATATATATGTATATAGTTATACATGGAAACATACAAAGGAGACGATACAAGACGATATTCACTCTCGTTTCCAATACCGTTATGAATCCCGTGCAAAAATGAACGATGCATGCGTGGTTTTTTCGTTTTTAGGGTTTTTTTTAGAAAAAAGTCCTAATGAGGAGGGAAATTAATCAATTATTCACCCCCACCCCCCCAAACAAATTAAAAGCTGAAGAATAATAAATTTTATCCCATTAATTAGTGCTTACGGTAAATTTTAACAAAATCGGGTTTTTTCTCTGTCCCTCTTCCCTTTCCCCTCCCTCCCTCCTCTCTTTCCCACTCCCAGAGAATACATTTTGGCCACGCGAGACTTCAATATTTCAATGCTTGAATAAAATTTGTATATATTGGAAAAACGAATAAAAAAGATTTCACAGTACAAACAAATTTTGTTTTACTTACCCTCAATCTGGTCTTTTTCTTTTTTTTTTGAAGACTTTCACCACCGCATTACACAAAGTTTGATATTTTTATCCGAAAAAAAAATGAAATTCACTTTGAAAATACCTAATTGGGAGGAAACACTTTTGAGATTGCAAAAAAAAAAAATTGTGTGTTGGGAAGAAAAAAACTAAAAACACTTCGCTTTTTAAAATAACACTTTTCTTTTTCTTTCTCGGGATCTTCTTCTACTTCTTGAATATTGTTTGTTTCGTTCTTGAAAAACTGTTTACTTTATTAATAAATATTTCTCTTTTTTAAAGCAGCAGACAAAAATTATATACGCGATAAATGAATAACTAATTTTATTAAAAGTCGACTCTGCTGCTGCATCCAATTTTTCTCTGCTTCTCTCACTCACTCTCAGTCTGTGTGTCTGTGTCTAGTGACAGGTTAAGTTGCACTGTTGCCAACCTACCAAGTGTCGCCAACCGTTGGAAAACGAAAGAAAACGGAAAATTGAAACAAAATAAAAAATAAGAAAAAGAAAATGTTAAGAAAGAAAGAAAATTAAGAAAAACGATACGAAGAATAGAAATTAAGTTTCAATTTATTTGCGTCCTAGCGCAAAGTCAAAGTGAGTATTTTTTAATTACAGATCATTTTCATGAGTCATGGCGGAGAAGCGTTTTGATTGGTGGACAAGTTTGTGGGGATGGTATCCGCCGGCCAATGGGATAATCTTATGCTCAAAGCCGATTGGTCAATGGCAAATGGCGTCAGTTTTTCAAATGTTTATTTTTATTATTGACATTGAAATATTTACTTTTAAATTGCCATTGACATTAATAATTTAAATATTGTTATTGAGACTCTTTTGGATGATCTACTTTTTCGTGAATGATGATAATAATAATAACAGAAGTAAATTCGGAGAAAATCGAAAATCACCACGAAATTTATTATTTGAAAAGAAAATAAAAATTTTCGATTTTATTTTTTATTAATTATTTAAAAAAAAGGTTTTTAACATTTTTTTCTTGAAAAATAATATTTAATAAATGAAAATAAAATAAAAAAAGGGAAGTTAAAAAATATGAAAATAAAAAAAAAATAGAAAATAAATAAATAAATGAAAGTTAAAAAAAAAATAAATACGAAAATAGAAAAAATAAATTAAATTAAAAAAAAAGGAAAGTCAAAACTGTAGGTCGAGAATTTTTTTTTTATTAACCACATTTTTAAAAAATTTTATTTTACACCGAATACAAACTTTTCAAAAGAAAAAAATATAAAAATTCGTTAAAACACTAAATTTTCAAGGGAAAAAGATTTTAATTTTTTTTAAGAATTGTAAACGAAATATTTTTTTTTTAGGAAAAAAGTTAAAGTTAAAAAAAAAATGAAATACGAAAATTCCTTTATAGAAAAATAATTGGAGTAATAGAACTTTCTTCATTTTTTTTTTTGCTTTTTGGTCTTTAATGATGAATACTGAGAGCGTCACTATTAACTTCGTGGCTCAATTGCGTTTGTAAATTGGATAATTTATTTTTTAAAGCTGCAATTCCCATCATAACGATATTTTCTGGTTTCAATGCGCCGCTCGCTTCGACATTAAAATAATATTTATTTGGTTTTGCCTCCCAATTGAATGCAGCTTCATCTGTTAAGGAAAATCAAAATTTTAATTTTTTAATTTTATTATCATTCCAGTTTTTTTTTAATTTAAAATTTCTCATTTTAGTTATTTTTTATTGATAAATATTTTTTTTTTAATTCTTTTTCTTAATTTTCTTTTCAGTCATTTTGTATTTGAAGAATATTTTTCAAATTCTTTTATATTTTTTCAATTATTTTTTTTTAATGTTCATTTTTTTTAAATTTCTATTTTATTTTTTAATTATTTAGTTTCATTTTTTGAAAATTCTTCTATTTGCTTTTCAATTATTCTTTTATTTTATTGAAATTTTCAATTTTTTTTCTATTTTTAATTTGATTTTTAAATTACATATTTTATTTGTTTTCTTAATTTTATTTAAGTTTCTATTTTTTTCAATTCTTTTCTTTAAAATTTTCTCTTCAATTATTTTTTATTTTCTTAAATTTTAAAACTTTTTTCAATTTTTATTTGATTTTTCCATTATTTTCTTTGTTTTTTCAATTATTTTTTAGTTTTTTTATTTGATTTTCAAATATTTTATTTGATTTTCAATTATTTGATTTGATTTTCAATTACTTTATTTACTTTTCAATTATTAAACTTTTCAATTTTTTTTCAATTTTCTTTTTGAATTTTAAGCAATTTTATTTTGTTTTTCTATTTTATTTTTAAATTATTTTATTGGTTTTATCAATTTTTTTAAGTTTTTGTATTTTTCAATTTATTTCCTTAATTTTCTTTTCAATTTTTTATTTTATTATATTAAATATTTCAATTATTTAATTTTATTTTTCGATTTCTATTTTTTTTTTATTTCTATTGGATTTTTTAATTATTTAGTTTTATTATTGTTCAATTATTTTATTTGCTTTTCAATTATTCTTTTTTTATTAAATTTGTTAATTTTCTTCAATTTTCTATTTGAAATAATTATTTTATTTTTCTACTTTATTTGTTTTATCAATTTTAAAATTTTTTTTTATTTTTCAATTCTTTTCCTTTAATTTTCTCTTCAATTATTTTTTATTTCATTAAATTTTTTAAATTTCTATTTCATTTTTCAATTATTTAATTTCATTTTTCCATCCTTTTCAATTTTTTTAAAATGATTTTTCAATTATTTTATTTGATTTTCAATTATTTTATTATTAGAATTCTATTTGCACTTTAAAAGTTTAATATTATTATTGAGCTATTTTATTGTTTTGAATTTCTATTCGATTTTTCAATTATTTTCTTTATTTTTCCAATTATTATTATTCTTTTATTAGATTTTTCAATAATTTTTTTTTAGTTTTTTATTTGATTTTCAATTATTTGATTTGATTTTCAATTACTTTATTTACTTTTTAATTATTCTTTTAAATTAGTAAACTTTTCAATTTTTTTCAATTTTCTATTTGAATTTTTATTTTTTAATTATTTTATTTTTTGCTTTCTTGTTTTATTTTAAATTTCTTTTATTTTCAATTTTCTCTTCAGTTAATTTTTATTAGAGAAACATTTATTTTTCAATTCTTTTCTGTAAATTTTTATTAAAAAATATATTTCAATTCTTTTCCCTAACTTTTTATGAAAAAATATTCAATTCTTTTGCTTTAATTTTCAATTAAAACATATTTTTCAATTCTTTTCTTTACTTTTTAAATGAAAAATATTTTTGAATTCTTTATTCTATTATTTAAAAATATTTTTCAATTTTCTTCTTTAATTTTCTCTAGAGTTACTTTTTATTAAAAGAAATACTTTTCAATTCTTTTCTTCCCCTTAATTTTCTTTACAAGTTTTCTTTTTATAAAAAACTATTTCTCAACCTTTTTCTCTTTATTAATTTTCTTCTATCGAAAAAAAAAAATTAATGGAAAAACTAAAATTCCCTTTAAATTTAATTTTTCAAAACTTCTCTTAAAATTTAATTCGAAATTTACAATTTTATGCAATAAATATTTAACTTAAGTGAAAAAATTGATTTCGATTAAGAAAAAGGAATTATAATTTATAATAAGAAAGAAGAAGTGAATTTTTCTTACGCTGATCCTTGTCCAATTCGCTGTACTCAGACTTTGGCCACTCCTCGGGTCTTGGGAATAAAGTGTGTCTCATTGAATTGTCAGGATCGTACTCAAAACTAACGCCCGCCGTTGGATTCCATTTTGCGTGTTCTTTTCCGAAACCCTTCTTTGCATACGCTCGTAATTTCAATTCCTGGCCATTTCGCAATTTAACGATCAGAATATCTGAAAATTAAATTAATTAAATTAATAAAATTAATATTTCTATTCTTTCAAAACAAAAATTAGGTTACATAGAAATTCAATTTAATACATTTGGAAAAACACGAGAAATTCGAAATGTAAATTTTCCTTTTTTTCTTCTAATTTTTTTTTTTAATTTGAAAGAAAACTTTTTTTTATGAAAATAAAGTTTTTTTTTTATAAAAAATTTATAAAAATGAAAATTGTAAGAAATGAAAGAAGACAATTGACCAACCGTCGGGTTCGGGATAGTCACTTTCTTCGTCTCGCGGTCTTGAATTCAGTGGACGAACTCTTCCGTCGCTTGATTTAAAATCGGCGCTCGTCACATTCAGAGTTTTGTCGCCTGTGTATTTTACTTCCAATGTGAATTCGACGCTACACTCGGGACAGAAATCTATGCACTGACAATCTCTTGTGTATTGCATTCGATCGACAACCTGCAAAAATTCAAATTTTAAATTTGAAAAAAAAAATTAGAACTTGAAGTTTTAATTTAAATTTTGAAGAATTGAATTTTGAATTTTATCCTTAGAAATTTAATTTAAAATTTAAAGAAAGAAACTTTGAAAGTCAAATTTAAAATTTGAAAGAAAAATTAGAAATTTATATATAAAATTTAGAAATTGAAATATAAAATATAAATATATAATTCAGAATTTTAAATTTTAAATTTCAAAAAAAAATTTAGAAATTTAAATATAAACTTCGAGGATAAAATTTGGAAATTGAAAAAGAATTCAGAAATTGCAAAAAAAATAAATGAGTTGAAAATCAAGAAAATATGCAAATTAAAAATTGTACTTCGTCGCTGATAATTGGAATTAATCCAATTCTGTGAGAGAGAAATTCGTCGCTCAAAACTGTCGTATTCACTTCAATTTGAACCCAATCGATGGCCATTGTCGGTGTTTCGGCGATAAAAATTCGTCTCATGCTGTTCGCAACACTAACGAAAAATATTACCAATTATTGTAATTATGACTATATCAGTTAAAAACTTAATAAATATTCTTAAAAAACTATAGGTTTTAAAATATTTTTTCTAACCTAAATAAAAATAAAAATAAAGAAAAGAGAAATAAATGTATAAAAAAATGCGAATGTTTCTAAAAAAAATATATATACTTTAGAGTCATGCGAATTTATTTTCTTTTGTCTCTAAATTAATAATTTACGTTTCATTTGAAATATTTTGAAACAAATAAAATAAAAATACGGGAGAAATTCATAAAAATTTTAGGTTAGAATTACCTTAAGTCCGTTTCTTCCACTTGGAATTTGACATTTTCGTCCGTTAATTCGGTAATATGCACTGACGGTTGATTAGCGTAGGGCATTTTTAACTTTTAATTACTATTTTCTTATGGAAATAAACTAATAAATTCAGTAAATCGCTATTAATATGATACAAAAGTCAAAATTATCGAACATAAACAAATTGTTTGTTACTGTCAAACAGGGATGAGAAGCTTTTTTCTATACAGTACCTTAAGGGTGCGGTCACATTCTGCAATAAACTTTGTTGTAACTAAACGGACCTTTATACCCTAGATTCCTAGGGGAAAATTTCTATAAAGAAATTTTAAAATTGTATAAAATAATAATAATTAATTATTAATAATTTAAAATTAAGCTTTCACTAGAGGATTTCACTCATTTTCATTTTTTAAATAAAACATTTCATATTATCTACTGAAAATAAAAACTAAAGATAGTAATTCGACAACGACAACCCAACCCTGTAAAAATACGACAACAATACCGGACAACGTTCAAATTAAATTGATTTTGTCATTTAAAAACGGTCGCTAGTGTCTTTAAGGTCTTAAAATAATTATTTCATGTTATTCTAAAGTATTTATCGTATTTATTGGCTAGACGGTCATTTAATTGATTTTAACTTTTAACTAGTGACCTTGACGATGCTGGCGAACGAGAGTCGAAACCATCGAAACCTCGTTTATTTTTTTATATTAAAAAAGTGAGACATACTTTTTTTTACCTTTTGTTTACATATCTTTCTAAAATCGAAAAAAAATATTATTCGAGTAGTTTAAGTTTATTTTATTTATTTCATCATGATTTCATCATTTAAACGGGTTTACAAAAAAACACATTTTTTCAATATTTTATAGGTTATGTTAGTTTATAAATAAAAAAAATTATATAATTCTCTAAGAATTATTTTGATGAATTAAAAATTTAAAAATAAGGCAAAAATTTCAAGGTTATTTCCGTATTCAAAGTGAATTTTCGTTTTAAATCTAAATAATCTCGTGCGTTATATAAAAATTTTTTTTCCTGGATCAAAAGCAATTTTAACCTGTGTTTGTATGCACGAAACCGGAAGGCAATAAAGAAACTGTTGCGTACAATGTTTACATGCATAGAGAGAGAAAAAAAATTTGTTTCCAATATTATTAAAATATCATCGGGATTATTGCGTTATTACTGAAAAATAGAGACAATTGTTTTTCATAAATTTTTTTATTTTCCATTTACAATCATCTTTGTGATCAAAGGAGGCAATGGGGGGGGGGGGAGGCAAGAATAAAGAATTTTTTTTTCTAAAAACAACTGCGAAAACCGCAGAGTTTGCAATTGGAGGAAAAAAAAATTGGAAATTAATCCGCAATATTGTCAATCTCTACAAAGACAATAATAATAACAAAAAGGTTTTTTCTCCAAAAATATTAATAACAACATAAAGGTTTTTTTACAATAATAATAATAATAATATTCCTTACTTGGAATGGATATCAAAACTATTAACAATAATACTAAAAATAATAATAACAAAAAAGGTTTTTGTACAATATTAATAATAATAATAATAATAAAAAGGTATTTTTACAATAATAAAAATAATAATATTCCTTACTTGGAATGGATATCAAAACTACTATCAATAATAATAATAATAATAATAATAATAATAATAATAATAATAATAATAATAATAATAATAATAAAAAAGGTGTTTTTACAAAATAATGATAACAATAAAAAAGGTTTTTTTACAATAGTAATAATAATAACAATAACAAAAAGGTTTTTGAAAACCGTTTATGTCCAAATAAATAAATAATAATGATAATAATAAAAAGGTTTTTTACAATAAATTTTTTTTTAATTTTTCAAAAAATTTTCAAAATTGAAAAAAATATAAAAATTTCTTTTTAAAATGAATTTTTAAATTTTGTTTTTAATAAAATAAATTTTTTTCTTTCTCAAAATAAAAAAAAGCTATTCAGTTTGTTCTCTAAAATAAAAATTCTCTTCTATTATTTATTTTGTTTTTTTATTTATATTTTTTTTCCTATTGAATAACAGTGCCGATATTGATCAAGCGTGTAGAATTCGGAATCCTTTTTACGACAAGAATATCAAATGTGTGAGATGAAAGGAAAACAGTAGTAAAAAAGTTTACCTTGAAAAATTTAATTTAAAATAAAGTTTCGATAATTTTTTTTTTGTTTTTGGTTGAATTAATAATAAAAAATGTTTATTTATTCTCGTAAATGTTTATATTATACGCATAACTTTGAGATGAAAAAAAAAAATTAATGGAAAGTAGAGAAAAATGTAAATGATAAAAAAGAATAGTAAATAATAATAAGAAGAAAGAAAAATAAAATAATAAGAAAAAAGAAAAATAAATAATAAAAAATAAGAAAAATAAAAAAATAAAAATAAATGCACATTAAAAATTTATAAAAATATAAATAAATAAATAAACAAAATTATAAAAAAAAATTGTAGAAAATGAAAATCAGCAAAAAAATTATGGAATTTGCACAATAAAAAAATAAATAAAAAACAAAAAATAATGGTATGCGCAAAATTAAACAATAAAAATATGAATAAACAAAATTATAAAAAGTAAGTATAAATGAAGAAAATAATGGACTTTTCACAATAAAAACTGAATAAATAAACAAATTAAAATAAATAAGTGTAAAATTATTAATTAAAAAAAAAATTGTCAAAATAAAAATATAAAAAAAAATTATTAAAAAAACGAATAAAAATATGAAAAATAAGCAAAATAAATAAAAAAGTATAAAATAAAATATAATCAAATGTGCAAAATTAAATAATAAAAATATAAATAAAAAAAATTATAAAAAATAACTGGAAAATTAAAAAAATAGAAAAATAATGTAACTTCTTTATTAAATTATTCTTTACGAAGGATTTTTAAAAGTGATTTGAAGGAGGGTTGTTACTTCCTTAAGAAGTGAGAGGGGGTGGGGGACTAATGTACTTCTATTGCAACATATAAAATGAAATGAGTAGTTATGAGTCGGGTATTTACAATCGCGACTTGTTGCATTTATTTTCACAAAAAAAAAAAACCACTGTTTTATCCTCTAGTAACAATTTTTACCCGCAAATTTTTTCAATTTCATTTTATAAACTACTTTTTTTATAATTCTCAATTTAAAAAATTTTTTAAGTGTTCACTAAAAAAAGAAAATAAATACCAATTAAAATGCCAACGCCGAAAGTGAATGGAAATTTTGTTCATAAAAATGGTTTTAATAATGAGGTAACGAAATAAAAGTTATTTATATAGTTTATAATTATTTTTAAAAAAAATTTTCAAAAAAAAAAATTGCAATAGTGATAAAAACTTTAGTGTGAAAGATAAAAACTTTTATTTAAAAATAAATAAAATTTAGTTTTAGTTTCAAGTTAAAAAGTTGTTTTTTAAAAGACAATAGATTAGATTTCTTTAAATGTATTTTAACGAAAAAATAATGGGTTTTAAAAATAAATGAATAACCTTATTTTGTTGATTTTTTGATAAATGTTTAAATTTAAAAATAAATCATTATAATTTTTTAAACAGTTAAAAAGAGCCTTTAAATAAATTAATAAATAAAGATAAAAAAAATGAAGAGAATGATTTAAAAAAAATTTTTTTTTAATTAATTAAAAAATATATATAAAAATGAATACAATAAGGAAATTATATAAATAAAGAAAATAATTAAAATAATAAATTAAAAAAATAAATATAGAAAAATTATAAATTAGATATATAAATAAAATATTAAACAGTAAATGAATTAAGAAAATAAATATAGAAAAACTATAAATAAGATAAATACATAAAAAATTAAAAAGTAAATAAATTAAGAAAATAATTAAAACAATAAATATAGAAAAATTATAAATAAGATAAATAAATAAAATATTAAATAGTAAAAAAATTGAAGAAATTTAAAAAATAAATATAAACAAAGTATAAATAAGATAAATAAATAAATAATTAAAAAGTAAATAAAATTTTAAAAAAATTAATAAAAATAAATAAATTTAAGAGTTTGTTTTTTACATATTATAAAAATTCGTTTCGGTTATAAGTGTACCTTTCTTTTTTACCAATCATCAATATTGAATGTATACATACATATTATATATTTAAAAATACGGGATTTTTATTTCCCGTAAAATGAAAATATATGCGCGCATATATAAATTTTATAATACGGACACACTTAGAGAGGCAACGAAAGCCACTTTCATTTAAGACTTTCTCGATTACAAGCGTCTTCAAATCTCACATATATTATGATCAGTCAGTCACTGAACAATTTATAAACCGCACGCGAATGATGATTTCCTCATCGTCAAATTTTTCGCTCAAAATAATTCAAATTCCAAATTTTAAAACAAATTTATTAAAAAGTGTATAAAAAGAAAATTGTGTTTTTCTCACTAAAAAAAGAGTGTTAAATTTTATAAAATTTATTTAAATATTTATTTATTTTTCAAAATTAATTATTTTTATTTATTTTCTAACAGTTATTTTATTTTTCAAAATTATAATTATTTTTATTTATTTAATTTATTTTCTAACAGTCCTCTTAATTTCAAAATTAAAAATTAATCGAAAGGAAATATTTCTTTTGACTCGTTAATTAATTTATTGACTCAAAAAAATTATAAAATTTCAAAAATTGTTTCTTGAGAATATTTACAAAAAAAATGTTACCTTCAAAATGAAAATATTCATGATTTCCTTGTTAATTTAAAAGAACCTTATTTTTTGTGTTAATAATAATAATAAAAAGAAAATTTCTCAAATCAATTATACGGAGTTTCGAGGAGTGATTAGCGAGGTCAATGTGTTTTTTTTTCTAATTTGTAAACACAAGTCATTGTTACATATTTTATAAAATTGTTAGTGAGAAATAATTTTTTTCAATTTTTTTTCTCTTCGACACTTTGCTTTTTAATTATTTTTAATTATGGGAATTACTGGTACCAATGTCATAGAAGCCCCGGGCACTTCAAAGACGAAGGTAAAATATAAACTATTTCCTTTACTTTTTAAAATCTTAAAAAAAATGTTCAGTTTAAAAAAAATTTCATTTTGCAAAATGTTTCAACACGAAATGTTTCAACAGGAAATGTTTCGACACAAAATGTTTATATAATTAATCACAACAATTGATTGTTGCTTTAATTACAGCGTTACGTTATTATATTTAAAAAAAAAATGTATTATTGAAAATTATAATTGATTAAAAAAAAGGAAAATATTTCTGATTTATTTTTAAAAATTGCAATTAAAATTTAAATTGGAATGATTAAACTAGTTTTATAATTAGTGTGAAAGAAAAATATAATTAAAATTCTCAATTAAAAATTTAATTCTAAATTGAAAGCAAATAATTAAAATTCATTTGAAAATTTTTTACGCGGTTCTCAAAATCGAATTTATATTTTAGAGATTAAAAAAAAACTATGTATACTAATAGTGAGACAAAATATATTTATTCAAACAAAATATATTTTTTTTTCGTTTTGTTATAAATTACCTACTGTTCTTCATCAAATTTAAAAAATAAGTAAATTATCGGTAAATTTTTTTTTATAATTCCTCATGTATATCCATTTAATAAAAATTATTTGAAAGAAATTAAGTTTGCAATATAATTATAATTAACTTTTTTTAAATTCCAAAATAAAACAACTTACGATTTTCTTTTATTTTTTACCTTCACATTTATATTTTGAGTCAATTTTTTTCAAATAAAATTCTCCTGGGCAATAAAAAAAATTCTTATCACTTTTAATTAAGTACGTGATTTATGTTCCAATCGGTATTTTTTTATTAGACTCCGTTTTATCAACGTGAGTAGAATTATTATTCTTATTCTATTTTTCTATATATATACTGTCCTTAAAATGTGTACTATTTTAATTTCGATATTTCATGATATATTTCTGTTTGGATTTTGAAATAATTTTTTTAAATTTCTTACTGACATATGTATAGTGCACCTAAGTCGCGAAGAACTGGTATTACTGAAGATAAAAATGAACTCCACTTGAACTTTTTATGTTCTGCTAAGAAAACTGAGGGTACTTTCCCCACAATACAGTTGAAGATATAATTATCTAGAACTCATATTGTTCTTGGTAATAAAAAAATGTGGATACTTTCCACTATACTACTGAAGAAATTTTATTAAATATTTTTTTAAGATATTTTATTTTTTACTTAAGAATTTATTAAACAGAAAAGGGGTTACCTTGAGGGGTACTGACCATTATACTACTGAAGAAAATTTTAAACCTGTAGTTTAGTTAAAATTTATAAGTGGGGGTACTGACTGTTATACTACTAAAGATATTTTAAAAACTGCTAATTAGTTTAAATTTATAAATTGGAGATGGGGGTACTTATCATTATACTACTGAAGATATTTTTAAAACTGCAATTTAGTTTAAATTTAAACATTATAAATGGGGTTATTTTACTATTATGATATTGAAGATTACTGAACATTAGATTAATGTTAAGAATTGTTGAAAGAAAAAATGGGGTACTGACTATTATACTACTGAAGAAAACTGTATTTCAGTTTAAATTTATAAATTGGAGGTGAAGGTTTTGACCATTATACTACTGAAGATATTTTTGAAACTGCAATTTAGTTTAAATTTATAATTCGGAGGTGGGGGTACTGACCATTATACTACTGAAGAAACTTTTAAATCTGTAATTTAGTTGACATTTATAAGTAGGAGTACTGACTATTATACTACTGAAGATATTTTAAAAACTGCTAATTAGTTTAAATTTATAAATTCGAGATGGGGGTACTTATCATTATACTACTGAAGATAATTTTAAAATTGCACTTTAGTTTAAATTTATAAATTGGAGATGGGGGTACTTATCATTACACTACTGAAGATATTTTTAAAACTGCAATTTAGTTTAAATTTAAGAATTATAAATGGGGTTATTTTACTATTATGATATTGAAGATTAATGAACATTAGATTAATGTTAAGAATTGTTGAAAGAAAAAATGGGTAGTGACTATTATACTACTGAAGAAAACTGTATTTTAGTTTAAATTTATAAATTGGAAGTGAAAGTTTTGACCATTATGCTACTGAAGATATTTTTAAATCTGCAATCTAGTTTAAATTTATAATTCGGAAGTGGGTACTGACCATTATACTACTGAAGATATTTTTAAAACTGCAATTTAGTTTAAATTTATAAATTGGAGTTGGGGGTACTTATCATTATACTACTGAAGATATTTTTAAAACTGCAATTTAGTTTAAATATATAAATTGGAGATGGGGGTATTTACCATTACACTACTGAAGATATTTTTAAAACTGCAATTTAGTTTAAATTTAAGAATTATAAGTGGGGTTATTTTACTATTATGATATTGAAGATTACTGAACATTAGATTAATGTTAAAAATTGTTGAAAGAAAAGGGATAATTTAGTTAAAATTTTTAATTTGAAGGAGGGGTACTAACCATTATACTACTGCAGATTTTAGAATATTTGATTAATGTTGAAAATTGTTGAAGTTAAGAAAATAGATTTTTCATTTTCAGAGAGTATAGTTACCTCAATTTCGTTTATTAAACATAAAAAAGTGAAGTAAAAAAAGAATTAATTTCTCTAATAGAAAAATTTTGTTTTTCTTTTCTGTTTTTTTCGGGTATAGAACGTTGCCAAGAATGTGACGATTCAGGCTCATCACGTGTCTAGGGTAAAACGAGGTCAGGCCTACGGTTCAGTTCATGGCTTTCGAGGTTGTACTGTTTGGTTCACAGGATTATCAGGCGCTGGAAAAACGTCAATTGCTTTTCAACTTGAAGATAAACTTGTTTCTCAAGTGAGTCTTAATTATTTCTCCTTTTTTCACTATTATTCTTTTTCTTTTACTTCATTTCACTTTTTTATTTATTTTTTCATTTTCTTTTATTTATGTATTTTTGTTTTTTATTTATTTTTGCTTTTTCATTCATTTTTTCATTTTTGCTTCCTCTCAAAGGAAGTCTTATAGTGATGTCGATTTTCAAATTTCTTAGAATCAATTATTTTCACTAATTTTCAATTGTATTTTATTTATTTTTTTGGAAGTTTGTAATATTAACAGTGCTAAAAAATTGATATTTTTCATATCTTGATAAATCGAACTACTTGAAAACTTGTACACCGAATTATCGATTTTTGTTTTTATCTTCAAGGGAATTCCTGCTTATGGTCTAGACGGTGACAACATTAGAACAGGATTGAATAGAAATTTGGGTTTCAGTAAAGCCGATAGGGAGGAGAATATCCGTCGTGTAGCGGAAGTGGCGAAACTTTTTTCGGACGCGGGAATGATAACATTGTGCAGTTTTGTCTCACCCTTCGAGGAGGACAGACAAATTGCAAAACGAATTCACGACGAGGCGAATCTTCCATTTTTGGAAATTTTCGTCGATACACCATTGAATGTCTGTGAAGCTCGTGATGTTAAGGTAAAAAAAATTAATATTTAGAAAACAAATGTTGAAATTTACAACTATTTTCAAGTTAATAAAAATTACGATCTAAATTTGATCAACGAACCTGCTAATGACCCCTTCTAAATTGGATTTTTATCCACTTTCGACTCTTTTCTTTTTGGAGCAGATTGAAAATGGCTTTTTTTCTTCTATTTCACAGGGACTTTATAAAAAAGCGAGAATGGGGAAAATTAAGGGATTCACGGGAATTGATCAAATCTATGAGAAGCCAGTGAGACCGGATCTCACAGTGAACACTGAAAAATTATCTCTCACCGAATGCACTTCAATGGTGATTGAACTTTTGCAAAAGCGTGGAATATTGCCCAAGTTGCATGAGATTGGACGTTCACGTGTTCACGAACTTTTTGTCTCTCGCGAAAAATTGCCCGCGATGAGAATGGAAACCGAGACACTTGAATCCATTGAAGTGAATGAAATTGACGTGCAGTGGATTCAAATTCTATCCGAAGGCTGGGCTCATCCCCTCAAAGGTTTTATGCGTGAGGAACAATACCTCCAGGTAAATTTCAAAAGGAAATATGAAAATAGAACTAAAAAATTATTTATGATAATAATTTTAATTATTCTAATACTTTTAGAGTTTGCACTTTAATTTCTTGAGTGACAATGAGAAGGAAGTGAATCAGTCGATACCGATCGTATTGCCAGTGAGTGGTGATGATAAAAATCGTTTGGAAAATTCGTCATCGATTGTTCTTCGTCACAAGGGAAAGGCATTGGCGATTGTGAGAAATCCGGAATTCTATTATCATCGTAAGGAGGAACGATGTTCGAGACAATTTGGAACAAATGATTCGCGTCATCCTTATGTGAAAATAATTCACGATTCAGGTGATTGGTTACTTGGTGGGGAAATTCAAGTTTTGGAAAGGATTCTATGGAATGACGGTTTGGATCGGTACAGATTAACTCCGAATGAAATAATCGACAAGTGCTGTCAAGCTGGGGCTGATGCGGTTTTTGCCTTTCAACTTCGAAATCCAATCCATAATGGACATGCTCTTCTCATGCAGGTGAATAATTTTTTTGCTTTTGTTCTTAGCCATTTCAATGTCTCTATTACTGAAAATATTTTTAAAACTGCAATTTATTTTTAAATTTATTAAAAAGAAAAGAGGGTACTGACCATTATGCTACTGAAGATACTTTTAAAACTACAATTTAGTTTAAATTCACAAATTGGAGTCAAATTAATTAGAAAGTATTTTTTTCTAATAACAGGTAAGTAAAGAAAAGTTTCTTTGAAAACAAGAAAAGACAATATATTTAAAATGAGAAGAATTAATAGACGAAAATAGTCAAGATTGGACCACCTTTTGAACGTTGTATATAACTTTCTGTTAAAATAACGACTTCAAACTAATTAATTCAAAAGCATTTTTTTCTAATAAAAAGTAAGTTAAAAGAGTTTCTTTAAAAACAAGAAAGGAAATTATATTCTTCTGAAGATATTTTTAAAGCTACAATTTAGTTTAAATTTATAATTTAGATTTGTATTATTACCTTGATAACGATTTTGATTTTTATTATAATTTGAATTTTCTCTGTATCGATTTTGATTTGTATTATTACCTTGATAACGATTTTTATTATAATTTGAATTTTCTCTATATCGATTTTGATTTTGTTGGTTAGAATTTTGTTTATTCTAATTTTGCGAATTGTTTTGTTGCCTATTGCAATAAACAGGATTTTTATCTTTAAATGTTTGCTTTATACTTTTTATTATATTTTCTTACCTACTTGTGCGGTCCTTCTTGTACTCCAGGAATGGATCTGAATAAATAAAAAGAAACTCAATAAAACTTACTCTTGAAATATGCACTTTCAGGATACGAGGAAATATCTTCTAAAGGAGAGGGGATTTAAAAAACCAATTTTACTTTTACATCCACTTGGTGGTTGGACCAAAGATGACGATGTTCCACTTCAAGTCAGAATTCAACAGCATCAGAGTGTTCTTGAAGATGGTATATTGCATCCCGATACATTGTTGGCAATTTTTCCCAGTCCGATGATGTACGCCGGTCCGACGGAGGTTTGTCGACTGAAATATTTTCCTTCTAAAGAAAATTATTACCTAGATAAAATTTTTTCAAAAATTAAAAAAATGTCTTCTAATCACTAAATTTTTTTTCTAAATTCTACAAAAACCTTTTTAAACAATAAACAGAAAATATTTTCCTAATTCTCAACTGAATGAAAAATAAATTTAGGTCCAGTGGCACGCCAAGGCAAGAATGAATGCTGGCGCAAATTTTTATATTGTAGGACGAGATCCAGCAGGTATGCCTCATCCGGAAAAATGCTCAACTCCCGACGGTAATCTTTATGACGCCACTCATGGAGCTAAAGTTCTATCAATGGCACCAGGACTCGATCGACTTGAAATAATACCCTTTAAAGTAGCAGCCTACGATAAAAAAACGAAGAAAATGGCATACTTCGATCCTAATCGAAAAGACGACTTTGACTTTATTTCCGGTACTCGAATGCGAGGTGAGAACATTATTTTCTCCTTAGTTTTTCATTAATAATATATTTTACTTTTTTTAATATCCTCGACTTTTATATTAAATGATTCTGCGAAAATATTTCAATTGGAAAATATTGACTAAAAAAAGAAACATTAAAAACTATTTCAGGTCTGGCAAAATCCGGCGAAACACCACCCGAGGGATTTATGTCTCCAAAGGCTTGGAATATTTTGTCACAATTTTACCGTTGAAATACAAATGAATCATACGACATATAGAAAATAAAAAATTAGTTTTTAAATAAAAACATCATGACGAATTATAAATAATTTATTACCAAACAAATACTTCTTTTTTAACTGAAAAATTAATATGTATAGACAATTTGAAAAATAATATCTAACAGAAAAATAATTCTTGTATTAGAGCACCTCTTGTTTTCGTAGATTATACATATATACTATTTATAATAAAATTGTAATTTTTTTCTCACTTATTGACGTCATTATTGTACTCAAAAATGCACAACATATTCATAACGGAAGTTTTCTTCTTTTCTCTCATTTCTTTTTTTTTGCAAACATGAAATTATTTGATAGTAGGAAATACGGTCGAAAAGATGAAAGAGTTGTGGCAGACCTGCTACACATTTAATTCTCTTCCCTTTGAGAATCTCTGACTAGCCTGGAAGATCTGTAATAGAATTTTTGTCCCCTTTGAAATTCTCATGACGCTTGTGGATGAAAAAAAAAATTAAATTTCTTTAAATTGAAAACTATGTTTGAACTCATCACTACGAATCACTAAAAACTTCTTTTTTGGTATAAAAAAAATCGCATGCCGAAATATTTCGTCATGCTAGTGTCATCAAATACTGAAAAAAAATATCTTTTAATAAAAACTAATTTTAGTGCATTTTCTATAATCGTTGCTAGCATTTTTTACAATCTAACAATTTTTCTATAATCACAACATTAAAACAGGATTGCCAGAATGTAAAATCGAATCTTATGACGAACTAGGTCTCTTTTCTTCCGTTGCACACGCGTTTGACTTAAATACATTAATTTGTTCAAGTTAATAGAATTATTATTTTTAAGATTACTTACATCACGCTTTGAAGTCCAGAAGAAAATGACCGAGAATGACGCTGTGTTGAAATAAATAACTTACTACCTCAGGGTTGGGTCACTTTTTCACAAACAAACTTAAGTACAGTTCATACCACCTGAATTCTGGCAATCGTGAATTAAAATCTCAGTCCATTTCTAAATACTAAGAAAAAAAATACTTGTGTCAGTTTTTACAGGAATTAAAAAAATACTAAGCATGCAAGTCCAGGCAAATCTGTGAACAACGCAATTCTTACGTGTGGACTAACTATAGGGATACTTTTGTCCTTTTCTATCGCACAAATATAAAAAGCAGGATCGAAAAGAACAGAAGACAATTTTTTGGTGAGGGTTGTGTAACAATATCAATAATCTAGACTAAAATGCCGAAACAAATTGTGCAAGCGGGATCAGGAGGCGATGCACGAGACTGTTCGTCTACCTTCCTCCTCGGAATCGGAAATTCTTGTCGTATGAAGGGAATTCTGTTTCGTTAGAGTCCTGGCGAGACCACGTGGCCTAGGCGGTGGCGACTGTTTATTCCAGATAGCCTCAAGCTGATCGAAATGCTGTGATTGAGCAAGAGCGGCCTGTTCAGGCCCCAGACCCGACTGCGAACCGGTCAATCCGGCCTTACTTATCTCCTCCATTGATGCACTCACGCTAAATCTCCTCTTCAATCTCTCCTCGACTGATGCTACCATTATTCCTTTAGATAACCAAATTGGTCATGTTTAGTTACTTTAGGGTGGAGTCACAGCCCTGCAGGTAGGTTGCCACGCTGGGGACAATAATTTCCCATCTCTTTCACTCTTGTACGTTACCATGGCAACTTTCCTGCAGGGCTGTGAACGCACCCTTAAAAACCGCATATCGACACCCCAAGTTAACGATGATCCAATCATCAATAAGATTCAGTTGGTTCTAACAATTAAACATTAACTCGGGGTGAGTGTCGAAAACAGTCATAAAAAAAGAAATGGGATTAAAATACCTGACGTAAGGTGTCCGTACTTCTTCTGCCAAGTATAAGTATCAAGCGACACCTCCTTCTTCAGTAGTCTCCTAGCCGGTCGTTTCGGTCCCGGTGGTCTCAAATCCCTAGGCGCGACATACGACGGCAATTTCACGTACTGCGCCGGCGTATTATGCAAACAAAGAATCGGCATACACTTATGCTCCAATAAATAGAGCGACAATCGTGAGCAATCCGTGGACATTTCGACTCCCAAAATCGGCACATGCAGCATAATTGAACTCAAGGCTGTGCCCTTCTTCGTATCCCAAACAATCAGACTCTTGTCCTCACTGCCCGAAACCGCGAGAGTTCCGTCCCCTGATAAACGAACACAAGTCACGTAACCCAAATGCCCTGTCAGGGTGTGTAAATCAGCCCCTGTGTTAATATCCCAAACTATTAGATTCGCGTCCCTGGAGCCTGAGACTACGATACACTTGTCCAAAACCGCGACTGCGACACATGTGACGTGATCCGTGTGGCCAACCAAGACTTGGGATAGTTTACCTCCGGCTAGTTGCCATACTTTTAGGCTCATGTCCCTGGAGCCTGTGATTAAGGATTGGGAGTCCGGGGTCACGACCAGGCAAGTGATGTCCTGCGAATGGGAGACTTGGTGCTTTTCTTCTGGACCCGCACCGAGACCTATGATCTGGACTTGATTGTCGCCACTCCCACAGACTGCGTATCTGAACAAGAAAATGAAGACCTGGTCTAGAAAACCAGAAGTTCTATCCTGGTTTTTCAACCAGGATAGAACTTCTGGTTTTTCAACTAGGATAGAACTTCTGGTTTTCGAGACCTTTTGGTCCAGGATTTCTAGACCCTTTGGTCCACTTTGGTACGTACCTCATATCGGACGTGACCGAGAAACACCTCCCAGGACCGCAGACCGACTGGATTAGGGTTCCACTATCAGCCGCCCAGACTCGGATGGACCCTCCTCGATCCGAACTGACGACCCTCCGTCCATCCAACATTGCAATAACAGAAGTAACCGGCGCCTGATGTCGAAAAGTCGCGACCACAAGACCAAGGGTCAAACCCCAGACCCTAACCGTCTTGTCCTCGGAACCAGAGGCTGCAAATAAACCCGAGGCTGAGAATGCCACACAAGTGACACTAGCGTCATGACCCTCGAGAGTAGACAACAATTCATGGGTATTTAATTGCCAGAGGTTAACTAGGGAGTCGACCCCGCCTGTAACTGCCATCGCCCCGTCCCTTGAGATATCTAGACAAGAAATCGGAGCCGTGTGCGTCTGCAGTGACTCCTGCTTCTTTCCCGGCTTCGGTCTAGCCTCCTCGCTTCGAAAACTCCAGTAGGTCACTCTCCCCCCGCCGGCGGTTATGAGAAAATCGTCCTTCTCCGTCGCCTTCACACAAGTTATGTCCGACGATGGATTCGCCGGTAGGTTCTTCATCAGCCGACCCTTGTGCATATCGAATATGGAAACTCTTCCCTCAGGTCCTCCGGCTATCGCTCTCCTACAGTCCTTAGCTAGACAGATACTCCTAACCGGTCCTTGATGACCCCTAAGTGTGTGGATCTCGGTCCCGGTGGCTAGAGATCTAAACCCAAGGTTTAGATTTTAGTGGAGTAACTAACCTCGCTGTATCTAGGTGTATTATCTTAGACGCTACTATAGAGCCATGAATGGACAAACACTTTTCTTAAATCTAAACTTACCTGAGATACATCTTCTGGTCCTCACAGACAGCTAGTAGAAACACGGAGTCCTCGGAAACGTCCAACTTCATAACGGGACTGGGAAGAGGAATACTGTTGAGCAGAGTGAAAGTCTCTAAAGACCACAAGCAGACGGTTCCGTCAACACTTCCAGACACCAAAACCTCTCCGGCCGCATCAACCCTTACTGCCGTGACTGGTCCCCGATGATGATCGACCCTCATGAGAACCTCACCGGTTAATAGACTCGTTGCTATAATCCTCGAGTCCTCACCACCACTAACAATGACGGAATTATTCAACGCCGGCGTAAGCGCCAACACTGGAGCAATATGTTCGCAAATCTTCCTCTTTAGTGTCAATTCCTGCATATCCCAGACAATGATAGTAGTGTCCTCTGATCCGGTCAATAGGTACTGCGACTGTTGCGTGACGGCCAGACAAGAAATAGGATTCGAATGACCCTTGAACGTATGCACAAGTTGCCCGGACATGACGTGCCAGAGTTGGGCATCACCCTGAGGTGGAACGACCACGACATGTTGACCCGAAGGCGCCGGTTCTACAAACTTAACACCTTGGGGACACGCGAGAGCACGAATTTGCAAAGGGAGCGGTGGTTGTAGCCAGCCATTAAGGGGCACTAGAAGAGGAGCTGTGAAACCGTCACACCAGGCCATAGCGGCCATGACCATTCTTGAAACAAGGTCGCTGTCATCCTCGGCGACCGTTCTCAACCAACAAATAAGCTGTGCTCCCAATTGAAGTGGATCCCTGGTTAGAATATCGCTGGACTTTCTCACAGCGTAATAGACGAGTTCAAGATCCCTTTCGAGAAGGTAGCGTCTAGCGTGCTCCAGAACGCAGCGAAGGTAACTGACAGAGATCATCTGAACACCAGCCAGGAGAAAATCGAAGGCACAGACCGCGAGTTTTTTTAAGCGATCGACATCACCTGATTGGAGAAGATGAAGCCAGGCTTCCTCGACATGACGGAGAGTGTAAGTAATATTGTCGTGTGTCTGTGGTGCACTCTGGAATGGTGTCTCCTTCGCTGGTGGTTCAGCCGGATCCTCTGGCGATTTCTCCTCACTTTCTTCGCTCTCCTCCATGAAGAAGAGATTCGACAACTCGATGTGACTGGACTTGGCTACCTCCTGGTTTGACAAATACCGTTTGCGGGCTGTCTCTCTACTCAACCAGCGCCAACTGAACATGAGTCTTCCGCTCATCACTCGGATCTTTAACCAAGGGTCCAGGGTACGTCTCGCTAGGCACCAGGTCGCAAAGTTAAACTGACCTTCCTGTAGGGTTAGTGGACTCTCCTCCCCTGTGGGCATGATTAGTTCCAGAATTTCCGTTTCGGAGAGTCCGTATTCGGTGCAAGCTAGTAGGGATCCTAGGCGGTTGGCCGCTTTCGTACCGATCAGTCTCTCAAGACTGTCCAGTGCTTTATCGACGTCTGGAATTTCTCCCTTTGGTTCTGGCAGTTGGATCAATATGTCAGTACTTCTCAGCCTCTCCTTTTGTAACGGAGTTAGGCGCAGTGCTTCCGGGGACACTGCAGTCGTTGCTACGAAGTGTACCCCCTGAAGATAAAAAGGACTTTCTTTAAAAAAGGGTTTTTTTGTTCATATCGCTGTAGAAATATTAACAAAAAGTCTAACGATCCGGGGAAGTATATCTATATAATACACAGACGCACAAATTAAAAAAGTGTCGGGGTTGGGAGATCAGAGTACCCTACAGTGGAAAATATTAAGTGATAAGGTAGATTTCTGGAATGGCTGAGTTTGACTCAAGTAGTATTCGAGAGAGTGAGTAAAAAGCGTCAATATTTAAAAGACAAATAGGGAAGAATGGAATGATGAGGTGTGAAGACCGCATGGATTTGATGGACCTAGTGGAAATGTTAAATGATGAAGAGCGTTTTGTGAGAGTGAGAAATAATTTTCTCACTTTGAAAGTGTATATTATGAACGAAAGGTGAATCAGTTGGAAAGAAGAGTGGAATGAATGGAAAAGGATAAGAGAAAAAGGAATATAGTGATTAGGGGTATATTAGGGTATGATTAGCGATTAATGGAAGGAAGAAAAGAGGTGGGCAGACTGGCTGAAAGGAGAGAGGTGAAAGTTAATATTAGGCAGATGAAAGCGATGAGTATGGATGCGAATGGAATTCCGAGGAAATGGTTAGTTGAACTGGGAAGTGAGGAGGAAGAGGAAGGTATGAAGTTGCAAGAAAGGTTGAACGAATGTGTTAAGAGAATTGATGAGGACAGAACGTGGAGGGAGAGGAGAATAAGATGGTTGCTAGGAAAGAAGGCATGGATCGAAAAAAGGAATGGAATTGAATTAAGAATAAGTAAGGAGTGTGGGTGGGTGAGGTCAAATAGTGTGTGAAAGAAGCTAATGGTTTGAGGTCATAAAGAATGATGGGAGGAATGGAGAGAAATGAAGAAGGATAGTTTGATTGTAAGTTTATTGGGAATATGGTAGTGAAAAATTATTACGAAATCGTGATAAGGAATGGTTGGAGAATGAAAATTAAGATTAAGGATTTAAGTAATTAATAGGAGTGGGACGTTAATGGGTAGTCAGTCAGTATGGACAAGAAATTAATAACTATAAAAGAAATTAATTTTTTTTGAATGAAATTATTACCTGAGGTAAATTGACAGGAAACCATGAGAGTGCGGCGACAATGTCACATTCCAATGGATGTAATCGATGTAAATCGTCGACCAATATCACCAATTGCTCGGACAATGGTTGCTCCTCTATCCTTCGCATTATTTGATTAAACCAATTGTTGAGGTAAAGCGGATCGAATGACGCATCACGCGGAAGATTCCCATCATTATTACCCGACAGGAATCCCACATGCTCGCAGAGAATTCTCAATAATTCGAGACTGTAAGCCGATCGCGGTGTCGATGTACAAAGTCTCACCACTCTCAATGTTGGCACTTCAAACCAAGTCGGTGAACTTTCATAGACACGCGATAAAATTGCCGACTTTCCCGAACAACGGGGGCCACGAATCAATATTGGTCCGTGCTTCTGGTCCTTACCTAAAGTCACAATTCTTAATTAGTTTCCAAAAAATTGAGTGACCATTGCCGAAAAGAATAAATTTCGTGAAATTATAGAAAACACGAAAGAAAAAATAGTTTTAATATAAGAAAAAAAAATATTTTTAAAATACCTGCTAGTAGACGTCGTTTAATACAGAGAATAGTTTCGTCCGTCTCGTCGACCGCTCTCGATTCCCTGAGAAGTGACAGATGGGAAAGACTCTCGGCATAAACTTCCTGCACCATTTTCTTCCGACTCTTAATTTCCGGATCGTTTTCCACGGATAGGTTGACGAGATACTGAATCCGGTTGAGTACTGTGTCGCGCAATTTTCCAAGATAAGTCTCGTGGGAACGATACTCAATGTCGATACCGCCTGATTTGTATTCCGCCTCGAGTCGAATTACATTATCCCCGGGTAACGATGATTCCACGCGGCTTTTCAATAATGTTATCGCGTCCAGCACGTAGGGACCACCCCCTGACCATGTGCGAATCACCGTCACTATTCCCTCGTTGCCTTCGCTTAAACCTATATTCAGATAAAAATGATAATAAAAGCAATGGGGGAAATTTTTTATAAACTAAAGAATTTTTATTGTCTGCTCCGGTCGGATTTAAAAATTTTCCGACCGCAATGCTATTTGAAGTTGGTTTTGTAGTTTTGATCATAAATGTTTTGATTGTGCATTAAAAAAAAAAAAGTTCTCTCACAAGCGCCATACTGGCTCGACTTGTAGCATATAAAATTCCGAGTTAGCATTACGTTCTGAAAGATTTGACTCGAACCGAGGTGTTAATTTTAATAAATAATCCTTTTACTTAGGCCGTGCTCGAACTGTCGTTCAGCCGAGCTTTTGAGGATATAATTTGCATCCAAGTTTTCGGGATCCTTGACTAGAAGTGACTTCGCCGCTGAGATAAGTGCCTCTCGGAGTTTCGTTTCCCGCTCCAATTGCCAAGCTTCCTGAACCGTTTCCTCACTACACGGGAAATAATGAAATAGTTAAATAAAGATTTTTTTTCAACATTTAAAAAAATTCCAAATGTCGAAACTTTAATTTAGAATTCTAAACTTTAGTTTTGAATTCCGAAAATACAAAGTTCAAAGATATGAAAATACAAATTAAAAAAAAAAAAAAAAAAAAAAAAAAAAAAAAATTTCTTGTTTCCAGGGTTGAACATTGATTCTCGTCACCTGGTGGCCTTTAAATTGTAACTGTGACCATTGAGCTCGTAATATTCCCCCAGATGGTCGTTATGGGCAATCAAAGCCTGAAAAGTTTCCTTTTTCAGTACAGTTGGCACCCATCCTGAACTGTAATCCGAACCAACTAAAAGCTGTAAAGCAAAAAAAAAAAGAGAAACTAGAAATCAAAGTCTTTTTTTTCGTAATTGCTGCGCACTTTTATTTTCTTCCTTTCTCCTCTATTTTACTTTCACCATTCGTTACAAAAGATTTATGTTCCCTTTTTTCCGCTACTGCAATTTATCTTTTTTCGCCAAACAATAATAATAGTAATAAAATATAGAAACTGTGAAGAAAATAAAAACATTCAAAAACAAACAAACAATAAAAATTAAAAAAAAAAATTTTAATATTATTTTTTAAAAAATTTTTTTTTTAATATTTTAAATTTTTCGTTTTTTTAAATTCGGTAAAAAGAGAAAAGAACTTTCTTTTGGAAATGAAATATAGATAAAAATATATTGACAAAAATCCATTGTTCAAGGACAGAAAAGTTACGAGAAATTCAAAAAAAAAGGAGAGGAAAAAAGGGAACTACATCACAGAGAGAAAGAATGAAGAAAAAAAAGTTGTTTTACGAGATTTCAAATGTATTCCCTCTGGTGATAATAAAAATTGGGAAAAAATCTGGAATTCTTACCAGGAGAAAACAACCTCTCGAATGTCGATGAGATGCATTTATCTCATCCAAAAATAATTCAGCCAATCTTGGATCCGCATCTGGATTACGAATTGTACCGTATTGCATATCAACCAATAAAACCTGGTTTCGAATAAAAATAAAAGGAAACTTGTATAAAATCCACTTTAGACAATTATTTCTCGGGGATAAAAAGAATTTGTATTTATCAAAAAAAGGGATTAAATTAAATCTAATAATTATTAAGCAGAAAAGTTTTCTTAATATATAAACTCACCTCGATTCCCATTCCATCGTAAATTGATTGCAACTCTGGACCAACGACTTCTAAAAGTTGTTTCCGCTCCTCAACGAATTCTGAAATTTTCCAAAAGGTAAATAGTTAGAAATTATGTAAAATTATAGTTTTTATGTCGTCAAGTTTAATTTTTCGATAGCAACTTGTTTACTACTTTTTTTTAAGTTTGAAAGCTAGTTTTTGATATTTTTTATTTTTTTTTTTAATTATCGAGTGCGAAGTTTGTTTAAACTAAATTGCAATTTTAATAATATCTTCAATAGCTTAATAGTCAGTAGACTCGATTTTAAATTTATAGTTTTAAACTAGATTTAATTTTGAAAAATATCTTCAGTATTATAATGGTAAGTACCCCCATCTCTAATCTGAAAATTTAAACTAAGTTTCGGTTTAGAAAATATCTTCAGTAGTATAATGGTCAATATTCCCATTTCTAATTTGTGAATTTAAACTAAATTGCAGTTTTAAAAATATCTTCAGTAGTAAAATGGTCAGTATCCCCTTTCTTCTTTTAATAATTCTTAACTTTAATGTTCAGTTATCTTCAGTAATATAATAGTAAGTACCCTCATCTCTAATTTATAAATTTAAACTAAAAAATTAAATTGTTATTTGAACAATATCTTCAGTAGTATAATGGTAAGTACCCCCATCTTGAATTTATAAATTTAAACTAATTTGCAGTTTTAAAAATATCTTCAGTAGTATAATGGTCAGTATCCCCTTTCTTCACTGAACACTTCGTTACTAATTTTAATATCTTCAGTAGTATAATGGTAAGTACCCTCCTATCCAATTTATAAATTTTGACTGAATTGCAATTCTGAAATATCTTCAGCGTCATAATTACCAACACCCACAAGATTCTCTTAGTCGTCAAACAAAATTTTTCCCGAACAAGACCGCCAAGTAGAAATGTCAACGACAAGACACTACTGGTACCCAAGCTTTGAGAAAAAAAGAAAATAAAATCAAAGAGTCAACTCTTTGACTTAAAAAGAGAAGTGAGAATTTTTTTCCCCGATTTTTCCAGTGCAGCCATCAAGACTGTTAATAAAGTTTACGTTTCACAATAGACTGAACATAATAAACAATATAAAGTAACTAACTTGAAGGAAAAAGTAATTAAAGAAGAGAGAGAGAGAGAGAGAGGAAAAAAGAAATTTGGTTCTCTCTTGATAAATCTCGGCTTGAATATGAAGCAATTTCATTATCTTAAATGAGGAGGTAAAGTACATATACAACGTTACTTTTCTCAATCTGAGCATCTGCCTAGGTTTTCTTTAATATCCTTTGTTAGCTGTTGGCTGAGCACTATAAACTAAAAAGTTGGATCTCGGTTTCTCTAGTCCCGAGGATTATATAATTGAAAGTAAACGCTTCTTCTACTTGCACAATGAGTCTAGGTTTATGGTTGTGTATGTATATATGAGTGTGGAAGTAAAATGGAAGTAATTTCAAGAATACAACTTACCGTCTCTTTCGCCAGCAATGAATATCTTGATGAGACGTGGTGCTGGCAGATGGGGAGGGGGAGGTCCACCCTTCACCACTCCGGCTATCAATTCTACCTCGAGATTCATTATTCTGTCTTCTGAAAACACTGATAAGACTTTTTTTTTTACTTTTCTTCTTTTTTCTTTTCCTTTCTTCAGTGATTTTCGCCTTTGTCTCCTCTTCTTTCGTCAGTGATTCTCGTTTTTTCTTTGCTTTTCTTTCTTCAGTGATTTTCGCCTTTGTCTCTTTCTTTCTTCAGTAATTTTTGCCTTTTCTTCACTTTCTACTCTTCTTCAGTGATTCTCGTCTTTGTCTCTTTTTTTCTTCAGTAATTTTTGCCTTTTCTTCACTTTCTACTTTTCTTCAGCAATTTCCGCCTTTGTCTCTTTCTTTCTTCAGTAATTTTTGCCTTTTCTTCACTTCTTACTTTTCTTCAGTGATTCTCGTCTTTCTTCAGCAATTTCCACCTTTTATTTACTTCCCACTTTTCTTCAGTTCAATATTTTTTTGTACTATTTTTTAAAATCTTCTATTTTCCTTCATTTTTATGCTTTCTCTATACATTTCTTCACCATTTCTCTTTCAATATACCTTTCTTCACTATTTTTCTTTTAAATGTAAAAAATATTCAAACAATTGTTCGTTTCTCTCGAAAATTATTATTTGATACTCGTGAACTTCATTTGATTCTTATTTCCTCTGGGTACCCTGCCTTCAAATTTCTCATATGCAACTAAATACTTTTTAATGATTCATAATTATCAATAATTATTTAACTCTCAATCTTATTTGCTAATATCGATTTAATTTAGAATTGATTTTTCTTCATAGATTCTCTGTTTTGTATATATATATATTTATGTATATGTTCAACAATATCTTAAATATGCTTCTTCTTTTAAAATTTTTTTCTTTTTATCCTCTTATCATTGATTAGTTAGATTTTTTATTAGGTTTAATTAAATTTCTTTTAATTGGATATTTTCCCCTCGGCATCATCAACGAACAATATTTTTTTTAACATTAGACATTTAAATAGTATTTCTATCTCTTGATAAATATTTATAATCAGAATTTCTTATATACCTTACAATATATATTTATATTTTTAAACTTATGTTTGTAATAATTTTATGCGATAAGGTAACTCGTTATATTCTTCTTTTCTTCGGATTGTCCTCGCTTATAATTGTTTCTCTATTTGTATTAATTTTGAGCAGAGTAATTAATCTCAAACCCGTTTTTTTATTCTTTAAAAAGGCAACAAAATTTGTTTAAGACTCAAGTTTTTTGTTCTTAAAATTTTAATAATAATAATAATAATAATAATTTCAACAATTAATAAATTAAATAATATTTCAATAACTATTATTTAATAATTCTTATCCAGAATTCGAATTAAAAATAATTGAACTATTATTTTAATATTTCTCCTTCAATCTATTTAATCATTTTCAGTTTGTAAATTATTTTACGATTCGTTTTTTTTAAACTTTTTCGATAATTATTCTATTTTCAGAAGATTTTTTTTTGGAGAATTTTTCTATTTTGGAAAGAAGGTTCTTTTTATCGTTGTATTTTTCTTTTTGTCTTCTTTATAATCTCTAGATACAGACGCTATGTTCGTTATATTTTCTTTTGTAATACTAATAGTAATTAATAATAATAATAATAGTAATAATAATATACAGTTATTATAAAGTTGACTTTTCAGAGAGTGACTTTTCCGCTAAGTAATCCAATTATAATGCATTGTGTCACTCTTGTAACAATTTAAACAATTAATCATTTCTCTTGTTTAGTTTGCGTCATTCTTTCTTGAGAAATAATAATTTTACCTTTAATGTCTTTTGAAGAATTGTCAAATTCATTAATACTGTTATATCCATTTTGATAAATGCGAAAATTATTCAAATCTCTTGTTAAAAATGATTGTAGAAAATTTTTCTTTTCTTGATATTTTTATTTACTCTACCGTCCAGGTCGTCGTGTACTTCGGCCTCATTTTCTGCAAGCAAACAAAAAAATAATAATTAGTATGAATTATAATTATAATAGTAAAATTTTTTACTACATCTTTTTTGTATTTTGTATAATTGTCAGTAGCCCCCCTTTTTTATTTTCATAATGCGAATACTAAATATTAATCATATGTTTTTAAATCTTCAGTAGTATACTGGTAAGTACCCCCATCTGTAATTTATAAATTTAAACTAAATTGCAGTTTTAAAAATATTTTTAGTAGTATAATGATAAGTATCCCCTTTCTTCACTGAACACTTTGTACTACAATCTAATATTTTTAAATCTTCAGTAGTTTAATGGTAAGTACCCCCATATCGAATTTATAAATTTAAACTAATTTTCAGTTTTAGAAATATCTTCAGTAGTACAATGGTAAGTATCCCCTTTCTTCACTGAACACTTTGTTACTAATTTTAATATCTTCAGTAGTATAATGGTAAGTACCCCCACCTTTAATTTATAAATTGAAACTAAATTACAGTTTTAAAAATATCTTCAGTAGTATAATGGTCAGTATCCCTTTTGTGTTTAATACATTCAAACTCAAATTAAATTTTAACAATATCTTTAGTAGTATAATGGTAAGTACCCCCACCTACAAATTGTAAATTTAAACTAAAATGTCATTTTTAAAAATATCTTCAGTAGTATAATGGTAAGTATCCCCTTTCTTCGCTGAACAATTCGTTACTAATTTTAATATCTGCAGTTGTATAATGGTAAGTACCCCCACCTCCAATTTGTAAATTTAAACTAAAATGTAATTTTTAAAAATATCTTTAGTAGTGTAATGGTAAGTATCTCCTTTCTTCACTAAACAATTCGTTTTTAATTTTAATATCTTCAGTAGTATAATGGTAAGTATCCCCTTTTCGAATTTATAAATTTAAACTAAATATCTTCAGTAGTTTAATGGTAAGTATCCCCTTTCTTCACTGAACACTTCGTTAGTAATTTTTAAATCTTCAATAATATAATGGTAAGTACCCCCATCTCGAATTTATAAATTTAAACTAAATATCTTCATTAATATAATGGTAAGTATCCTCTTTCTTCACTGGGCAATTCGTTACTAATTTTAATATCCTCAGTAGTATAATGGTAAGTACCCTCTTTCTTCACTGAACACTTCGTAACTAAAGTCTAATATTTTTAAATCTTCAGTAGTATAATGGTAAGTACCCCCACCTTTAATTTATAAATTTAAACTAAATTTCTGTTTTAAAAATATCTTCAGTAGTATAATGGTCAGTACCCTCTATTTCCATTTAATAATTTTAAACCAAATTATAATTCTTAATCTTTCTTCAATAGTATAATGCAAAGTGTCCACATACTTTTGTTTTTATTTTTATATTATACTTTTTATAACACACGAAAAACTTTTGACCTAGATTCTTAAGGTTAACATCCCCTGCGTTAATAAATAATATTTTTTGTTAAATAATATGAGCAGGAAATAAATAAAAAATAAATGAAAATAAATTAAAAAAAATTCTTCAGTTGATGGAAATGCAATCACGTAAATTTTTAAAATTCTCTCTTCCTCTCTCCCTCCCCCTTTCAACCCTCGTGTGCGTGCGATAATTTAATGCGTCGACAGACTATGTAATATCGTAATTATCAACGAGGTCGATTTGACTTATATTTGTCAAGGCAAAAAAGTGTGAGGGTGTTGAGGAAAAAACTAATAAAACTAATAAAAATAAATAACACTCTTCAGATATTAAAACGGAAAAAGCAAATTAGTAAAAAAAAGAACAGAGTCACACTAATGATTTTTTAAATACCCTCAATTTGAAAACCAATGCTTTTTATATATATATTTATGTATAATTAATTATTCAACCCTCGAAAGTAGTTAAGCTCTTCATTATTGTTTGGCATTTACTTTTTTGCGACTTTTTTAAAAATTATATTTTAATTATCAGCATATAATTAATATCCAGAGTATTAATTTGCATAATTAAATATTGAAAACATTTTCATGCTGAAAGATAATACAAATTTTTTTCCATTTTTTCGAACATAAACTGAATATTAAAGTTAAATTTTGTCGAGTCAAAGGGTCAAGAGATTTAAAAAAAAAAATTTTATAACAATTTCATATTTATATTTTTCAAATACAAAGATAATTATTTATAAAAATTGGAACAAGAAAAATCAGGTGACAATTTTTTTTTACACTCTTGAAATTAATTTGAAAAAAAAAATTTCAACAAAAGAAAAAATATTGTTGCCTTTTGTAATTCTGTCGATTTTCATGTTCAATGTGATGAAAGATTTGGGTTTTTTTTTATTATTATTATAATAAAAGGAAAGATGAGAGAATATGGTTGGAAAAGTTATATAGAAGAGATAAAATTTCTGGTAGAAGCTTATTAAAAAATTCTCGAGATCAATACAATGGAAATGAGAAAAAAAAAAGAAAAAAGTTGTCATACCTATGTCGCTTCAGGTGATAAAAGTTGAATTTTTAGAAAAAATGCTCGGTATTTTCGTCGCTTACACTATACTCTTTTCTCTCTTCCCCCTCCCTTATCCCATCTAACTTTATGTGATTTATTAAAGTTGCGCGCAAAGCTTTAATGTCACAAGTGTGAGAATATGAATTTTTCATTGGATATATTTTTTTTTCCTCTGTTCCTTTTTTTTCAATAAATTTTTTTAAATAAATTTTTTATAAAAATTTTTTTTAAAATTTTTTTATAAAAAAAATATTGTTATTTTGTTATTATAATTTGTCAAATATGTTTGTTAAGTACAATGTATAAAAGGGCTTTAAGACAGTTAAAAATTAAATAAAAAAATTTTTATAAAAAATTTATTGAAAAAAATTCAATGAACAAAAATAAAAAACGCTAGTAACAATAAATATTTAACATTTTTTTTTCTTTACTTTGCAAACATAGTTTTTCATAGAAAAAGAATTTTAAACAAAGTTTTTTTAATTAAAATTTTATTAAAAAATGTTTTCATCAATAAAAAATTTAGCTTTTAAAAAAGTTGTAGAGTGGAAAAAATTTATTTTTGAAAATAGTTATGGTAAAGAATTTATTTAAAAAATGTTTTTAATAAAAAATGGAAACTTTATTTTAAAAAAATGTAAATTAAAGAAGAATTTAGTTTTCAAAAAAGTTACAAACTAAAATAGAATTTACTTTTGAAAAAGTTAGAATGTAAAGAAGAATTAATTAAAAAAATTTCATTTAAAAACAGTTTTTAATTAAAACAGTAATATATTTATTTAAAAAAATTATAAATTAAAAACGAATTTATTTAATGAAAAAAAGAATGTTTCGTAATAAACTTTTTTTTAATAAATTCTTTTTAGAATTTAAAAAATTTATTTTTTCGTATATTATGAAAAATTGGTTGGAAAATATTTATTTAAAATATTTAATATGAAGGGCATATAACGGAGATTAAAATAATTACTCAATTCTGTTTTACTACTTTGTAAAGGTATTTATAAAAAAATAAAAAATTGAAAAAAGAGGGAAATAAAATATGAAAAAAAATAAAGATGAAAAAAATAGTTATTAGTTTACATGAACGAATACAAAAATTTGAAATTTTTCCTATTCCCTCGATATGTAGAGCAGAATTGTGTAGCTCACATACTTTGACCTTTAAATAGGTCAATTGATTCATTTCGTTGTAACAAAAGATATAAATTTTATACTTTTAATGTATAGCAGAAATCGATTTTAAATTAATTCACCTCAAGTACCATATTTGACGATTGATTTCACCACTTTTATTTTTATTATATACAATTTTACAATAGGGAAAAATAAATAATTTTTTCCCCAGCAACATCGAAAAGTGAAAAAAATTTTTAATATGAAAAAAACCAGTATTTTTTTTTAAATCGTAGGAAATATTTTTTAATCTAAAACAAAATTTTTTTTCTTTTCAAGAAATTTTAATTTTGATTTAAAATTTAAGAAATAAGAAACTAGTGTTTTTCGAAAAGAGATTGAAAGGCATAATTTAGTCGAGTTAGCGAGAGTTTGAGGGATAAATGGTGTTGTTGGTAACAATGTAAAAGTGGGGGAGTGACTAAAAAATACACGCAAAGCAAATTGCCTCGGGTTATTGAGAAAATCGAAACTGACTTTTAACTTTAAGACGGAAATTTCATCTAATTTTATCCGCCCCTTTTACTTATAGAAGACAGTTTTGTTAGAGCAGAGAAAAAATTAAATTGACTATGTTTAATGATTTTAAAAAAAAATATATTATACAGCATTTTCATTAAAATGTCGTAATAAATCTATATTACCTTGCACGTCACGCTTATTAATAAATGGGATCTAGTTTAAAAAAAGTATATTAAAATTTAGATATAAAATTCATGGAATAGATTCAAATAAAAATAAAAAACAAGTTACTTTGTAGTTATCTACTATTTAGTTTTTCGGTATTTAGTAAAATCTCAAGTAGTATAGTGGTCAGTACTCCTTTCTTCAATTTATGAAGTTAAACTAAATTCTAGTTTTAAAAATATCTTCAGTAGTATAATGGTCAGTAGCCCTTTTGTGTTTAATAAATTTAAACCCAAATTACATTTCAGAAATATCTTTAGTAGTATAATGGTAGGTACCTCTATCTTCATTTTTTACATTTAAACTAAAAAATTAAATTGTAATTTGAATAATATTTTCAGTAGTATAATAGGTAGTACCCCCATCTCGAATTTATAAATTTAAACTAAATATCTTCAGTAGCATAATGGTAAGTACCCCCATCTCACAATTATAAATTTAAACTAAATATCTTCAGCAGTATAATGGTAAGTACCCTCGTCTTTAATTTATAAAATTAAACTAAGTTATAGTTTTAAAAATATCTTTAGTATTATAATGGAAAGTACCCCCATCTCCAATTTATAAATTTAAACTAAAAAATTAAATTGTAATTTTAAAAATATCTTCAGTAGTATAATGGTAAGAATCCTTATTTTCAATTTATAAATTT